TGGGCGCTGAGAACATAGAAGACATTATTTATATAAAATTATATTCGAATTAATCTCAGTGATTGAAATTTAAATAATTACCCTGAATAAGTCCAGACACGCATGTTCGACGAAACGTTAGAATTACTTAAATTTCAATCACTGAGATTAGTTCGAACATAATTTTACACAATTAATGTCACGTATTAATATATGTTGAATAAAGGGTTAATAAATAACAAGTCTTGTATAAGTACCAAAGCAAAGCTGACCTAAGCATTTATGCATCAAAATTTCTGGGTATAGCAAGATGATCTTTGATTTAATGTGAATATGATAATTAGCATCTCAACAACTTATAAATAAATTAATCATACTTATTTTACACTTACAAAACGGATCTACATATAGTCAAAGCCTTACATGTGTTTACATAATATAAACTTCAAATAAATCATTTACATTGTATATAACAAGTGATTTTTTCTTTCCTTAAATTGAGTCACTGAGTTTAAGGTATCAATATTCTGAAGTACACTAAAGTTTGAACATAATAGTGGAGACTTCCAACTAATTCTTGATGAACAGAACAATGATCAACATATTTTCTTATAAAGATGATGGCTGAAACAAACTCTGATATTCATTTACTGAATAATCAGCATTGTATGTTAAAGATAGATAAATAAGTCACTCAGATTGTTCTTGAATTATTATCTCATGATACAGAGAAATACTTATATAATGTTGAGAGTGACTTGAGTTAGAAACTCTAACTCATGAAATTTAAAAGTAATAGTTCATTTGCTTGAGGAATGTGTTGAAAATTGTCCATTCGTATTATCATTATAATCCAAACAAATTTCTGTTCAAGATATAACCCCCATCTGTAAATTTTAACTTTGAATCGTTAATTCAGTCATAGAACCTCACGATCAACAGAGTCGAATGCCACCTTAAGGTCGAGAAATACTATTATTGTGGGGCGTCTGAATGTGTGTCTGTGTTCTAGAACCTGACGTAGTGTGAATATCTGATCTATACAACCACGTCCAAGTCGGAAACCTGGTTTTCTCTAGTCTGCTCTTCACGAGTTTTAGTTAGGCGTCGAAGTATGATTGAAGCTAATATTTTAGACACTATATTAGTCAAACTGATTCCTCTTTGATTGTCACAAGAGGACTTTTGTCCTTTCTTATAGACTGGCACAATCAGTGATTGAGACCAGTCAAATGGGATTATGTCCAGTTCCCAAATTCTACCTAAGACCTCAGTTAATCTCACTGCTAATACTGGACCACCATCTTTAAAAATCTCAGGAGTAAACCTGTCAGGGACTGCTGCTGTTTCTCGCTTCAGATTTCCTATAGCTTTTTGTGGTGTTTGAATTAACTAATGATTCTTTTGTACTTGTTGAATGCTTGATTTCGAATTCGAAATACAATACATTCGTTTGTGCTTGTCTAGTACTTTTTTATTCGATTGTGTTAATTCTGGGATTCCTAGTTCATATGATAATTGAAATACTTTCAGATATTATACTGGCATCGTGAGCAGGATCCTGTGATGGAATCGTTGGATATACATTCAGATTTTGGTGCTTTTGAGGATTATTTTGAAAGGTTCGAAATCTGGGCTATGATCAAGGAAGATGCTGAGGATGTTAATATTGTGGCACATCTCCTCACATTTATAGGAAAAGAAGCATATAGCTTATTAAGAACTCTGGCTATGTCGGAAAAGCCTATGTCGCTTCCTTATACAACTCTCAAGGAACTGCTGCTAGACTATGTTAAGTATACAAATTTCGAACGTAATAAAGGAAGATTTTGTAAAGTGATTCATGAGGATATAAAAAATTCCACTACATTACTACGTCATCCCAACCCAGTGCATACTCAAGGCTATGCAGATAATTCATTGAGGAGTTGCAATGCATTTCACGATGATGGTCACAAATTTGGTTAATCTTTGTCCTGTGGAAAGTTCCACTCTTTTATTTCATGTAAATTTTGTAATTCTAAGTACTTTAAAAGTGGTGATATTGGACATATTCAGTCAGTCTGTAATACCAATGTTCATCTTATTGCAACTAATATTAAGTCTTTTAATTCTAATTCTACTGAGTCGAGTATTCATAATGATCATTTATCTTTATCAACGATTTTAAAAGACAGTGTAGAGTCATATAGCAGTTCAGAGTTAAATGAAACTCAGAATTCTTGCGAGACAACAGTTTCTAATCAATCAATTTATCAGATTTCTCATGTTATTGTACCAGATATGGTTTTTCTTAATGATTCACATATTTCTGATTAAATTCCTTACAAATCTGAGGAGAACATGTTGAGTGAACCTAATTATGATCAAAAACCTGATGTAGTTTTGATGGATGCTAATTTTTCTAATGATCCTTTACTCTGCAATGACATTTATAATAAATTTGAGGAAACTATTTCAGAAGAATCAAATCTTGATGCTCCATCAAATATTATTTGTCCTCATAATGCAGTTGTTTCTTGTGGTAAACTTGTTCAGTGCGAAGCACAAGGACTAAATGAGCTCGATTCTGATTACAATTCGGATGATTTCATATCAACTGCTGTTTATCTTTATCACGAAGTCGCTTATAATGTTTATTCTAACCAGTGTGAGAAATATGTTTTAAATGAAGCCACATCATTCATAACTTGGGGATATAAAGATCCAACATTATTTCGTGGGGGAGGATATTGTTGAAAAATCTATGGTTCGAATTCTAGATATTAATGATTTCAGTACAAAAGCGACATGCTGATTGTATACAATTCCAGGTGAGTCTGTTCCGATTTCGGTTGTTAATTCCAATACTAATGAGCACATTCTAGATAATACCGGGTTTTTGTCAGATAAAATGTCGGACAGACTCAGGATGAACTTAAGAAGAAGACGTACAACCTATTACAGACAATTATATTCCAGTTTAAGCAGTGGCGGATGTGGTGTTTGAATGAACTAATGATACCTTTGTACTTGTTGAATACTTGATTTTGAATTCTGAATACAATACGTTCGTTTGTGCTTGTCTAGTACTTTTTTATTCGATTGCGTTAATTCTGGGATTCCTAGTTCATACGATAATTCAAGTACTTTCAAATATTATACTTTTTCAACTTCATAAAGAGTCGGAGGACTTACATTAACTTGCCATTCAGGTTGACTGGAGATCGTGGGAAACCAAAGTGTGGCTGAAGGCCAGTTGAACTGATCCCTAAAGTGTTCTGTCCATCGATCCAATCTCCTGGATTGAGAATGTATAATATGTCCATCTTTCTCTGAGAGTGTTTCGCTAACAGTCGGGTCCCTAATACCGGTTTCCTTAACAAGTCTGAACAATTGTCTGCTATTACCTATTCCCGCTGCCTTTTCCATCTTTCTTGCTTTCGCTACCCACAACTGTTCAGGATCATTGCGTGGGCTTCTTGTCAGCTTGCGCTTAAGCTGACACCGCTCTTCGTAATGTTGAGATCCAGATGGAATGGGTTTTCGAGCATCTATCAGTGCGGTAGATGCTGCTGATATATATATATATATATATATATAAATATATATATATATATATATATATATATATATTATTAACCTCCGGATTTTCGAACTGAGAAGTGGTATGTGAATCTGTTTAAGCTTAGTTTAAGGCTTGTTAGATGCAGTAGCAATCTTCAGTGAAGATTCACTTTTGCAGATCATATGCAACATAATACAGACAGATTTCTGTAAATTGAATATGTTTACTATGTATCCTATTATTAATTCCACACATCTCATTTTATGCTACGGTATTTCTGATTATCTTCTTGTCTATTTTAGCAGTTAATATTCTCATCATTTTTCAGTTGATTTTAAACAGTGTAGATTTGAAGATGACAGTCTACTCAGTTAACACGAAAATCTGGGGGTAGCAAGTAGGAGAAAGTAGGCTCTTGATTCGACAGTTACACTTACCTTTAATAATAAAACCAAAGGACGACAATTAACAGAGCTTAAGAGGCGTTAAATTGAATAGGATCTTAAGTATTTATTACGCATCTAAATTTAACGAGCTGCCGTGGAATAAGTAGAAGTTTTACTTATGGGAGTAGCATATGACATTAAGATCAATAGGTGACTTCGTAGTCTATGCTAAAGTAGTATCAGACAAGATAAAAATGCTCATGTCATAAGAATATCAAAGCATTTAACTTTTATGATTACGGTGGTTTATTCCTCTGTAGAAATCATTAAATGAATTCTATTTTCGGTTATTCTATCAATTTATACAGGATTTGTCGATTGTGGAAAATTTGTCCCTGGACTTGAAGGCTTAAGAGTAATTTTTATAATTGACTCTATTCTCTATTATTTTTACTTGCATTCATATCAAATTAATACGAATATGCACCTTGATCACCATATATTTTGATGGGTATTTGGCAGAAAAGTTTGGCGAAGATCACACTGACTGTGAATATAGTTCGAAGACTGAGGTTTATTCTATTGGTTCATACTGACCGATATATTCCCATTTTAGAAGGTGAAAGAACCTACATTAGATGATTTAGTTATGCCGAAAATTTTAATAGTTGAATTCATGAGTCGATCTAAGTTGGGTCACCACTGAATACATGGAAGCACTGGACGGATGTTTCATCCTAGTATGGGACACCTCGGAAGTATGCATCAAAGATCTCACACACGAAACTCGAACCCTGGGCCTTTGGTCTGTCGTAAGAACACTTAACCTCTGGACCACTGAGCCGGCATACAACGGTGCTAGTGTCTAACTTCAATCGACCTATGATCTTGTGAAAATCACTAACTTTTAAGAGTTAAATAGCATTCAAGATGTGATAATGGGTCGATCTAAAATATTCAAGATTTAAATTTGTTTATCTTATTATTCGTATGGTTTTAATTATTTTGTAGGTAATGTCATTTAAGTTCATATAAATAGGCAAGCAGTCATGCCTATCGCTTTCCTGTTTCAGTGATGAAATGTATGACTGAATAACGACCCTGAATTCAACCAGTTATCGATGTGACCTTGAAATCTTCGAATCAATTGAATCTCAATTTACGACCAATCATATACTGCGTAGTTTCCGTCCATGTTTTTTTCTATATAAAGCTATATAAATTGGCCTGGTTTGTTATTCTAATCAACTAAATACTAAGAATTAATACCGTTTAATAATGCCGTTAACATCACGTTCACCTTACGACAGTAAAACACTACTTGCTAAGTATTATGATTTGCCTCAACCTGATGACAAAATTCAAGTTATGTACGTATGGATAGACGGAAGTGGAGAAAATTTACGCTGCAAAACAATGACTTTACAAGAAGAACCAAAAGTTCCAGAAGGTACGTTGACAGTTTATTTTCAAAGATTCCTATTCCTTTTTTTGCGAATAAATCTTTGAAAAGAAAACTTTATTGAAGTAAATCATTTAATTGGCTATTTATTAACTTCATTAAACTTCGTTTTAAAATGAAACTATAGATCATAAATACCACTTTTGTAACTTTATTGTTATATAAATAAAAACAATTTTCTTTCTCTCTAATCCATATAAATTACTAAAAAACATTTGTCATCAGTTTACGTTTATTTCAATATGGATTATAAACAAATACAATGTGTTTTAACTTAAGACCTCAATGACAGTTTTTCTTTTCCATATCTGATTTATAGTTATATATTTAACAGTACACTAGGTAAGAAATAACATATTAACCGTTACAACTAGGCTAATACATTAAACATTTTTAAGTTTTTTATAAACAAATAGTACATATTTGACAGACACCTTGGAAGTATGCATCGAAGATCTCACACACGAAACTCGAACCCTGGGCCTTTGGTCTGTCGTAAGAACACTTAACCTCTGGACCACCGAGCCGGCGTTGGATTCTTTAAAAGATTTTTTTAACAAGTTTAGAAGAATGATCTATAATAGACATACTGAAAAGTACATATAACTATTAAAAGTCAATCTTATAATATTCGCTTATTCTTCATTTTGTTAAATATGCCAAATGTGAACTAGTATAAACCAGTATACTGTGATGTGTGCTACTTATATTGACATAAGTAGCAAATGGTGTTAGTCGTGAACAGAAGGTCTGGCAGCAGAGAGATAAAAGGATCGAACAGTAAAGAATGGAAACAGAATGGGATTTGTATGAAAATACATGAACAATGAAGTCTGAGTCATTATGAGACAATCGGTGGACATTTTGAAATTAAGCATTTGCTTTATGATTGTTAGATTTTATTAACAAGTCCTGTAATTTTGTGTTAAATACATTCGATTTTCCCCACCCGTGTTCTGTTCACTACAATACTTTTTAAATTTACAAATATTCACTCATTGGGAAAATAATTAATTCTGATAAAACTGAGTTAACTAATGAATTGAACGTACAAATTGACGTGTTTAGTTAGTTGCATATATAATAAGTTAATGTTATGTAATATCTCTTATTATCAATTGACTGTTTATCTACTAAAACAGTTTGTTGTCAATAAAGTCAATATAAAGATGAAATTAGAAATTTTAACTTTCAAGGAAAGGTTCGGTAGTTTTTGGTCAAAAGCTATAGTGCTTATAATATCATAGAGTTGGAAAAGGTAATTAATACAATTTGAGAACTTGTTTTAGTGGTCTAGTTTCATTTATTCTTAATCTTCCATCATATCTATAACATTATTTCCATCGAAAGTTTCATTTACCTCTCTGAACCATAAAGAAATTCTAATAATCGTAATTCAAAATAGTTGAACCATGATAGGTTAAAGAAAACTGATCGATGCATTAACTTGTATTCGTTAGAATGATAACATAATTTTGTAAAATACATCTTCAACTATTGTATTATTGTTATTCTTCCCTGAACATTTATGCCATTGCCCAAAAAATGTAATTGAAGGTACTTAGGTCTAATGAACCGAGTAATATAACCAGTTATCTTGCATGTACTGTAACTCAAAGTTAAGCATACGAAACTACACTTGGTTACATTACCATTATTATTACTACTGACGTTCAACGATTAGGCTTTTTTCTTCTATTCTTTCATTCAGAGTTGGAACAACTTCAAATAATCCAAATGAATCCTGACCTCTTTTCTAAAGTGCAATATGATGTTACTGTAGAAAATGTTTACATGCATTACTGAATGGAATTGATGTTAGAGTTTACAACGTTTCCTTGGATTGACTTTAAGGCATAAAATTCTAAATTATTCTTGTGAAAATTGTCTGAAATTTAATAACATTTACTCAAATTACTTATAAAACAGTAAGTGTGACACTTTACTGATTGTAGATCACCTGATGTAGTGGTATGACTTGATGTCTTGAATTTTTTTTCCTAATTACTTAAATTCCTTATTATATGTGTAACTATAGTGTATGGTGTATTATTACAAAACATTTTAGAATTATAAAATGAATTAACCATATGATTGAATCTTCCTAAACAAATAATTTGACATGAACCGATATATTCATGAAAACAATATACTAATTTAACTAGGTAATGTAGATATTTCGAAATTTCATTCAACTTTTAATCATCGAATAAGAAAAACGGAATTCAGCGAAGAAAATTTCCTTTTCGACGAAATCATTTACTTATGCTGTACATTCGTATATATATAGTTAGATAACAGTCCAGTTGGCATATATATATATATATATATATATATATATATATATATATATATATATATATATATATATATATAAAACGGCAAACACAAAGGTCATAATAATAGACTGAATAATAGCCAACTAAACTTGCATAAGGTAGTAATAATGATAATAACGGATTGGAGATTAAAATGCAAAACAGTAGTTTAGAAAATTCAATAATAATCAAATAAAAGTGCAGAAAAAATCAACCCAGAGACGTACGCATTAAAGAAATAAGGGCCAAGGAAGGATGAGAGGTTGGACAAATCGTTTCTGCACATAAAGTTCAGGCCCGAGTTCATGGATTATCACTGTCTCAGCAGTGCATAAAATATTGATTCAACCCCCCCCCCTTCGATCCAGTTTCTTTTGACTCTGTAGACTAAGTAAATGATTTCCTCGAAAAGAAAATTTTCTTCGCTGGATTCTCTTTTTCTTATTCAATGACATTATGGTTTATTTTAATTATATTAATCGTCACTAAGTTTTGATGACTAACTTATTATCTATAACGTATTTTGTAACTTAAATATGCATTTTTAATTTAGCTGTTTTTTTTATAAACTAAACAGAATTAATGAATGAACTTGTGAATGAACTCAGTTTTCAACCTTCTAATTACATTGTTTTAAAATTCTTTAAGATCAAATTTTATTCGTTTTGCCAGTGTAATACTTATGTGGAGAAATCAATTCAAATGAATTCAGTGTTTGTTTGTTTTTATCTCTTATTCTACATATTTCCTTTTAATAAAAAACAGACTGTCCAATATGGAATTTTGATGGAAGTAGTACGGGTCAAGCTGAAGGTTCTAATTCTGATGTTTATTTAAAACCGTGTGCAATGTTCCGTGATCCATTTCGTGGTGGCAAAAATAAATTAGTCTTATGTGAAACTTATAATTACGATAAGAAACCACATGGTAAGAATTTGGCTTGATAGCTTCTTATTGTTGTACTACGAATATTTTACTCATCTTTTTATTACTATAATACGTTATAATGTGAGATGATGTACAAATGTCCCAATAGATTATACAGTGTATACCAATATTAGTAATGATAGTAATTAATTTAATATAATTTATTTGCCATGTATATATTTATGTATTCAGGATTAAGTCACTTTGTACGTGAGCTATTGTTACTAGCCACTTATCCAGACCAAATTAAGTAGAATTTAAAAGCCCAGTTCTTCAATCAAGAAGCCAGTACTCTAATGAAAAATAATAATAGTACAATGACAAATATGTTAGTTGCAAGTGTATATGAGAGAAAATGTTGAAAATGTTTGAACTCAAAGATTTAAACTTTTACTGTTCAGCAATGTACTTACAAATTATACGACGAATTCACTTCGGTATCAGATGACAAGAAGTAAAGTCAAGGTACTTGGGTATATGGATTAATAACCAGAATGCTACTAAGTTTGCAATTTATAAATCATGAGGAACGAATCGATTGCCTTTGTTTCTCGGTTAAACTAAAAGCTCAATTTTCTATTAATGAATGAGATTCATGATCATAAAAAATGTGAATTACTGTTGGAAATCAAGTTATATTATTAATGTTATCAATTTATCAGTTTTATACTAAATAATCTATATATGTGATTACCCGATCTCCGGACTTTGTGGAAAACTATGAATTTTCATATGACTTTGGAGAGAATCTCAAAATTTTCTATTGCATCTTCCCGAAAATTTACCTAGTACTGATGAGAATTTCTCCCAAATTAAGAGACTGAGTTGTTTTAAAATGGATTTCGATCGTCTACATGGAATATCCTTTCCTCGCAAGATATGGAGATCCTGACTGTGGCTGCTTTCAAGAGTATGAATGTGCACTGCCAGACAGTCTCAAACCAGGAATAGACGTTATTAGTGAAGGATCGAGTTATTTCGTTGTTGAAATTCGTGGGCATAAGGTACAAGGTTTCAGTCTCAATACAAACATTAACACTGAGACGTAGATGCATTCAGCTGACGAGTCCTGTATTCCACTTTTAACTACAATCCATCTATTATAAGTAGGCATAGACAATTGTTTCGTACTCCCTGTTTTTCCATGTTTTTCCAGCTGATCTATGGGTAAACATATTTTCAAAAGAACATACTTATGTAAGAATAACGGTTGGGATGTTTAAAAGCATTAGGCCTTGAAATTCAGCAACTAGAATTCTGTCATAATCAACTTTTTCTAAATCCCATTAATCTCATTTTAAAGTACATTAACACTTTATTACATATTTTCCCATCAATAGTATCGAATGTAATTATACTTTACTATATAGATAGATATATAGACAGACGGAAAGTAGGAAAAGTCGAATAGTACAAAAGTGTAGGTTTTTAGATAAAACAACTTTCAAATGAAGAAGAGGGAGGTAAAAAAAGTAGGGAAAGCATGAACAAACAAAAAGGAAACTGATATAAGATAATAAAATGTCTAGAAGTTAAAGAAAGGTATAAAACAAATTGAATGTATATCCATCATCGTGATTGTGAATTTTGTCATTTAAAGATGTCAGTTACTGACTTTTAATTTAAGGAAGAAAAAGACTATACTTCTTGATGAAAATCAGACCAACAAATGACTGATTTGATAGATTTAGACCATATTTCTATATCTTAACATTCGATATCTATCTATATAAATGGCGGAATAATTCTGTATCCTATAAAAGATTAATCTAGGCTAAAAAACTGTCTTCTTTGTTAGCGGTTCATATTGAGAGTAGAAATTATGATCCAACTTGTTTATTTGTCTTAAAGTTCCGATTTTGTTAAAACAAAGATATAAAGTGAATGAAAAATATTCTTTCCAATAATATATTCATTGACTATGAGAAGACGTTTGGCAGTGTGGATAGGAGGACCTTATGGAAACTTCTTAGACACCTTTGTGTACCTGAGAAGATCGTCAAAATCATCCGGAATTCATACAACGGACTACAGTGCAAAGTGGTGCATAGAAGACAGCTGAAAGATGAACTCCAAATGGAGACCGGTGTCAGACAAGACTGTCTACTCTCGCACTTCCTCTTTCTTCTGGTGGTTGACTGGATTATGAAGCCCTTCACATCTAATGGAAAGCACGGAATACAACAGACAGCTTGGACGCAACTAGACGATTTAGACTTCGCAGATCACCCAGTTCTTCTATCCCATACACAAAAACAAAATCAGGCGAAGACAGCCAGTGTAGCAGAAGTTTATGCAGCAGTGATCTTCAATATACACAATGGAAAAGCAAAATCCTCAAATACAACAAGGAGAACACCAACCCAATCACACTTGATGGCAACTCTGGAACACGTGGAAAAATTCACGTATCTGGGAAGCATCATAGATGAACAAGGAGGATCGGATGCAGACATAAATGCAAGGATTGGTAAAGCAGGGGCCGTATCCCAACAATTGTCAACTAATATCAGAGTGAGAATCTTCAATACCAACGGTAGGACAGTTCTACTGTACAGGGATGAGATTCGGAGAACGACTACAACCATCATCAAAAAAGTACAGATATTTAAAAACAGTTGTCTACGAAAGATGCTGAATGTCCGTTGAGCGGATAACATCAGTAACAGTCTACTATGGGAGAAAACAAACCGGCCTCCATCTGAAGAGGAAATTAGGAAAAGACGATGGAAGTGGATAGGTCATACATTACGGAAATCACCAAAGTGAATCACGAGGCAATCGCTAACTTGGAATTCTGGAGGGAAACGGAAAAGAGGAAGGCCGAAGAACACATGGAGTCGGGAATTGGAGGCGGACATCAAAAGAATAAATAGTGAATGGCAATAGTTAGTAAAAATTTGTGATGAAAAACTGTACTACTATTCTGATTGGATTACCATAATCTGTATTTCTGCGAATTCGATCATAGTCAGCTTAAGTGTATACTACCTAGTTCAAAGATTGACCATTTCAATGATCCGAATTGACAATTTGATGATTTCAACTTTTATAAGGAAAAATTTTTATTTCTTTATGTCTAGCAAGATAGTGAACTTAGTTTCATTTATTCGAGGGAAAAAAACTTTTGAAAATTACTTGCTACTGGCTAAAGAAAACTCATGCAACTGATGTACGTTCACCTTTTCTTTGTGTCTTTCACTTTGTTTTACATTCCACTTACTTTTTAGTTTCAAATCATCGTTATCTTTGTAATCTTGTCATGGAGAAAGCAAAATCTCACCAACCATGGTTCGGTATCGAACAAGAATATGCTCTATTAGACATCGATGGTTATCCATTACAATGGCCTAAAAATGGTTTTCCTCCACCTCAAGGTAAGTTTCCACTTTTTGTCAAAACTATTTCATAATTTAATCTGTTTACAATTGCATTAAAATAGTTGAACCTGGTAAATTGTCTTAGACATTCCATACTATGTGAGTTTATACTCTTCTAGTGAAAGTCATTCTGTCTGTGTGACAGTTAACTTCATCACTATCACCTAATTAAAATAGTCTTTTCATATTGCAACTCCGACCTAAAGCTGTACAGTAACATTGTTGTAAGATGTTAGATGATTAAATTTCGTTTGAGCATCATCAGTTGAAAAATGGTTAAGGTTAACTGGATACATAATAATGTACTGATATTGTGAATCAAAATATTTGAATAAACCAGCCTAATATACAAATTAATAAACGAAACCAAATGTCGAGGCTTACAGCAGCAGGCTACAACTAACAGTATTATTCAAATGGATCTTAATTCAATAGAGAAGGCAACTGAGTGATAACTCATTGAAATACCTGAGAAACTATTATTTCACAGATTAATTACTTCATTTCAACATCGATCCTGAGGGTTGTAAAAAATTCGAGCTAATGATAAAAAAATAATCAGTTGAAAATAATTGAAGTGTTTACTACTTAATTACTTGAAATAACTATGTTCTTAAATAGAGTATAAAATCAAAATTAACGGAAAAGAAACGAAAGTAAACATGAATATTGATCATATGTAGTCTTTTATACGAATTCATCATTCATGAATATCTTTTCAACAATGTATATAACGCATAATTTTAGGCATAAAATTAGCCGGACTGTATTTTTGAAATTTCAATTATTGATCAACATAAATAGTAATCTTATTGAGTTAAATATTACTTCATCGGTTGTTTTCATGCTCACTTTAAAGAATCATAACAGAGCTGTGCTTCAATGCTAATTACTTGATTTAGTTAGATGAATAAAACTTTCTTTCTTCCCTCAGTTATTTCCGCCTTATTGTAATCATTCTTTGTAAATTATTCAAGTTTATTTATTGAGTTTATATCGCTTAGGAGAACGTTTGGAAACATAACTATACTGTTTCTCGATAAAGTATATCCATTCAACTTGACTTATAAATGGTAATATCTCTTACTTACTTACTTACTCCTGTTACTCCCAATGGAGCATAAGCCGCCGACCAGCATTCTCCAATCCACTCTGTCCTGGGCCTTCTTTTCTAATTCCATCCAATTCTTGTTCATTCTTCTCATGTCTCTCTCCATTTCTCAGAGTAATGTGTTCTTTGGTCTTCCTCTCCCCCTTTGACCTTGAGGATTCCATGTGAGGGCTTGTCTTGTGACGCAGTTCGGTGCTTTCCTCAATTTGTGTCCTATCCACTTCCAGCGCTTCTTCCTGATTTCTTCCTCCGTTGGGATCTGGTTGTTGTTGATGGTGTCTGTCCAACGGATCCGAAGTATTTTGCGTAGACAGCTGTTAATAAACACTCGTATCTTCTGGATGATGGCTTTCGTAGTTCTCCAGGTTTCCACCCCATACAGTAGAACTGTTTTGACATTTGTATTGAACATTCTGACTTTGGTGTTGGCCGATAGATTATATCTCTATTGACAGTTAAATCTTCAGAAGGTTGATTTATAGATCGAGATCTAATAATAATAATAATGATAATAATAATAATAATAATAATAATAATAATAATAATAATAATAATAATAATAATAATAAAACATACTTCACAAAATATCTTTCATTAAATAAATTAAGTAACTAATTCATTGAATTTATTACTCATAAACAGTCCCTCAAAATATATGACTCCTGATTAAAACATTCAATATTATTTACAGATAATGAAGTCGATAAATTCCAGTAGTTTAGTATTAATTTTAACATATCAATTTGTTCTTATCTACTCTTTTAATGTTTGTTTATATTACCAATGTTAATAAAAGCTGATCAGTTGCTTACTTTTTTGTTAGTATTTCAGTTATTAATACATATGTTGTTGGATTTGAAGTGTCATGATTTACATACGTAAAATTTAGGAAACTTTCAGTTTCTTACTTATTTTCTTGTAAAACTGTCAATAGCTTTATAATAATCTTAGTTAAGCTAAACTTACAGAGGTATGATTATATGATAATTCAGAGCTATTAGTTAAAAAAATATCTCTATGACAATTTTTCTTTGATAAAAAATGTTAAAACTAGTAAATTGATCCGTTTTTTAACATTCTATTACATCATTTATGTTTGGGGTAGAATAGTGAAATCCATATAATCAGTTTTGTGCTCAACTAGATAGAAATATCTCAACATTGTGGCGAAATTCAAACTGTCTCTTGGTTTGTTTCAGATATATTTATTTTTCTAAAAACTAATGACAGTTGTGACCTAATTGAAGTATTCTTCTTTCTGTTGCTCATTAAATCCTAAGAGTTAAATGTGACCCACTAGTTGCTTGCACTCAACTGAATATAAGATGAATGAGCTCTCAATAAATATTTAACCATGTACGCTAGTTTACAAATTTCTTTCACATTGTATGAATTATCCCTCCCAAATTTCTTAGGACCTTATTATTGTTCTGTTGGAGCTGGTAAAGCACTTGGTCGTGATATACCAGAAGCTTTATACAGAGCATGCATGTATGCAGGAGTTAAAATTTGTGGTAGCAATGCAGAAGTTATGCCATCACAAGTAAGAATTTATTTAATAAATGTTATTATCATTATTATTTGAACAAAAGATGTATTCAGTTAAATGATTTTTTTCATTTATAGACAGACACTAGTTATAAGCCACTTCTTTTAGTTTAAGATTTCTCATGTGGATCTGCCGCTATCTGATATTATCAGGAGTTAAATATCTTGATTAGATCGACATCATACAACGTTCTATAACTTCAATAAATTCACCCGATAGGAAATCATTGATCAGCTATAAATTAGTGTTAAGATGGATAATAATGTTTAAATTTTTTAGTTCAAAACCTGATACGATACACTATACGATCGTAATTAATTGTATTTCCCAATGAATAAAACTGGTTTAAATGATAAACAGCAAATTATATTATTTGGTTAAGAAGTTTACAAAAATACATTTCATCATGGGTTAACAGCTGAAAAACTACTAAAACTCAATAAGAAGTGAATAGATAACATCAGTTCATTATAAAAATTATTTTCAAATGGCAGTTATCTTAACGTGACACATTGATAAATCGTAATTGTATACTCAATAATGACTAACTTTAAAATGGATTTTTCTAAAGTTCGAGCTAGAAAACTACGTGATTTAAAAAGTCAACTAAGTGTAACCTAATGATGAAGATAAGATTAAGTTGTAAATGAGTTAAAATTAAACATGTTATATATTCAATAAAAGACTTAAATATTTTAAATTCAGTTGTACATTTCATTGTATATATTGTATACATATACTTATATTGTTATTGTGAGTCTGCACTGTTACCGAATTGCAAACCATGATAAAATAGTCACTAAGTTCTCCATAATTTCCGTGATTCGTTAACATATAACAATATTAGGATTACAAACCTTTTTCCCCTCTTTGTTACTATTTTTGTTTGCATAAGTAACTTGTTGAAATACCCTGTGCTGAGAATTCTATATTGTACCAAAATATAATATTGAATAAAGCCATTAATAATAATAATAATAATAATAATAATAATAATAATAATAATAGCGAGGAGAAGAAGAAGAAGAATGGACCCATAACCATTTTTATTCTCTGATAAATAAAACGATTATTACACTGTGTACTTCATAATCTATTTAGTGTTATTTATTGTCCATTTCATCAGTGAAAAGCCTAAAATAGTATCCATTGTATGCTAACTGTATTCATACAATACTCACCAAAATTTTTCGAATAATATTAAACACACTACAGTGTATTTTATTTCATCTAAACAATATGATTTTTGTGGTTTCACATTGTTTGTAACAATTACGTTCACAAGTAATGACACCGCATTTGTAGGACATGCTCTTCGTGATGTCAAGGTTAAAAAAGAAATAACAGCACCATCAGTTGGACAAAGAAAATTATCCATTTACAAAAGTGAAATCAAGTTAAGCCTTGATGAAAATAACTAATACGATTGAAATATTCTACTTGTTTTCGATATCTCGACTTATAACTTACCTTCAGTCTCATCATCAATCGGGAAGTTCCATAAAGCAGTATTTAACACTGATTTAGTAGATTACAGAAGAGTGGTATCAAGTGTTTTATACAAATCCAGACTTTAAGAGTCATTAAATCTAATGGCTATTTTTAATGTACCAGTATAAAGTGACCTTAAATATGAGTTTTCATTACAATAAATTACAATAAGTAGCTGTTCGTGTTATTACATTCTACACTAAAGTTATCAATGTAGTTAATTTTTATCACATTTTCAAGGTTTGCCACTGACAGTCCTTTAATCAATGTCTACTAATTGAAACATGGAAAAAGATTTCTTCGTGTTTGCAAAGTAATAATTCTGTGTGACTGCCTCCCAAAGGATGTTGCTGTTCGATTACGTTCACTACAAACACACCACTTTAAATGTTAAATCCTTGTTCATTAAACCACCGAGCTATGGTAGCTATCACCCACTGGTGATTTGTGATACTAAAATGAAAAGTCAGTTTTGACGAACAAGCTATTTAAACTGATACCTCACTATTACTCCTATTTTTATCATGACTTCTAAGTAATTATCCGTAGTTGGAAAACCAAACAAATTTTACGGTGAACTTTATATCCCATGTGTTTAACTTTCATAGTGGGAATTTCAAGTTGGACCATGTGAAGGTGTCTCAGCTGGTGATCATTTATGGATGGCTAGATTTATATTACATCGTGTAGCTGAAGACTTTGGAGTGATTGTGTCACTAGACCCGAAACCAATGCCTGGTAACTGGAATGGTTCAGGAGCGCATACAAACTATTCAACTCAGGCTATGAGGGATCCAAAATCAGGTTTACAGTAAGAAAAATATTTATTTTTAAGTCTGTACTTGAATGTATTTTTTTCGGATGAAACTAGTTAACAAGGTATGATATTTTAAGGAAATTAATTTTTACTTCTATCAGTAAATGAAATTTATTTACCTTGTACTCATTATTAAGGAATGTGATAAATGAACTTAGTAGTCACATCTAAAAGTACACTATCAAGATAATTAAATCATCTTAATTCAACTAACTGAAAGCTTTTTATTTTGTTATTGACGTATATCCAGTGAATTATTCTAACTGAATATACCATTTCATTAACTTTTGATAAGACGAATAAATGTTTTGTTATAAGACTAATAATAAACAAACTTCTAAAAGATTACAATTTTCACAAAATGTTTACTCATCTAAATGAAAATTATATTCTGATTAATATTAAATTTGTAATTCCAATAGTTGAGTCCATGAGTCAATTGAAGCTAGACCATCATGGAAAACCTGGAAGCACTGGACGGCCATTTCGCCCTGTTGTGGGACTCTCCAGCAGAGTGAAACCATGATCCTGTCTCGCGAGATTCGAGCCCAGGATCTGTCGGTCTCGCGCGCGAACACTTAATCTCTAGACCTCTGAGCTGGCCAGTATCCAATGTTGTTAATATCTAACTACAACTAATCCACGAAATTGAATGATACTTTCAACATTGTCTACATAAAAATACAGTAAACAATGGTAGACGGATTGCCATTGAACAGTTTAATAGCATGACAAACTATTTCACGAAATCACTACCATGAAGAAGTTTGTTTTAAGATCCAAAGTAAAAATACAACTATTTTATCAGTCTACAACCTTAAATATTGCTTTCTTCCAATTTCGTACTTCATGAAATAACTCCATGCTGTTACTTTTTACTAATATGGTATACTAAATTAGTGAAATAACGAATACTTTTATTTATCAACTCGCTAATTCGAAAGTATATTTTCTTTAAAGGAGAAAACATTTTAATGACTAATTTATTTAAATAACTCAACATGGGCCTGCATGTAATGCTTCTCTATTTCATCGTTGGCATGACTGGTTGAGATCGCCATTTAATAATTTAAATATCTCGCATATTGTTCACACATCACTTCATCAGCAAAACATGTGATTATCATGTGATGAAGAAATCATAATTACTGGTCAGATATTGGATAACAGCCAATTATATTTTTTCTAGACGTTAGTGACACTGGTAAATGAGTTTACAATATGACCAATAACTGAATTGGCATCACAATGGATTTCGTTTAACGTCACATGTTTTAAAGAAAAAAATGATATTAACAACTGTTTCATATATAACAAGTTAAACAATATCCAGTTTTTTGATTACATGAATCCCAACAATGGAATTAAAAGTCAACAATTTAGAAATACGATCATTTCATATAAAACTGTTATCTCAAGCAGAGATGGACGGTGGCCAACAATTGAATCCATGACGCGCGTTTCGCCCTATTTAGGACTCGTCTGTTGAATGTACCTGCAATATTGAGGTAATCCGCACAGGATGCACATATTCTAAAAGAGACTGATCAATTGCAGTCGTAAACATTAACGGGAGGATCCGAACAACCAACATATGAATTAAAACTAAAATACTGACATTATTTAAATGTGTAATGACTGGGGCTGTGCTTTTCCATAGTATTTATCATTTGTCTGGTAAAATAGGGAGGGTCTTGTGACCTAAAGTAACGACCTTAACCTTGCTAAATAGACATTATTTAAACGGAGCTAGATATTTGCTAAAAGCGGAAGCTAGGACGTACGTTCCATCCTATGTTGGACTCGTCACCTGGATCTATCTCCACTTACGTGTTGATTTTCACACCAAAACTAGAAAATTCTTGTCGAACTAGATAAATGGCAAGATAACAAAAACAAAGATACTACTGAAACACATTACGAATCATACCGCCTTAAATAATAAGCCATTATTACCAGAATAGTTTACATGTGGTTCATATATAAATGTCTTAACAAGAGAATATATTGAGTCAACAATATATTACGTATTTCTGACCATCTTAATCGTCTCATCACACCACCCTAATTCACCAAAGTGTCTAACTGATTTAAAGCACTTATCAGCTTAATTTTGCCAAATGTAAATCATGAAGCTAATAAAATATATTTCCAGTTATGGTTATTATTTAAACAAAAGAACTAATTACATGCTTTTGGAAGGTGAAGGTCTTTTCTTTCTATCACGTGATCTGACCTATTTCAAAAGACCAACGATGGATATTTTATTAAAGTACAACTTGAGTCAAATAGGGATCATTAGTTTAGTAATCAATGTGATTGAAGTGTATGCATTAGGAATGTTCTTAAAATATTCAATTAAAATAGTGTATCATCCAATAAAGTGTCGTCTAAACAAACATTTCGATCATTGATCGAAATTTACTAGTACTAGCGAAATTCTGAGGAGTGTAACTAAATATTTTATTCCAATTTTCATTTCCTTCATTTTGTACAGGTCCTTAGCTAAAGCATCATAACATGTGGTCTACAGTACCATTTAGTCGGTGAATGCTTAGTTTTCAACTTCAATTAATTAATAACGTAATTTTCTTGATGCCTTATTCTACTAGTTGGTCCCAACTCATAGTGTTTCTAGACAAATTTTATTAAATCCATCTGTTAACAAGTCACTAATCACCTCAATAATCTTATGAAATTGATTATATACGACGTCGGAAGTAGGACTTAGATGAAAATATTATCACTTCAGTACTCTCTAGTTTCTGACAGGTAAAATTAGTTATCACTAAATACAAACCGTCTATCAAAATGCTTTTTTGGTCTAACCAAAAAAAAGCTTCACACAGTGAATAAATTACACACAAAACGGTTCACTCATTGATTACCTTCAGAAATATAGAATTTGAAGAAAGCAGTATATTGGTTTGATTACATTTAAAATGAGAGAGTTATCTTCGGCAAACAAGAAATACATATCATGTTTGTTTCATCTGGCATTATTGATTCTAGATCCCTGAAATAAGTAGACTTACTAGTAACATAGATAATAAATAAATAAATAAATATATTTGTAATATCCCAGTGTGTAAAAAAATTGGATTTTCTGACGTTTCGTGACTCAGTGTAAGCCACTTCTTCAGAGAATGAATAATTAAATCACAATTAATCCAAGTCACGAAACGCCAGAAAATTTAATTTTTCTACTCATTAAGATATTACAATTATATTAATTTATTTATAACAATCTACCGAATGCTCAGTTCATTCGAAATTATCAAGTCAAACCTTCGTAATGATACCTATAACAAAGATAATGTTTTTCACAACACACTACAAGTTTTCACGAAAAAGTATCAGAATGTCTAAAAATTTCACGTTTCATTACTATAAACATTTAAAAAAATTACAATGAATAGAAATGAATAAGTTATTATAAGAAAATCACACTGGTATTATTACTATTATTGTTTTATTTAGAGCAATAGAAGATGCTATTGAAAAACTATCACATAAACACATGGAACATATTCAATGTTATGATCCTAAACATGGTTTAGACAATCAAAGACGTTTGACTGGTAATCATGAAACAAGCAGTATTAATGATTTTTCATCTGGTAAGTTAGTATCTCCAAAGAGATTTTGTTCTTAATGTTCTACAACTTTTTCAAGCAACAGATGATATCACCATGTACATAGTATTTAAAGTTTACAATATACAGACGAAATCTGTTAAAAGCACAAAGTTCAGCGAAGGGACCTCTTTTCAACGAATTTATTATCAAGCTGTACAATCATATATATATATATATATATATATATATATATATAACGTTTTTGTTAAAGTACTAGTTCCGTGTGGAATTGTGAACACGAATAACCAAGATGACGTAATAGAAAGATTATAATACTAGATTACGTAATACGAATTATAACGATAGACTTAATAAGTTAGTAACGAATTGTAACGTGAATGTATTAAGATGATTAAAATGTTTTTGGTACAATAATCAAAGGTCATTAAAGGTCATAGATGTGTAAAAAACAAATAAAGTGATATGATGATCGTTTATGAATAAAATAATGAGAATATGAGACATAAGTAAAGGGCCAAGGTAACGATAATGATAGGAAGATAGGAATGCGAGTTCTTCATTCCATACTACATATCCGATGTATTCGATGACATGAAGAGTGAATGAGATTTCTCTTTCTGGAACTAGTACTTTGATAAAAAAATTTTCATATCTATACGATTGTACACCTTGATAACAAATTCGTTGAAAAGAGATCCCTTTGCTGAACTTTGTGTTTTTAATGTTTAAATGGGACTAAGACTAGTTATAATGAAAAAATATCATAAACGGTAATCTGTGTTTAGTTTCAGAATTATTGATAGAAATGAAACAAATGTTGATCTCTCCTTAACATTGAGAATTTTATAAACAAACTTAAATGCAGTTGTAAAATCAACCTTCAGTTTTATAGATTCACTAATGACTGGAGTTATGTTATAGACCTAGAATAATTATTGGCTTGAGAAAAACTTCTTATAAATAATTTGCAATCAGTAGTTCTATGGTAACTTTTTACTAACTACTTTACTATGCTTTATTGATTTCTACAAATCCCTAAATAACCAATCATAATAAAGCCTGATCACATTCTGGATAGGATTAACCGTTCATTGTTTCAGCTGTGAGACGAATTGTCGATCTTTTTTTTTGAAAAATTATTTGATTCAATTTTCACTCATTAACTCTCTTGAAAAAATCGAAATAGTGACAAGAAGTTTGTTTCATGTGGGTAGATAAATAACATATTCGATTGTCTTACACATATTATGTTTAATTTACACATCCAATCATAAAGTTCTATCATTTCCTTCAGTATTCTGATGATGATTATCAGCATCACGTTAGTATCATTTTAAACTCTACTCAATTGACTTTGCCGCTCAAAAATATACACAGTTTAGGATATTGTCGAACATATTGGTTGATAGACCATATAGATTAAGCCTGTTTATACTTCAATTGAGATTAAATAGCTATATCATCCAATTCGGTTAGTAAGTACACACTCGTGTACCCGGCTTCGTGTAAAATTCTTCATATAAGGGTTAGTGATATTATCCTCGAATATTCACCCTGTTCTAAAAGGGCAGAAATATTTTTCCTTTCTGTGTAAATTATGTAGTTTGGATTGTTTCATACGTGTGAAAACTTCTGCTTCTAATTTAACTGAATTAAATTTTCAGTTAAATTATATGAGTATTAGTTTTTATATTAATATCTGTTTTTATGTTTTTATTTAAATCCATTTTGTGAGTGCACTGATTTGCACTTCATGGGCCAGACGGTTCACTTGTGTAATTGTTTTCTCACACGATAGATTTTCTTTAAAATTCAGTGCTTATTCTTTTCGGGCTCTACCAATACTTTTTTCTGCCTTTGTCCACTTCCTTAACACAACAGTCCAGACTAAACGTTGTTGTGGTAGACGAAGACGCCTCTATTTTGTCGAGTATGGGAAGCAATGTGAAAACTGTAACAATTGGTATCCTCGTGTTTGCACTAGATTTCCCCTGAACTTGTATAAGAATTGTTGCAAATCACAACCATAATGATTGTACAAAATACACTGTCCTATAACGTTTCTGTTGATACTTGAAGTAATAGAGCTAATGAATCTAGCTAGGAAACTTCTCACAGATGAATAGTAAGTTACAGAACACTGATCGATCTGGGGAATATATTGAGCATCACTATCAATCCAGCTTCAGATCCAGATAGAACCATAGTAAAACACTTCTAGAACATAGAGAACGATTAATCTACCAATTTACGTAAGGCTTTTAGGAAAAATATCAAACGCCCAGAGAAAAAGGGTGTAATACAACAGCAATCCAGTGAAAACCATGCATTAGCATAGCCCATACGACGCAGGAGACTCTTTAAAGAAACATGGTAAGGTCAATGAATGGTTAAAAGCAACGTTCGGAAAAGCAACTAGGAGAAGAAAATATGAAACCCAGTCATCTGTTATCAAACCAGTTTGCAAAGGAGAAAAGGGTTTGAGCTAAGGAATCCCAGTTCTCAGTACTAAATCATATTTCTCAAAGGAGTCAGTCATGTTGCATAAGCTGAAACAATCCCGAAAAAAGATCCAAAGGTAAGTTTAAAGGCAACCTGAACTACAATAAATACCTAACATTCAAGCTAATTCCGGATACAATAAAGGGAGTTAGCATACGCAAATTACTCAGAATAAGATAGAAATTGTATTCAGAAAGTCTTCAGGCAAGACGAATTTTTAAAGTTCATTTGACATCCACTGAGGAGTAAAGTCTATTAAAGAATCCTCCACAAACTGCGTTTATCTAATCTTTAGGTCCACTCCGACTTCTGGCTGGCTTATCTCAATAAGAGACGATCTGCAGGAATAGAAATAAACGGATATCGTCAAAGTTATGGTGAAAACCTTAAACTAAAGAGTCTTTGAATCGACAAAGTCGGGAGCAAACGGATCCTTAAACCACTCTAAGTGGTACTGGAAAGTACTCCACAGAAATAACGGTTTGTTAAACAAACATTCCCAGACTGCTGAATGAAATTACAGAGCTCACAAACAATGGAAACACAAAATTTTGATATCTTCTTCATTTCATATATTTGGCTAATGTCAAAAGTAAATGATAGCGAAATTCAGTCGTTTAGTTTTTTACTTTGTAGAACCAACAGAATAAGCCATAGAGGAGATGGTGTTGTCCTGTGTTTGAAGAACGCCTTAAGTATTCGAGTTGTCGAGACCGCGGTATACGATTTAGACACGTGCGAATTAATGCAGTCTCGAATAAAATGTAGAGGAGCGTATATCGAACTAGTGTTGTGTATCATGGCCCTCAATCCGCAGCAGACGATTTTCATTTTATAAACTGTATTTCTAGTCAATCAAGTACAGAAACCTTTGGCAGCTGACTTGAGTTGAATTAAAGGCGGAATTATTAACAAACCCGTTTGATTACAAATTGCTGGAAACTACATACTCATTAACTTTAGTCCAGTGCACTATAGAACCCATTGAATATGAAATACAACACTCTCCTTTTGTCCTGGGCCTAGTTTTCGCTAACGGAGACAGTGCTAGTTAAATTAAATGACTACGCTGTCATAATATTTGAGTTCAATGTTGCCATGGCCTACCAAGCAGGCTTGCAACCCCCCTAATATACGGAATGGGAGACGTAGTCCTATTTCGTTATAATCTCGGAGTAACAGTTGTTCATGACCTAAAGACCACGACTCACTGTCGTTTTTCATACACTACTTTATTTCGACTTCATTTCTTATGAGTTTCCTGTAACATAATTATAAACACAATTATAAACATCTTTCTTCCACTCTTTCCTATTTCGTCTTATATAGGTGTTGCAAATAGAGGCAGTAGTATACGTATTCCAAGACAAGTTGCTGAAAATGGTTGTGGTTATTTGGAAGATAGACGTCCATCATCCAATTGTGATCCATACATGGTCACCAGAATGTTAGTAGAAACAACATGTCTTTAATTATTATTACCATTATTTATAAAATAATGAAGAACTAATACACAACAAAGAAATCAATTTTTATTTAAAAACATAATGTTACTAAATAATATCGAATGTTCCCATATAATCACTTCATTTTGTTAGTGGTTGCAATAAATTTAAAAACTGTATTTACATAATTTTGATAACCGTTGTCATCATTAATTTTTCTCCATTGTTTACGAAGTTATCATCGTCATCAAAAGCAGATGCAAGAGCAGTAGTGTCGTTATTATTGACTTTTCAATGATCGAACAATTTTTATTTTCTAGTATTTTCTATCATACAAATTTATAGTTTACTTAGTGAACTAATCATTATCCCAGTTACTGTTTAATTATTGAACCATTCACAACAAAGGGATTAAGAAATGTTAAATATTGATTTGAGTTTTCTAAACAAATAAACACATACACCATCTTTTCTGTTTGTCCTTTTATATCACTTGTCATTTAAATTTATCGTTTGTGATTTATATAAGAAAAATCGTTTTATTTTTTATTTTAAAAAGTTATGAATAAAAAACATTAAGAAATGAATTATGAAATCTAATCGTTTCTTGATCTCAATTTTATAAAAAAACCTTAATTTGAAACAAAGATAGATAGTAGCTAGCAGTGGAATCCAGGACGCGCGTTTCGTCCTATTTGGGACTCGTCAACTGGATGTCCTAAATAACAATGGGAAGATACAAGTAAAACAACACTAAGTGAATTTAAACTTCACCCCATTGTAAAAGCAGTTTGCTATCATGACTTAGTAGCTAAGTGGATAACGCAATGACGTTTGAAGCGAACGGTACTAGGTTCAAATCCCGGAGTGGGCATCAACTCTGTGATGCAGGTACATCCAGCTGACAAGTCCCAAACAAAACGAAACGCGCATCTCGGATTCCACTGCTAGCCACTATCCATCTTTGCTTAAAAAGCTGGTTACTTAAGACTATATCGAGGCAGTCCACACGGGATGCACATATGCCAACATGAGACTGATCAATTGCAGTCCTAAATAACAGTGGGAAGATACAAATAAAACAACATCAAGTGAATTTCAACCTTAATTCGTAATATGATATCCATTGGAACTTGATATCAGTTGAAGAATCATTGTGGTTTTTTCAGCTTTTTCGTTTCATAGCATGAATGTTAGTATGAGATATTGGGCATGAATCCTAATTTAATTGCTACTATTATACCATGAGATACACAATTAGAAATATACAAATTGGATGGCTCTTTCCTAGTAAAACATTATTGACCATTTCATTTCCAGAACTCCAATTCGTGTCGACGGTCACAGTTAAACTGAAGAGAATAACTTTAATCGTACAGTTAGCATACAATGTACTACTCAATGCAGCATAGTCTTTGTTCAGAAAGTTAATAAAAAAATAAGAGGTTTGAATTCCAACTTATCATTAGAACTTCGGGACTTTATCTCAAACTAATCTTCGCAACCAACCGAATTTATTTATGAAATAGATGAATTATATCTGGTAGGGGTTTAAGATCTTTAAACATTTTAAATAACACGATTCTGTTTGGGAGCATATTTTAAATTCAACGGGGAGGGCATTCACAAAACGACTGTCTATTATTATCACCTTCCTTTACATTCTACACTAAATCTTTTAGTTTTCAAGCCACTCAGTACTTATCTTCAGGCTGTCAATATTATTATAATTATTAATGGCTTTTTTCAATATTATATTTTGGTACAATATAAAATTCTCAGTACGAGGTATTTCAACAAGTTTCTTTTACCAAAACGGAAAAAGGGAAAAGAAAAAGGTGAAAGGAAAGGTCTGAGTCTGTACAACTTTTCAATTAGAAACAGGTTTAAGACTAGGTCAACTCTAACAACCTGTTCGTTACAGAGTATATTTAGTAGTTATGATATTGTAGAAGTTATAAAAGAAGAAAGATATGAATTAAGGGGATGGTAAGTATCTGATAAGATAACACTTTCCCGGAGTTTACAAGACTTTAGATGTCTATCCACAACCATATTAATAATGACCTCAAAGGATTCACCACATACCATGCTAACTGCCTTCAGCATTCTCCGCAATACAAAAGCCCGGGAAAAAATGGAGAACAGTAAAGAATAATAAGTAATATGCAAGAATTGACAGGTTGTAAGAGTAAATGTCGAGTAATACCAAAAGCAATCAGCCTCTTTATGTAGTAAGTCGGACGAAAAACTTTCTTAGGTAACAGTAAAACATGAGAAGACCAAGAGAGATGAGAGAGAAAAAGTAACACCAAGATAATTGACCTTTGACACTGTGTTTACCAAAGAGTCTCCTATGGCACAAGCCTTATGGGATCCCAACATGGTGTTTAGATGCTGTTCACGTCTCAGGCTAAAGTTAACAGCTTGACATTTAGACGGATTAAGTATGAGACCATTACCAACAGACCAACAATCAATACGAGACAAAAACTCATTCATTTCTCTGGAATTTAAAGAGACAGAAATCGGTATTCATGGAGTGAGATCATCTGCATATTTCAAAAAAGTGTTTTCTGTGGAAGATGGCAGATCATACATAAAAAAGTGAAAAGAAGAGGTGAAAGAACGGCTCTTTGTGGTACACCTTCATGAGACAGCAGAGACGTTAAATCCTTTCCCCCAAACACAGCGTACTGTCCTCTTCCAGATAGGTAGGAAAATATCCAGTTATTTATCCAGATGTCAGTGTTGACGCTGATTAACTTGTTAGGTAAAAGTTGTCTTGGGATAGAATCAAAGGCAGAAGTATAGTCCAGAAAAACGCATCAAACATACTTCTTACCCTTTTCCAAGCTGAACACTATCTTGTGATGCAGAACAGCAACGGCATCTGGGGTTCCTCTTTTGCATTTGTGAGCAAACTTATACGGATCAATGTGCTCTTTTATTGCAGGTTGGAGTGGGAGTATCAATAATTTTTCTATTGTTTTGATGAAAGATGAAGTTATTGCTATGGGTCTAAATTTTACATTCTTATCACTAGATAGTTTCTTAGGTATAGGGATTATCTTTCTCCATATTTTCAGTATGAGATTAGTTGAGAAGGATCTGTTAATCATATTAGTGAATAGATAACATAGAACGTCAGCACATTTTTAAAAAAAGGAGGTTTGGGCTACCATCAAATCCTAAACATTAGGATAAATCTAGAGGGTTATGATAATGAATGAACCTACGTTAAATCTGTCCAGTCATCTTTCATCAGAAAGTACCAAACCACAGACTTTTCACCACTCCATTTCGTCTCATCAGTTTCAAAGTCATCATTAATCATTTGGTATAACAATTACTTGAGTAAAATTTATAAAACACATTTAACACAACAGGGAAGATGCTATCGGATGAGATCAGTTGTCAAGAAATCTATCCAATATACCATACCATACGCTCAAAAAATGTTATCACTGTTTATAAGCTATCTTTATTAGACATTTATGTCTGAGCATCATAGAGATCTATCAAAAATCCTTGATTTAAATGTAGGAGTCTTTATTTAGTTTAATAATAATGGTTAGAATTGTAAACATAATATGGTTTTCAAAATATAAATAGAATTAACGTACGACTTATTGGTTGTTGTTTTTTTCCACATATTTCTCCTTTTTTTATTGCGTAATAACGTAAACAACTTACTTTTGATAAACAATATGATTATAGCCAATATACACACTTTGTACTTTGTAATTATAAATCTTGTAAGAAAAAAAATTTATTATTCACTACATTTATGCTTAATTATTTGACTAATGTAAATAAATTTCAAAGTGTCAAAATATACAACTTTGTATCTACTTCATGTAGGTTTAATTTGATACATTAGGATCACCTGTCATTTTTCCCAAAGGAAATTTATTTTCACAGCCCTTCCATTAATATGTTGTTTATATTGGGAATTTCGTGCTTATTCCTTTATTCTAGCACTGATAAAGATGAAACTGTTGGTTAATATTATTATGCGTTATCTAGTGGTAGTGTGGTGCGGCTTACTTGTATCCATATAAGCAGTATATAACGGTAGTCAGGAATAGAAGGTATTTCAGTAGAAGATCGAGAAGGAAAGAACGGAAACGGAACGCAATTGGTATGAAAATGCATAAACAATTAAATCTGAGACGATAGACTGATTTTTGCAAAAGGAACAGGCAACTTTGAAACGATGGATTGATATTTTGCAAACAAACTATTTATAGTATAACGTTGTAAGCTATGATGGATAGGACGCGCGTTTCATCCTATCTGGAGCTCGTCAGCTGGATGTACCTGCGTCACAGAGCTCATGTTCACTCTGGGACTCGAACCCAGTTCCATTCGCTTCAAACGCCATCGCGTTCTCCACTCAGCTACCCGTCATGACAGACATTTTTGTGTGTAATGGGGTGAAATTAAAAACACTTGGTACATATTGCCTTGTAACAGACTGATAAACTGCAGTCTTAAAAATTAATGAGAAGATAGAAGTCAAAAGCACCAAGTATATTTACAGTAAAGTCCTTAGATTTTATTGAGATGCTTTGTAATTTCTTTTCAAATACACTCGATTGTCCCCACTCGTGTTCTCGTTCACTATGGTGGGATGTAGAACTTGTATTTCACCCTATAAAAGATTTCTAACTTTAGCTTAATTGTATTCTACAGTGCTAAATAAATGTTGATGAATGAATAAAATTTAGCTGTCATAGTTTATTATTTTAAGTGGACAGTTTCCCCAGAGTATGAAGTAGTGTGTTGATTAGTAATATTAGTGGAAACAACGGGATAAAGATACAGTTTTGTGATAAATTTTAAAAGACTAATGCGTAGTCTTTACTGAATACTGTTACAATATAATCAATATTCATATCAAGTCTTTAATATGAATGAATGTGAATACCTATAATAGGATGGAACGGATGTTTGGTGCTTCCTGGTTTGTCGTGGTATTGTGACTATGGTCAGTTTGTGATAAAAGCTATGGAAATATACATTTTCAATTAACTTAGTTTGATTCCTTACGTTACTTCTATACTTCGTTCATAAGATTTCGTGGTTTGAAAACGATGAGAACTTTTCTGATGCAACTTTCTCGAATAGTTCAAGGTAAAAATGGATCTTATTTCGATACGGATTAGCGTAATCACGAAACAATTGATTTAGAAAGGAACTTGATTTCATTCAATCATTCAATACAACTTTTATTCATGTCATAATTATATTGATGGCTTAGTTTTAGTAAAAAGTGAAGAATAGAATACCTGGATCACTATATCAGCCAGCGATATTAACAAATTTAGATCTACAATTAATGACAAAACGTACTATATTTTATAAACTTATAAGTCATGAAAAACATTGATCTGTATGCACCATGAATGGAACAAAGTTGTGCTTCGTCAATCTTGAGCATAATCCTTACAATTTAATCTGAAAGCCTGTCTGAAATTACAAGTGATTAGTCACTGAGAAGTGACCAGTTTCATGTCTTTCAAGTCCATCTTAATGCTGATCGAATTCTATCGATTAAGTTGCAATGTGGCCATTATTTCAGGTAACTCGACATCGTATGCACCATGTTGAGATGTAAAGTGGGGGTAACGTCTTTGAATGTGAAGTTGGGTGACAAGAGATCAAATACTTCCAGAGAGCATTAGATCCCCAAAGATTACAAGTATACCCTTCTAACTAGTGTCAAACAGCATGGAACCTAGATCCAGGGTCTTCTGCTGACTACCTTCAACAGCTACCTGAAGATGACTGAATTTTAAATTGTCACAGAATTTTTGCTGCTTACACCACTGACAGCCACCGAAAATGTGGAAAAATTAGATAGATATGCTATCCCAACACAGGATTCCTCAGCAATCCGTATTCCCGACCCTATCAGGGACCAAACTCATGACCTTCGGTCTCACGACGGACACCTAACCTCCAGGCCATTAAGCCAGCATGTAATATTGAGAGACCATAGAAATAGTGATCATGATTTAGATGATTTTTAACCACTTATCTTTGATGTTCACGATTTCTTCATAATTTACTTAAACAAATTGTGTAGGGTGTACTGGATCAACACATTATATATTCTTTTACAATCTGATGACTGCTGAATTAGAATAGGACACCTGTCCAGTACTATCTGATGACAGTTTGTCATGAAAAATGTTTTCACATTGCGAAAAACTTGCAAAAATCCGAGAGTAAATTATATAGTATTTTTGTAACATCGTAACCATCAGAATGTTAGTTTAGTTCTATGTGACCTCATTATTTATCAGATGAATGGTTCTGATGAATATAATCATGTACTTACAATGTTTCTTATAAATATTTATTTTAAAAGTAAACAGAGGTCATTTAGAAAGTTTAAATTCAAATATATGAAATGGGCCGAAAAACAAAAATATTGTGCAACCTCTGTATATGTGCAACGACTAAGTCATATTTAACGTTCGTTTAGATACGTAGTGATATGAGTGAATGTCCCAACAACCATAAACTTTTCGAAACTAAACGATCAATTTTTAACAAATTATTATGGAAGAACACTTTCACTTATGACCTGTATCAATCAGAATGATATTTCGCAAAGGGAAGTTTTTTCAAAATACTACACGTTTTAGCTAGAACCATGAGATTATTAACCGATGACCTGTGCATTGGTATACAGATTAATTACTAAGCAATATCTTGATGTTGTTCCATTGTATCATCTATTTGTCTAAGTATATGGGATTTTTTAGATTTTAGGAGTTTCATAGTCTAACCATTGTATTTCTCGTGAGAATCTGTGAGTATTGGAGTTTATTACGTGTTGGGTGTGAGATACCGATCTACCGTAATCAACGCATAACGGTTGCGAGATCGTGGATATACACTTCTGTGGGATGGAACGGCCTTCCAGACCATTCATTTGTATGGGATTTAATTTATACGAAATAAAATGAATTCACTTTATCATACAATGTTCGTTATTTTTGTTTCACAAAACATTTCGCCAGTGTACAAATTTAAATGTGCCAGATTGAAGAAAATTCTTTTGACTGTGTTGTTTTTGGGATGAGCAACTTGAAAGGAAGCAAATAATATAGTTGAGTGACGATTACTCACAAATCTGAATTATGAAAGTGAGCAGTCGACAGTAAACGGATTTTTAAAATATTATTTCGTCAGCAAGACATGAATTGTGTTACGTGACAGAACGACATACATTAAAATGTTTAGCGTAGAAACAAACAAGATTAAAATTCATTGAAAAAAAAATAACTACAAGATTCAGATTCTTACATAATTTACACGTGTATAAGATTAAAGCATGATCATTAAGCCTACTTATTCCCAACTATATTAAGACCAATAGTTATTATGAAAAGCATCTGCGGAGCAATATATTCCTGAAATTTGATTTTACTGTTATTTGAAATGAACAGAAGTCATATTACTTTAAATACTGAAAGGTTTTTTGTCGATTAATTATTCTATTGAGCTTCCTTAAGTCATTAAATTCCTCGAGCCATTTTCGACTGTAAACTCTGTTTTCACTATGATTATCATAGATTAGATTTGAAAGAATACATCGTATTTTGACTAGTATACTATTAAAAACATAGTGATCAATAGTTTATTGTGTTTGTTGACTGGTCTACTATAGTAAATTGATAACATTACTTTTATATAAATTCAGTTACTAGATTCAATAAGTGATGAATACATTAAAAGTTATTGAGTACATCCGTTTAAATAATTTTGAAAATCTACCTCCAAACTAGCGATTTATAAGCAAACTATCATTTATTATAGTGGTTTCGTAAAAATGAAACATAATGTGAAAATAATTTTCATTGCGAAAGATTGATCCATGTCCCGTCTGAATTAAATGAGCTAAAATAGAGCTGTTAACAGTTTTATTTACATCTTTGATTAACCACACTGGGAGGTGCTCACGAGCCCGAATATAGAAATTCCTAGAACATCTACCTATATAACTTGCTCCATAGAAGCAATTGAATTGATAGACGTGGAAAGTGACTAGTCTAGACAATTTATCTTTAAATATTGGAGTGATCAATGGACATATGGAAAACACTAATTGTAGTTTACCTGAATTAAAAGTTCTTTGAATTGACCTATTAAAAAGAATTCAACGAATGTTTCATTTCATTTCCTTGAAAGAAGTATCCGAGACTAAGAAAGGTTATTATTTATATCATCATTATTATTTTGAGATACTCACCTTTTTATTGAGTCAATCTTAAAAACTATTTCTGAGAATAATTAATATTTAAAAATAAAAATAATCACATGGGTGGCAGTTTATGTTGGATATTGTGTAATGGTATCATAAATTGTTATTTATATAGAAGACTTATAATGATATTATCGATAGAAAATTGTTTTTTATTAAATAAATCGTTGGAAAAGAAAATATTCCCAGATTACATAATGATCACAATAAAATGGTAAACGTTTCTTTTTTTTCAGAAATGTTTCATACTATTTTAAATGATATTACTAGTAGTAGTTAGCATTAAATTGTTTCCATTGATTTTAATACTTTAACATTGCCTAATGCTTCTGTTACAATTATTCGTTTACGTTGTATATCTGTAGTAATAGCCATTGGATGCCATATTGAATGTGTACCCTTTTCAGCAATCGGTTTCAATGAAGATAAATTAATAGAAGTGGTTTTATGTCCATTAACATGGATTTGATTCAATCCATTGGTTTGTTTTGTTGATCTATTGAAATCATTTGTCAGAATAGTATTATCATTTTCATTGATATGTTTAATTTGACATGATTGTATACGGTGATTAACATGATCAGCAATTAGAAATGATCTAGTCCATGGAGCATAGCATATTCCATAAGGTTGTAAAATCTTTACAGAATAAAAATGATAAAAGAATACAACATAAAGAATCAAGTAAAACATTGAAGAGATCAATAAATTATTACTTATAAAAAGTTTTAAAGATTTTAAAATGTGTTTTAATGCATTGAATTGCTGTATGTATAGATCAGTACAAACTATTAGCACTAAAGTGTTGAAATTCTACATTTTATTCTGTTAAGTAATTACAAACGTAATTTGCTTCGTTGTTTCTTATTGTTTTATCATTACAATCCTCCTTTAAAGGTAATATATTTGTTCAGAGGAGTTAAGTTCTTCATTTATAATCAGTTTCACTTGATATATTATTATTATCATTATTATCTGTAAGTTTGATTTTTAGAAACGAAAATTCCAACGTAAAATCTTTGCTTCATGGTATTTAAGTTTATTTTATTCAATTCTTAAAGTTGATCAAGTTTTATAGATTACGTTGTTATATGAACATTATGTTAAGTGACTAGTTAAAAAAAAAACGCCATGTATTGGATGATTTTGAAGAAATTAGTGGTAGTTTCCAACATGAAGTCATATTAACTAGAGAAGGATTGAGAACTAGAGTGTTCTAGATAACTAACCTGTCAAAGCGTTTAAAAATTTAGTATAATTTATCAAGTGAACTTACTTCCATGCATCACACTAAATATCAGCTTTCATGATCGTAATCATAAATACTGTTTACTTAGTACGTATTTTTACTTAAATAATGCAGTAGTTTGGGATCGTTCATTTATTGTAAATCAAATAATGAGATATAAATCTGGAGTTACTGTTTAAACTATACTTTTTAATATCTACAAAGACAGAAAAATAATATCAGAAGGGGGTTTTGTGGATATTATAGTAATTTCAGTAGTTGAGACGATGATTCAATTGAAACTAGACCAACATGGAAAACCTGAAAGCACTGGATAGCCTTTTCGTTCTATTATGGGATTCCTCAGCAGTGAGCATCCACGATACCGCCTCGCGAGATTCGAACCCAGGACCTATCAGTCTCGCAGTCTCTAAACCACTGAGCCGGCACCCAACGGTGTTAGTGACTAACCTCAATCAATAAACATAATTGCGTGACACATCCACCATTGTCTTCAGTGAGTGGAGATAGATCCTCAAAACTAGTGACTGGCTTCAAGAGAAATTTCCTGGAGTTCTAGTGATAAGCAGTGATCAGTGGAGTTCAACCGGGTCTGTTGTGAGTTAGTAACTCACTGAAGACAATGGTGGATGTGTCACTCAATTTCGTGGATCAGTTGATGTTATACATCAACACCGTTGGATGCCGGCCAGTTTAGTGTTTTAGAGGTTGAGCGCTTGCGTGCGAGACTGGTCAGTCCTGGGTTCGAATCTCGCGAGGTGAGATCATGGTTGCGCACTGCTGAGGAGTCCCACAATAAGACGGAATGGCCGTCCAGTGCTTCCAGGTTTTCCATGATGGTCTAGCTTCATTTGACTCATGATTTCAACTATTGATATTATAATAATTTTAATAGTTGAGATCATGAGTCAATTGAAGCTAGATCACCATGGAAAGCCTGGAAGCACTGGACTGATGGAAAAATAACTAAATAAATTTTTCTATATTTTACGATCAGTATCATTGTGTTTTGCGACACAAACCAATATCAATAATCTAAAAAACTATTGGAATATTGTTAATTGATCTAGTGGTATACATATCAACAATCGCACTTAACGATGACTTAGATAGACGACAATTTAAGGATGTTAATCTGTTGTTTGTGTTAAAATCAACAATCAAGAGTTAATCTGGTCTGAAGACTGTGCACATGAACAAATTGAGAGGGCAACAAACTTGTTATGTTAGATCAAGTTCTGTCTTAATGATGGTGAATAAAAGTATACGGAAATGTTCATTCACTGATGGCCGTTAGCTACCACTTACTTATTCACAATACAGATATTATGTTCAGTTGAAAATCAAATGTATTTTGGGTCAAAACAGAGATGTTTTGGTAAATTATTTATTTATTATCTTCGTATTCTGAATATATGACCCATAAAGTTTATGATCAAATACTTGATTTGTTTTTAACATATCGGATTTGATCGTTCTGTCATGTGATCGAAAATACAAAGGAACAACCTTGAAAATGAAAGCAAATAAATGTTTTGTTGACATGCACAACCAATCATGGTTCACTTATATAAATGGTAGGCGAATTTTAGAACATATGATGTATATCCACCTGATAACTTATTTATTGCATTCTATTGTTTGTTTTATTTTGCATCCTTGAACTAGTCATATTTACCTTGAATAAGAAAGATTGTTTCAACGAAAAGTTCCCTTTTGTGTGGATTTATTTCCAAAGCTGTACAATCGCAAATATATATACTTATTTTTAAGGATGATAATTACAATAATAATGTTAATAAACTTCTGTTACACATGGTAACAGTGAAGTAGAATAAACAAAGGTATTCAAAAAAATTTTAAACTGGGAAACTAATAACGGCTTAAATGTTCATCATAAAAACAGATAGGGTTGGCTCATCATGGTAAGATGAAATGTTGAGATTGAGATGAGATGTAATCATGAGGATAATAGAAACAGAAATAAACCAGTTGGGGGGTAGAAGGTTTAAGGAGAAGATGGAAGGAGAAGCAGGTGGCTGTAAAGAAAGAAGAGTTTGAAGAAAAAATAAGAAAAAATTATAAGACATTAAGACCATGGTAGAAGAATAGGTTGTACCAATCTCTTCTGGACACATAACTCTGGTTTCCCCAGATATATGGCTATCGCTCAGGCAGTGTGAAGAGGATGCAATATGACTGCGTTTGGAAGATTTCTACTCACACTGTAGATGACTTTGAACGCAGAGTTCGTTTTGATTGAGTGACCTGTGTTCACAAGGTGTTCGAATATTGAACTTCTTATTGAGCCGTTTGTAATTAGCATCCTGAAAAACAAGTATGTATTCGCGATTGTGCAGCTTTGAAAATGGATTCGCCGAAAAGAGAACTCTTCGCTGAACCAATCTTTCGTATTTAATGTCTCAATGGGTGTATTCCGTTTAGAAAAAAATATATTTACCTTGGTCAGTAACTAAAATGAATGCTATCATGTGTGCTTACCGTTTGGTTAAAATGAGCTGAGATCAATGTATGCGTTTCCTCAGCAACTTTGCTAAAATATAAATCAAATAATCTGTTGGCTGGTTTATATGAAGGAGGACAAAGATATTTATTTCATGGAAAGTAAGAACCGGATTGTTTAGCTCGATAGAATAAGATTTTACTTGTAAAATAATGATTCAAACAGAAGTTTTGAAAAATAATCGACAGCCTATTTACTTAGTGAAATGGCTTTAAGATTAATCTAGGTGGTTCTGTCCAAATTATCTGTAGTCTTCTGAATGTATTTTTCATTTTGAATTGATTTCAGGTGGCGAATTGGTTCTTAGTAAAGAGTATCTTCAGAATAAACTGTGTTCCCATGAAACCATTTCATTAAATATACGTGTACTCAGTGGCTATTTTTTATGTGGAAAACTATAACCTGTGGTCTCAGCCATGTTGTGAATGGGGTAGTGGGTCAATGATGAAATTGGTTAAGGATTATATCACAAATTTATTAAATCTTAAAATATGAACTACTGGATTTCGATTTAGTAGTGTGAGAACCTTATTCTTACGATTAGATAGGTATGAATAAGTACACTTTAACCTACAGGAATTTTGTATCCATTACAATTTGCTCCGCACACTGCCTATAAGTAGCCAGATTATTTAGCGCAACTTTTTGGAATGTATTTACGATTTCACCAGAAAGTGATCTATTATTGAAGGTTGATGTTAAGCTACTTTTGGGCGTTTATTGTAAGATATCCAAATTCATTTCTTCTAATCTGTACACATAGATTTATAATTAAAGCAATATTTATTCGACATATAGGTGACTGCTTCGCCATCACTCTTTTCGTTTATTTCCCATAAGCTTAAGGTATTGTAAATGTGAAATAAACAAAGTTTTATTACTTCCCATCCTGAAGTTTTTCATAGACATTAAAATCTGATATCTTATAGTATTCTTCAACATCCATAAATCTTGAATGGGGCCTAAAATATCTAGATTCTACTGTTCAGAGCTACTGATGACTTATAAGTACTTTTACGAAATGTAATTTACTTATTTGAAGCCCTACTAACAGTAAATTTCACCAGAGAAATAACGAATGAGAAAAACAATTAACATTTTAATCATAATATTGAAAATACCGGTTGAAACAAGAATCTTTGGAGTGTATACTTGGAAGAGACACTATTCGAAATGAATTTTACCATCCCTATGATTTAACTGATGTCTCGCTAGATTGAAAAAACAATGAATATATACAAATGACAGGCGAAACAAAGTTCTACCTTACATAAAATCAATGAAGATTATTAAATTTCCTGTGATTAGTTATTTTTACTTCTATGAAATCCTACTTCACCATGGGAGGCTTATGGTGATTGTTGTATTTCTATAAATTACATCATGGATCGATCTTAGTTAGACAACCATTGAGGAGCAGGAAGGGCTAAACGCCTATGGATGAGGTCGTGTATCCTCCCCGATGAGAAGCGGTCAAGCATATCGAATTATCTACCCATTATTTTTTAATTTGATAAAACCAGAATTAGACGGTGATCATAAAACATTTTTCTGATTGGTTTTTCTTTTTGAAGACAAAAATTGTGACTGATCAAAGCGACTCCACTAAAATTTCTTAATGTAATTGATAAAATCACTTAATTAAACAAAAGTATGTACAGAATATGTTGTAATTCAACGTTAGTGCTTTCACGAGATTTTTAAATGGCTACTAGAAAGATCTACTCGAATTTCCAACCATCAGCTGTAAATTCAAACAATCTATAGTTCATTATGCAAAATTTAACACAATAAAGATGAGCAAGAAATCTAAAGTTAAATAACCTTATAGAAAATTATTTTCATGTGAAGCAGAATTCTATATCAGTATACTAATATGTGGTTACCTAAAGGATTTAACTTTCTGTAAAGTTAACTGGTTATATATGTTAAGAAAATTGATTAAAATTCGCCCACCTAGTGTGTTATTATTGGTTAACGTGCTATTATGGAAGAGAATACCTCCTGCTTATGATGTTCATCATGAAGCAAAACGAATCGAGTATTCAATAAAACTAGAAAATACTGAATAAATGTTTTGTCTTGACTCGAAACATTTGACTATTTAGTTCAACTATATCAAATTGGGGTCAAACATACAACCGTTTGGTCCTGAATTCGATCTATTTATCCCGTACGACAATGGTTGATCGCTTCTCTTGGTAAACTAGGAACAATACTGATTTTCTGAAGAATTCAAAATCGAATACAATTTGTCACGTAATGAGTAACTTTGAAAATAAGTTAACATTATACGTAGTTAAGAACATGACTCTTATGTGATAGGGGAGAATATCTAACAGTATGTTAGATAAACATGATCTTAAATAACCATTTATATGAAAGATCCACATACTGGAATATCACCATCAAATATTTGTGTAAAAATGATATCTTACTGATCCATTTTTTAATAGGTGTACAAATTAATAAAACTGTAAAAGTATGGGAACATTTAAAGAATTAATCAGAATCATAATAATCAAAAAGTATCATGATATGGAGTCATACAGACAAGTTGCCCTGTCTATGTCGCTTCGAGATCTAGTCATAAAAATCAATAATGAAGGTAAACAAATTTATCAGCTACATATAATAGTATATATATAATAGATTTTCCAAGTGTCCAAACTGATTTAACGTGTATTTATATAATTTTTTACTGTTTTATGACTGCCATTTACTGTACAATTGAAATGGTAGGAGAAAAAGAGAGGCTTGTAAAGTAATACATGTTATAACTGAGTGATTATCTAGAAAAATCAATATTTCTTTCTTACTAGAATAAAAGTATATCAGAAAAAATTGTTCAGTGAATAAATATTCGCATATATATCCTCACTGATAAGTGAAAAGTAGGAAAAGTTTCGATATTTTTACATAAATCATAAACAGTTGACTGTGTTTCAAAATGAAGTGATCATTTACTACATCTGTAATCACAATGTGTGTGTGTGCGTAGATACGAATATATGTGTATATGGCTTAATAAAGGTGCAGTATTCATGGAATTTCCTTTTGAACACGAGCTGTCAAGAAATGGTACATAAACTTTTCTTACAAATTAACGTCATTCTTGGGAAAAAAAGTTATGTTATAAAAGCAATATTCCCAGTACTTTTTCAAATAATTGTCTGTGAAAAAGGTTTACATTTTTGAAACGTTGATTTTTAGGCAGTAATAGGTAAAATTGTAGACTACATACAAAGTAAAATCAGTAATATACACCATCTTGTATAGAACTGAGACCAGGAAACTTTCTAAAACAACCTAATTTTTATCATGCTTTGAATCAATTATAGACTACAGTGAAGATCTACACAGTTCAGTAATTTACAAAACCAATAATAAATAAAGTTAATCATCTATGACATTTTACAATACACAATTAAAAATGAAAAAGGATAGAAATTTCTTGGAATAGGCTGTATGTTTTGTAAGTGAACACAAAATAGGGGGAATTCTAGCTACATGAGGCCCTATAATATACAGAAAATTGAAATTTTGTTTTAATCGCTACTTTACACGAAATGAATAATCGGACCACTGTTTCATCACTCTATATGGCTCTTGAACATCACAATCTCTAAACACTAAAACCGGTCCAACTCAGAAGTTTCAGACCTCACAATAAGTGCAGTAACATATAACACCCTATACAAAAGTCCATTATTTGAGTTTTCCCAACTTTAGTCACTATTTAACATAACATATCTTTCATCACTCTTAATAGTGAACATTCGTCTACATTCTTGACATTGTTAACCTGATCAATGTTAACTCTTTACTAGAAAACCCATGTGAAAACAAATTACTAATGAGGATTAGGTCATTATTTTGATAAAACGGTTAATTTATTTAGGATTAAGTTAGTGATAACTATTTTTCCACAGTTTAAAGGAAATAAACATTAACATTTTAAAGTAGTAGTTATGTCACAGAAATCCTTATTTAACAAAACTGAGAGTATTCATCGTATTAACCTCCTATGTAAAATAAAATTCACATGTTATGAAAGTTATAATAGTAGATATTTATCCCAATATGATGTTCTTAAGTGATTTTTTAACGATAATTGTCTCACTATCAATGTGCACATTGCCTACTCAGTTGATAATCGCATTCGAGTGAAGAAAACTCATTTTTCCATACGTAGATTATAAATTTAGAAATGAGATGAAGATGAAGATATCAGGCTTCATACTTAATATGCATATTTACAATCAGTATGAATAGTTCAGTGATAAAAGCTATTGCATCCTATCTACTTTTACCAACTTGTTTGTCTACAACTGCAATGAATTGTGAATGGAAATTTAATTAGAAATCATTTTTGATAAATTTTATTTCTTCCAAAGTAATCTAACTGAAACGTTTAGTTTCGGGAAGTTCCATTAATCTTTTTACCAATTTGAAATGTCACCAGAGATTTGGAATTCATTATCGAAAAAAAACACGCAACTAACTTAAACTTCTAATAAATAATATAGTATTATGAACATACATTGTCATTTGTTGTACCATAACCACCTATAGAAGATAGAAAAGAACCAGTCTTTAATGAGTACAACTTGACACTTGGAGCAGCCCAATCAGTAACACCTAAGCATCCTCCACCATCATCAACAAATTCAACATAATACGGTTCAGTAAGCGCAGTTCGACTGTTAAAAATAAATTTGTTTGAATTATCTTCTTCTCCAGCTAATCCTTTATCAACAGGTATTTGATGTACTGGTGAATTAGTATCACAGCGGATGTCATAAAGACTAATATGATGACGTCGACTTTCAACAACAGCCAATAATCCAATACCATAACATACTCCACGTGGATGTTTAAGTTTATTTTTTGTTAATGTACCCTGTGAACGTCCATCGAAGCTGAATAGTCGAATCTTTATGAGGAATAAAGAAAAAAAAGTTTAATTTATTGTACATACCGTAGAAAATAATTTAAAAAAACTGATTCAAGCAGTTTTATAGTTGTATATGTTTATCAATAAGTAAGGATAATTAATATTATCCTCCTTGTAAATACTTTGAAAACAAATTATGAAGTACCTAGTTTCTGGTCACTAGAAGTAATACCAATGAATTTCTGCTTTATCTAAGTATCATACCAAATAGAGTCTAGAAAGAAATACTAAAGACTTTGATAAAACCCATTTTTCCATAAAGAGTATAACTCATTCCGCCACATAAAACAGATTTCAAACTAATTACTATCCAATTCACTAAACCAAGTTCATTACAGAGATATTATTAAAAACCTCATGTGTTAAGGACAAATAGACAATTATAATATCTATGAATTAGTTAATAAATATAAGATCAATCATTCACTGGAACAGAAATCAAAACTAATTCAATAATTTATACGCATGTTTAAATACAAACAGATTCTAAACATTTTCATATAATTTTAATAGTTGAGATCATGAGTCAATTGAAGCTAGACCATCATGGAAAACCTGGAAGCACTGGATGACCGTTTCGTCTTATTGTGGGAATCTTCAGCAGTGAGCACCCACGACCCCGCCTGGAAGGATTCGAACCCAGGACTTATCGGTCTCGCGCGCTAATGTTTTACCTCTAAACCACTGAGATAGCATCCGACGGTGTTAATATCTAACTTCAACTAATCCACGAAATTGAGTGACACATCCACCATTGTCTTCAGTGAGTTACTATCTCACAACAGACCCGGTTGAACTCCACTGATCACTGCTTATCACTAGAACTCTAGGAAATTTCTCTTGAAGCCAGTCACTGGTTTGTGAAACATATATTTGAAGTAATCCTAACGATTGAATGTTAAATAATTCCAACATTTCATTTAGCAAATAAATTATGTCTTCTATATAGTGAGAGCCTAATTTCTGTTAGACTATTCAGTCAAATATTGACTAATATTTGTATAAATTTTCATTCTGTTTCCATCTTGATCAGTATAGTGAAATAGGTTAAGCAACTGTTAACTCGATAATATAAGAATTTTACTTTTATCAACTATTCAATTTTAATAACTTTGACTGTATCCAATTTTTACATACACTAAGGTATGATTTCGAGACATTTATGTTAATATGTTTATGATAGACTTAAACATATAACAAGTGAACATAATTTAGTGAATCATTTAAATGAATACTTATATGTGTTACTTGTGTTGATCTCAAGTGTATATTCTCCGTGAAAACTTAAAACGATTATTATTAATAAAATGAACCTTCAGATTTGGTCTATATAAATTCATTTTAAAATTTAATTATATTCTCAAACAGCAATTATCATAAATACTATGCTTTGTAGTGTCGGTTACTATGTTATGCAAATATAACTTATTCTAGTTTCTGGACAGGCCAATTTATCCATTATTCTAGAGTCACGTTTTGACCTTGTTAATTATTCACTTATTAACCATGACTGCTTTTATATGAGTCGATATAAGTGTACATCTTATCCTACTCATCACATGTCTGTAACCTATTTTTATCTGGCTATAAATATCGATTAATGCTTGGTTAAATCGAGTTGGCTCATACGCCTTCTCCACTGCGCGTCATTTCTCTTCGCTTCTTTCCTCTGGTTATCTATTCACATCAACGATTGTATAAAATATTTGTATTCGAAATCCTTTCTCGTATTTGACTTATTTAATTCCGTTATTCACCAGCGTGGATTAAGTCGATAATAATATACAAGAATAGTAAGGATGTATATTTTGACAGCAATCATTCATACGACCTAACTGGAGTCAGATCCCCGGCCATTAAATTGGTGAGCTCGTCGAAAACATCGTGCGGTCTAATTAACGTCAAAATGAAGGGCCACTAAAGCTTTTGTTTTAAGTTGTTAAGTTCAATCAACAAGAAAGCGTAAACTGAAGCTTCATTAATGCCAATCATTTTTCTGTAAGTAATGTCTACAAAATGTTAAAAAGTTTCAAGTTTTCTCTGAAACGGAAAAATTAGTCGATTGGTTTATTAATCATTAATATATGTCTACATTTACTGAAATTGAATACATAAAGACTACAATCAAGCTAATATCCTACCTCATCTCGTTGATAGTCTGATACAAATATAATTCCCCGACTGGATGATAGTGTAATGTCAAATGGACTTATAAGTCGGTCAGTCATTTCACCTGTATCACCTAAACTTGAAATAAATGTTCCGTCATGGGTAAAAAGCTTTGAAATAGACAAGAAATATAAAGAAGAATGATTAAAATATATCAAACTGTTTATTAATGTTGAATGATATATTCAACATGGGAGGTTATTTGATCGTTTTTATTTCACTAGAGAAAATCTGTGCAGAGATTAGAAGAAAAAGCTGTTCAACAGACTGTCTAAATGGAATTTCTTTTTTTAAAGGTTATCAACGTTTTTTTCTCAAAACAACTTAACTAAACGGTATTGGAGAAATTGTCTGTTTTATGGTTAAATACAACTATACCAATAAAGTAATATTGATATGAAAATGTTACCGAACATAGAGAAACTGACAAGAATCCATGAGCTCTGAGTCAATGTTTTTCAGTGTTTCTCAATTATAAATGTCGACAAAACCTAAGGTAAATCTTTAGGATTTTGTTCATTTCGCCAATAGTTTGTATTCCTAGTAATTGGACAACTGATTTTAAGTATATAATAAAAGGCATAGTTATCAGTATCATTCAAAATGATGAAGTTACTGTGCATACATTTGATCAGTATTGAAACACAAATAACTGCTCCTAGTTATAGTGAGCTATTTACTGTTAGAGCTGTTTTCCAATAGTGTCATAAGAATCTAAATTTCTCATAATACATCAATAAACGAAATTCTACTTTTTGCAAAGTGATGGTTAATAACTATGAAACAATTTACACAAGTCATCAAAACAATCCATTGGCGTTTGATAAATCTAATGATACGTTCATAGTTCAATTGTGATAATTTAATCAGTCGTCTTCCAATTTGAATTAACAAAAAATAGGTAAAATATACTTTGCTTTGCTATCTACTGATAACTTTAAATCTCGCTAACTGTATTTTTAAGTAGGCAGCTGATTACCTAGTTCTAGTGAGTAGATATAAACAAGTTTTAATCTCATATATGCAAGATACAGTTCTGAAGTTTGTCCCCTATTTATCAGACACTTTAATCATAAAAATTTTTCTTATTTTTAGTGTGAAGTTTAAAATATAAGCTGTTAGCAACATCTATCTTAGGAAACGTTAGACAGTTTAAACTAATACTCCATATTCAGAATTAAACATATGTTCATTTTACTTGGTAGATATATATATATATATATATATATATATATACTGCCGACTAAACGAAGTAAACAGTTAGGTGAAGAAAGTGACCTATATTAAGCTAACTGTTTAGTAGTGAACTTACTGACCATGCACTGAATTATATTAAGGTTTTAAATTGAAATTATCGATACAACATAACTGATCATCTGTTTTAAACAAACCAACATATTATCAATTGAATAAATAATTTGAAATTTTCCTACAAAAGTAGATGGCATTGAGTATGCAAAACAAATTATATGAATTTCTGTTATTTGCGCTTGAAAACATAGCGATAAACAACAAATTAATTCACATTATTGAGGAGTTTCCAGCTGGCCTGTTGTGGTTAAATCTCGTAAACTATGTAACAAGATATCGGTAAAATAGGTAAGGTAAAATCATAAACTTATACCTTGATTCTAGAATTATCTCTATCCACAACATAAATGTCTCCATTCGATTGATTTACAACTAATCCAGTAGGCCAAACATCACGTAAATCAGTACTAACTCTTGCATCAAATTCTAATTCATTGGTTACTTGACATTTGGATAGATTATAGTGTTCTTTAATCATTGATTTCTGTTTCATATTATCAGATGTATAACCATTTCTTGGTGTTAAGAAGCTTTCATTTGTTTTGAAACGATTACTATATAAAATATGAAATAAGGACATGTATTGTAGATTATTTTGGATTATGCAAAAGACAATAAGATAATGCAATATTACAGTAGATTAAATTTATAAGAGAAGAAATATAGCCTAAAGAAAGCTACTTTCAAACATACAAAAGAAGTATTTCACTAGTTAATACTTGTTCATCATGGGAATACAATAGTGAAAAATCTCATGTGATGATTAGGTTTTAATAAATTTATTATGAAGTCGTATAAATGAAATTTTTAAGGATCAAATCCCATGAAAAATGTTAACAATAAACAGTCATGAGGACTAAATATGAATAAAATAAATCATACAGTATAAATAATATTGATTACAATAACACAAGATTGCGTAACGTATGTGTGTTATTAAGAAAGGGGTGTAAAACTAGTAAACTAACAACGTGTTTTAGTGTGGATGAAGTAAACTACCTCTACTAGTCTCGTTAATTATTGCATGACTTTATATTACATTTCTTATTATTACGTTATCTTGGTTATTCATTGTTTACTTTTTCTTATGGGATGTAGACCATCGAAATTTCATTTATACGACTTGATAATAAATCTGTTAAAGAATTTCTTATTGCTGAGTCTAGTCCTGATAATGTCTTGATGAAAATTATGATATTTATGAATCAGCATTTATTGCAGTGGTTCCATAATTATTTTGATCGGTAGGTGGCATTTATCATGAATCGATCTTAGTTGGGGTACCACAATAAACAAAAGGATATTGGACTGCAGTTTCATTCTGGTTTAAGGTTGCCCAGTAGTGGACCTCTTTGGGTTCACCAGGACTTCTAGGTTTCTTGGTGAGCACTCAACCATTGAGTTGTGATCCAAGGGATATGCGTTCAACTTCAATCAGTTTGTGAAATAGCACGTTAATTAACCAATGCTATTGGTGATTTAATAACTTTACATGAAGACTGGAATATGTTCAATTGATTACAGTTTCTCACGGCTTGCCAGTAAAAATGAAGGGAAGTGCAAATTAAATTCATCATAATATTTGTTGTGGCACTGAAACCTACAGATACATCGATAAAGAATTTATCGACATAAAGAGATAGACAATAAAAGTTAAGAGTGTAGCAAAACTATACCTTCTTGATGCTATATCTGCTTTAATAATACCGGTAATCCCCTAACTCCATCTGACGTTAAATGGTCGGAAGCGATCGACGAAAAGTTCAAAAACTAAAGCTCATGTTAATCAGCCCTCATTCCAGACGTATCTCTGGGGAAATAATGTCATCCTTGGGATTTTAATCTGTAGAGTCGAGTTTAATAATCAGAAATGTCATTACTAAGCTCTTTGGGAATGACCTACTATAACCTTATGGATCCCACTTGTTCTCATGGCATAATTTAAAACTATTATTATTATTACTCGGTTACCGATCAACGAGTCACTTGATTCTTTAATATGAAAAAGGTCACTTCCTAGAGTTTATATGTTCACAGCTCCTTGTTGGTTATCTTAATGATCCATAAAATTTCAATAAACTTCATGTTACACACTTAGAACGAATTAATTTATTTCATGACCTAATACTTAATTAAATTAATAAGTAATACTTTCAATTTAGAAATAAACAATCATAAATCTCAGTTTAACAAATGAATTCAAATTGAGGAATAATAAATGTTCGTTTTTTAAATAAACACTTTAGGAAAATGAAATTTTTTCTAGTTTTATTACTGGACAAATTTCAAGAAATCAAATTTGCTTCATGACATTGTTCTTTTTCAGCAATTAATGAAATGGGCAGAAAATTAAATAAATACTAGGAATAACTGGTATTGAAATCATACATAGAATAGAACGATTATTACGATCATGATGATTATGACAAAAAAAACATCTTAAGAAGGGAACATTAGAGATTGGATAACTTTCTGGTTGGTGTACTTTGGAACACGTTTTGTCTTTTCTTAGCATTTCCATTTTTAGGTCGACAAATTAAGTATGAAATTCTAGTCTTCAATCTTTACCGAACAGCCATGCGACTATTATAGAGGCCAGAGCTGATAATATCTAACCTATCTATGTATAACAAAGTACACTAATATTTGGTCTTCAATTTCAGTCCTGTCGACCCTGTTAAATGTTTTCACTAGTCTGAATGAATCAACTATTTTACGTTAAGTAGTTGAATCAGAACAACATGAAACACATGAGCTTAGATTGTGTGAGTATTTGCTGACAAATGTTAGCTAGCGTGAGACTCAAATTCATGGTTTTCTGTGACCTCTTCTCATCATAGCTAAGAGAACGTAATACGAAAAATAAAAGTAAAATTAACTTACCCTGAAATAAGTAAATTTAATTCATTATCATTATTATTAAATCGATTATCTTCATGATAACTAGTTAATGTTTCTAGCTCTCTTGGACTAGTATTTACACCGACTGATATTTGATCAGGATTTAAATATATATTACTAAGCTCTAATTTAAGTTCATTTTGTTTATGAATAGCTGAACGATTGATAATTTCATTTTTTGAAAATTCCTCTGCAATTTTTTCAGATTCAATACTTCCGAATAAATATGATGAATTGAATGTCTGACTTTTTGTTTCTATCCCATCTTCACAATAACTATAACCGCCATTTTTGAAATATGTTTTTATACGTGCTAATGAGAAAATAAGACAAAATAGTGATATGTGGTAAATACTCCACGATTATGATCTCAGTCTATATATTCAATAAAATCTATAGAGTAAAAACGTAAGCTGTTCTACATCGAAATACTTTTTGTAACTTTTCAGAGTAGTAAAAACTACAAGAAATACTTCATTTATACGCATGATAAGGTTAACAAACGTACAGTTGAACGACATTCACCGTTTTCTGAACTACTTAGGAAATAACTCAGAGATAGAGTTTTCACTAGAAAGCCAGTAAATTCAGAGATCTGTAGGGAAACTAATAGAATTTCACACTAATAAAAACTTTGAAGCATAGTTAAGCAGTCTGTCACTCCCTATATATTTCTCATCTCATTTCCAATAAAAATTCCAAAACTATTAAAAGCCATTAAGCATATTTTAGTGTCACACATCAGGAGGAACTGAAAGCCATGACTAAATAGCTTTTTCACTTAAAAGCACCCATAAATATTCACTAATGAGACAAAGTTTGAATTTGGCTACTTTTATATTTTTAGATGGTTAAAGTAGTTTTTTCAAAGATTTTATATGCTTTAAAAGTGATTCTCATCATGAACATACATCAGCTTAAAAATTAGGACGATACAACTTTCCTTTTCTTTCTGCTTAACAATAGCTATCTAGTTATGATTAGTCGGTGCTAAAATTTCTTCAAGTATGCTTGTCTGTCATTATGATTAGTATTATTGTGGCAGTCAATTATATGGACGACCTTGAATTACTTGTTAATCAGTGGGAAAACATCGTTTGGTTATGGAATGACTTATAATTTAAAAAAGTATTAAAATTATGATTGATAAACGATTTTAACATGAATAATGGATCTTTGTTTATAGTTTTAATCACGTATTGATATTAGCTATTATACAAGAGTGTTCTGTAGTCATTTAGATGGATAAGCTTCGCCCCAAAAATGTAATTGGTCTGTCCACAAACTTCGTTACTGTTATCATTACCACACTATTTAATGAAACAACAATTTCTGAATGGCCTATCAGTGGATTTTAAAAAAAATTCAATTTCTAATATTTATATATTTTCATCTAACATATTGATCCTTACTCTAAAAGCATCCATTATCCGACATTTCATTCATAGGTGACATGTTATGATCGTTTCAAAAACTAAGTGTTGTTAGTCATCTCATGTTATGTCAACAATATAAATAAATTGTTCAACATATCCACTCTTTAAATATCATCCCCAGATACACTTTAATTATTTTAAAAAAAGATAAAATTAATGGGAATTAGTGAGATAATTTCTTTTTTCCAAGATAATGTTAAATAGTTGTTCAATAGTTTAAAGCGCTCATTTTTAATCAGTCGTGTAAAAAAATAGACAAAGATTCATGGATGAAAAAACACTCCAAAAAAGCATCAAACTGTTGAAAGAATTTTCAGACGACCATCAGAATAAGAATAAATGTACAGACAGTTCAAGTCGTTAATTAACATCGGTTAGAGAATAAATTTAAACCAGGAATCGCTGTACGATTTAGTCCTAGCTTTAAGTTAGCCAATAGTACACACTAGAGACGCTGTAAGAGGTTGACACCTGGGATTACTGTTCTTACGGTGATGGTGTTACTTTGGACAAGTGAGCCAGATTGCAATAGTTCATCTCCTCAATTTTAGTTTAACGTGTAACGTAGCGCAATCCACTTCTGCGGTGGGCACTACTGAGGAGTTTTAGACAAGAAATGAATTACGGATCTAACAATCCTCAATTTGTAATAATTTATAAGTTGGTATCAAATAAGGATGAAAGGAGAGAAGCTTTCTGCGTAAATGTTGAGCGCGAACAGTTAGATACATTTTTAGTATTCTCATAAATTACTGTTTATTACTAGATTTATATTCATTCGAAAATTTCAGTGTCTTGTAAGTTTAAGTTGAAATCCGAGTTGCGTTATTCTTATACTTTTCTCATAAGATTTAATATACATCTTGCTAGTGAATGCTCAGTGACATCGAATCTTGACTCACAAGTTCTCACCGAGTGCCTCTAACCGCCTGATATAAATTATTTTACTTGAAATCAATATCAAACTCAGTTCTCAGATAAAAAGGTAATTTTGAAATGATAAAACTAGCTACTGTTGTGTGGTGTTTAAGGGGTCAGTGTATACTACGATCGACAGAAATTAGAATAACACATGAAGAGCGAGTTGTGTCGTGAAATTAATTCATGTTAGAGATTTAAAGATTTACTGAGGGTTTTTGAAAATGATGTTTATTGTGTAATGTCGATTAAGAATTGTGATTTTTTTCTAAATGATTGTTGCTACTTATATACTATTGAGTAGTATTTAGAATTTAAACATGATTTTAGGCAGAATAGGTACTATCGAGTTGCTCTGGCTTTGTACAGATTGTTTGACTCAAAATTAGTTTTCGTTACTAACCCGTATTAGATCAAAAAACTGTTGAGGATTATGAACCCCTTCCTCTTTTAGTTTACTCTGGTTTTCAGTGATTTTCTAGGTGACGTAATTCCACTGTCCAACCTAATTTACTAACCCATTCCTCAAAATATTCTACCTTAATCACCCACCAGTAACATTCTAAAGAACGAAAGTAAAGTCAAAAGTAACTTCAAACAATATCGCTATTTGAGAAAGTTGATGAAGCTTAGTTATGTGACTACAATAACAGATAATCAGAGTGTTGAAATAACGTAATGAATAAACGTTTCACAAAATTACTAATCTAAACTTGAACTACTACTATACTACTATACTATAATATACTATACTATCATTTTGATCAGGTCAATTAAAAACATTACAAGGATTTACCAATTCCAGGTTTGTTAATTCTCATTTAACTGTAGCATGCCACTCCTTTCGTAAAATTTGAAAGAAAACTTGACTTGCCTATACTGTGATTATTGAAAATGACTATTAATAAGAAATCGATATGTGTTCGGTGAAGGAATTTGTACGTTTCATAGAGCTCCTACTAGTTGAATAGTAAAGTACTATTATATAAAAGCAGATTATGATAATTCAAGCTATCAATACATGGAAGACTGTAAATTGTGTCAATGAAAATATCGAGAATGATTGGTGATATTTCATTCCCTCCTATAGGATATTACGACCCTTGAAGTTGTACTTTACGGTAAATAAACTTGTATCATGTACCATAAAATTACAGTAAGGTTATACTACTCAAAGTATAAAGTAATGGTTTTGTTGTTTTAAACATTCGGTTTAGAACCATTAGCTTTTAGGATCAACCCTGCTCGGCTTACTTTGGATTAGTCAGCTCTGAATTATCACTTACCATGGCAGATAAAGTATGTTACTTAAAGTCATGTACTTGAACTTATATTTGGGAAATAAACTTCATTCGTTTTATGTTACCTAAGAATATGGTTGTAAATGGTATAAACTGGTAGTGGATACATCTTATTTATCTATAATATGATACCAAATCACGATTAAAAGTATACTTTGCAAGAGGGTAATTTTACATTACTTTCATGATAAACAGGGGGAATTCAACCTTTGTACAACCTGAACAGCATAGCAAAATACTATAGTATAAATTTACAAGTACCAGGAACCCTGTTGGACCATACTTATACCGCATGGAATGCGTGTAAGAATAATGCTGATAACCACAGTAGAATGAACACTTATTTCCACCCGATTCATGAAAAGCGCTTAAAGGGTATGCAAAATTCAAAGTTCTTTTGAGAAACACAAATATTTATTTAGAATCGTTTAAGCTATGTATTAAAGGCTACCATATTAACCAAATAACGTCTAGTTTACCTCCTAAATATTCAATTTTCTTTTGTCCCAAATAGCTCAGTTGTTCGTTTACTTGATCAAAACAGAAAAGTACCTCTTCTGCTCTATTTTAAAAACAATTAAAAAAACGAAAGAATATTTTAAAGATTAAGAAATACATAATGAGCACTGCTGAGGAGTCCCACAATAGGGCGAAACGGCCGTCTAGTGCCTCCAGGTTTTCCATGGTGGTCTAGCTTCAATTGACTCATGATCTCAATTATCGAAATTACTGCAATCTCCACAAAACCCCTTCTGATAATAATATATTTCTAACTTATAATCATTTATTACCGTTAAGACACTCAACAATTAATTGGAATATTACACGTCTGGACTGATTACATAACTAACTAATTGGTAATTCGATTAGAATAGTTCAGGTAACTTTCAAACGTCTTACTTGATTTCCCATATTCTCATATTTTTACTGAAATAATGTGTGTTAAAGTCCAGCATACGGTGATAGCTTATTTTGTGAAAACTTCATGAATCCCAGTTGATTAATGAACAATTATAAATCAATTAAGAATGGTTTAGTTTCAATTATGATCTACTTATTTGACCGAAATTAATGGCTATCGAATACCACTTCTGCTGGTCTTTAACGTTTACCAACAAATTTGAACTATTAAGTCAATAAATAACTAATTCTTAGATCTTGATTATGGCTACCTCACTTTCGAACCTAGACAAATTAAGTTCAGAAAGTCAGATCAGTTAGGCCTATTGAACATACATATAATCATATTTCTTGAATAAGATATTTTTTAACAGGTAATTTCAACTAACCGTGCTCAGACAGAATAACTTCTACACTCACAAGATTTGTGAGTAAAATTAAACAAAAATCTAGGTTCTGAGTTTCAAACTATCGGTTTGATTTTCATCTTGAATTATAATGCCTAAAGTAAGCAATAAAATTTGTGATACATTGTGTGTGCAAGAAACACAGTAGTTTGACAATCGCCTTATTTAAAGTGATAGTCAAAAATTTGAGATGCTAGATTAAGTATTTTAATTAATTAAATAAGATTTGTTTTTCAAAATGTTTACTTCCACATATGATAAATTCTTTTGAAACTACCTTGTAGAAAGAAAATGTGTATTTAAAGGGGCTGGTTACCAAAAATTATGTTTACTCTTCACTATGCGTTAATCCATGTCAAATACCAGATTATAAGAATTGAGAACAATAAATTTTAATGTAAACAAGGAGGATGTGCAGGAAAGTTTATATGTTCATCTTTAACTTCGTATACAATCCAACTTATTGGCCGACAATATAATAATCCACTAATGGTATAAGATATGCGAATGAGTTTTTGAAATTTTCAACAATTTTTAAGCTGATTAGAGAAATAAATACGTAGACGGGTACATGCTTTCCACCATACATTATCATTTACACATGAATCAAGATAAATATAGAAATAGAGGCGAGTGATTACGGATTAAAAATAACACTATCTGGCATACAAATTGATTCAGACTTTGAATCAGTTTGTATATATGTACATATGTACAAGACTGTATGAAAATACAGCGTTTCGGTGATTAAAGGAAATGCTAAGTACAACTTGAGACATCTCTCTAATTTTTTGTCTATTTCTTTATACTGGATAGTTCAGTTGAAGCTACTGGATTATCACTGCTGTTCACAATATTAAAACTGTTCGAATAAAAAAAATAAGTTAGCTTGTTTAGCGAAAATAAGTCATTCTGACTATCAATGTGATTGATTGTCATTAAGCTCTTAATTATGAGTAAAATATACATTTCATTGATTGTTCCGCCTGCTTGGATTCTGGTAGAACAATTATGTATTTAATCTTTTATTAATTATGCCAACTACTTATAAAATAACAATCTAGCTTAACGTTTCCAGGATGCTTTAAGAATGAACGTTTGTAATAGTGTTTAATGCTTCATACTTTTTCCAGGAAGTCCGAACTTCATCTATGCTTTGTGTTTGCTAACACTAATAAGGTAAATCATTAAAAACTGCAATCTTTTTATGTTCTTAGAGAATTAAGGTCAAGTGATTCAGGTGCTCAGTAACCAAATGCAGATTAATGTGCTAGACTTTGAATGACACTTTTTCGTGCAAGTTAATGATATTACTGGTTGCCTAAATCAAAGTGGAACATGCAGATTTGATCCTGCAATCCAGTATTTACAAATCAAGTGCTTCAAAAAATAGACCATCACAAATACGAGGTATTTGTAAATAATTAGTTGCAAACAATTGCCGTAGATTGCCCGTCAAGAGAATACCACGTCACTGAGAAAATTAATTACCAGAAGTTTCTACCAAGCTATTACTGATTTGTAAGTGTTTGAATTTTCTTGTCGTTGATGTTAAAATATGAATTTTGATCAATCTCCTTTTGGCGCATGCTGAAAGGATTGCCTCAATGCTACCACAAGGTCACTACTATTTAATTAAAGATGGACAGCTTTATATCTTCAGATTAATTGTTTTAACACGTTCTTTAATTCACTCAGTCAGTCAGCTGCAACGTAGGACCAGACACATATATGTATCGGTCCAAGTCGGCACACCTCATTAGCATAACAAGATGAACGCCAAATTCATAAAAGTAGCTACTTCAATGGTAGTAATATATAAAAGAAAGATTGTGTATATGGATATGATACAGGAAGAAAGACCTGTGACAATCGAACATATGCATATTCAAAGAATTGTTTGGATATTAAGTAACCACTGAGTGAACGGTTATGAATTAAGGCAGTGAGCCTTCATTGATAGAGGTGGGTGGGAAATATATTACGAATTCCCGAGTGATAATTCCAATCTGTTGTTGGGTTTTTTTCTAACAAATGGCTCTACATCTGTTTTAGTTGCGCAGATGAATTCTTTCTACATCTTCGTCTGTATTCTACTTTTTAGTACTTAACTAAATTGGTCATTTCAGATTGTATTTTCCACACATTTTCTCACCCCTTTAATTTTCTTCCCAATAGTTGTCGCTGACTGTAACGACGTGAACTGAAACCACTCGGATAGACGAGAATTAGTGCAATGACCTATGATGTCAAGAAGTTCATATATACGCGTTTTTCTCAAAATAAAAAGTATAACCATCGATGCTATTTTTAATTAAGTATTCCAGTCAACAACAAAAGAACTTTAAAATTACTATTATTAATATAATTAACCTTCCGAAATCCTTCAATGCATTAGCATATCGACAGGCTACTTCACATTGGGCAATTAATGGGTACAGGGACCCTGCACATTGGTCAATTAGCTTCATTTCATTCCCAATTTCTTTGTCAATTTGATTGGTTAGTTTATTAGCTATTTGATCAATTTCGTTTTTCAATTGTTCAGCTCTATTTTGAATTTGATTAGTTATGTTCAATTCTGTTTCAGCAAGTTCATGACCGTATTTAATTACATGACGTAAATAATCCTGTTATGTAAACAAGAAATCATAAATAGGAAAAGATAGTTAGTTTCTTCTTATAAATACATATTATGATCTTATGACATGTAGTCAAGCTAATTAACCACCCTGAAGAAGTTTCTCAATACTGTCATTTAGTGCACTGGAACAAAATTTACTACTTGAATGTACTAATTTCATCCTTGTTGTACTGTTTTTTCTTAAGATAAGACGGAACAAAACTGAAAGTGTTAATAGCTATCTGTACCTATTCTGTTCTGTGTAATTATTTTACAAAGCGCAAGTTTATTTGTGAAGATTAGTGATATTACATGCTTGATTAAGCCAAAGTAGGTGGAGAGGAACTCGATTCATCAATCTATTGATTGAAATCTAAAAGTTTAGACCACCTAACCATTAATTCATGCACTCCCGCTGTTTATATATCGTGATTTAACAACTTTATAAATATTTAGAGTTATAAGAATATTAAAAACAATATAGATACTTCTGGAAGATCAGTCCAATATAAGAAAAAAATCAGCTTTCAACTACATAGCTCACTGGTACTAACTGTTATTAATTAATTCATATACAAGACTGCTATACCGGTTACCTTAGGGCCAAGTGTACTACACAGATGCTGAAATCGGGTTTAGTTGAGCAGATTTTATATCTTGTCCTAAATTACAAATCAGGCACATGGATGATTAGACCACACGTTCTCCGTTAAAATAAACATTTCAGTATTACTTGGGTCAAATGATCATTATTGCATATACATATACACAACTCCAGTAAAACTATGTAATTTGATAAAAAAAATATTGTAAAGAAGAGTTTATAGATCTTCATTCTGGTGAAATTTAAGTTCAAAACCTTTAAATTATTTATTGTAAAGCTTTTAATAAACTTTTGAAAAACTATTGTTTATTAAAAAACTTCACAAATATTTTGTATGATTTCACATAAGGCTTATTTCATCTTAACTATGTGATTAAATTCTAGTTCAATCACATTTTTTAAAACTAAATTTCACTACACAACAACAGTGAAGAGAAAAAATGTTATAACATCTACCTTGGTAATCATGACACATTTATGGATTTATATAATTTGCTTATCATTTGTCAAAAACGCCTACACACTTAATTTTGTTATCTGAATAATTTTTTTCATATATTATTAAGATTAAAAATCACTTAGTAATATTAAGTCAGATTTGAGATCCGTTGATGGTCTCTTTAACATTACGTATATACTCTGTTAACAAATATTAATAACTAAACAAACACAATTAGAAATAAGTAGATTAAATAGACTTCCCCTCATTCCTACAGTTGAAGAACATACGGAACTCAAAACAACTGTCAACTAATATCAAAGTGAGAATCTTCAATACGAACGTTAGGACAGTTCTACTGTACAAGGATGAGATTCGGAGAACGACTACACCCATCATCAAAAAAGTACAGATATTTAAAAACAGTTGCCTACGAAAGATACTGAATGTCCGTTGACCGGATAACATCAGCAACAGTCTACTAAGGGAGAAAACAAACCAGCTTCCATCTGAAGAGGAAATTAGGAAAAGACGATGAAAGTGGATAGGTCATACATTACGGAAATCACCAAAGTGAATCACGAGGCAATCGCTAACTTGGAATTCTGGAGGGAAACGGAAAAGAGGAAGGCCGAAGAACACATAGAGTCGGGAATTGAGAGCAGACTTGAAAGTGATAAATAGCGACTGGAAATGATTGCCCAGGACAGGGTTGGATGGGGAGTGCTGGTGGGCAGCCTATGCTCCTCCATGAGAGGTGACAGACGCAAGTAAGTAAGTAAATAGACTTTCCAACTAACTAACCAAGTTCTGTAAATATTTTACTACACTTAAAGAGTGTACAGACAAAGCATTTCATTTACTTCTTTTAAGCTGATTTACATTCTATTAAAGGTTTATTTTTGTTAAAAAAACCTCCCCGTTCCTTTTTTCCAATCCAACTATATAATCTGTACTTTCATCTCACCTTTTGCCATAAACATGATTATAAATAATATCTAAAATATCTTTTGAAAACTGTTTGCATTATCCAAAACTATATCTATTTTAAAAATAGAACAATCTAATCAATAATATGTGTTTATTATGAACATTGGGTTATTATTTTGTTAATTACCTACAACAATAATAATTTGTAAGTCCGCCTGTAGCTCTTCTAGAGTTACTGCGGGTCCCAAGCCCGGGTAAAGGGGGAGGGTTGGGCATGGGGTTAGCGTCCCCATCCCGTAGAAAACTAACTCGCTAAAAAACGCTTACCAGAAAAAATAGTTCAAACCATTTTAACTCTGCCCTGGGAGTTAGAAGGTCTTCATTTAGAAGAATTATGACGCTTCATGGTGAAAGCCGAGTTCCTTCAAAAGCCACGAAGCCGATGACCCTTCTAACAACCAGAGCAAAAAATTTTATAGGTATATGGAACGTCCGAACAATGTGGGAGACTGGGAACGAGGAGATACAACTTGACAGTACTGGGAATCAGCGAAACCCATTGGACCCAAGCTGGACAACAAAGGCTAAATACGGGAGAGATGTTGCTATACTCTGGTCATGAAGAGGAAAACGCTCCACACACTCAGGAAATTGCATTCCAAGTAAAGACCGGAGTGAGACAAGGTTGTTTACTCTCTCCCTTCCTCTTTCTTCTGGTGGTCGACTGGATTATGAAGACCTCGACACCTGAAGGAAAACACGGAATACAATGGACAGATCAGAATCAATTAGACGATTTGGACTTCGCAGATGACCTAGCCCTCCTATCACGTACACGTGAACAGATTCAGATAAAGACAGCCAGTGTAGCAGCAGTCTCTGCATCGATAGGCCTCAACATACACAAAGGGAAAACCAAGGTCCTCAAATTCAAAGCGGAGAACAACAATCCAATCACTCTTGATGGCGAAACTCTGGAAGATGTAGAATCCTTCACATACCTCGGAAGCATCATCGATGAACAAGGAGGATCCGATGCAGACGTAAAGGCGAGGATCGGCAAAGCAAGGGCCGCATTTCTACAATTGGAGGACATATGGAACTCAAAACAACTTTTAACCAATATCAAAGTGAGAATCTTCAATACGAACGTCAAGGCAGTTCTACTGTATGGAGCTGAAACTTGGAGAATTATAACAACCACCATCAATAAGGTACAAGTATTTATAAATAGCTGTCTTCGCAAGATACTCAACATCCATTGCTCGGATACCATCAGCAATAGCCTTCTGTGGGAGAGAACAAACCAGCTTCCATCTGAAGAGGAAATTAGGAAAAGACAATGGAAATGGATAGGACATACATTACGCAAATCATCAAAGTGCATCACTAGGCAAGCCCGAACTTGGAATTGTGAAGGGAAGCGGAAAAGAGGAAGGCCAAAGAACACATTATGTCGGGAAATCGAAGCAGATATGAAAAGGATGAATAACAACTGTAAGGAGCTGGAAAGGATTGCCCAGGATAGGGTTGGATGGATAGTGGTGGTGAGCGGCCTATGTTCCTTCACGAGGAGTAACAGGCGTAAGTAAGTAAGTAAGTAATACTAGTATAGGGGTTGTGGAGATTATTAAGTTTTTGATTGAGATCATGTACCGATTGATGTTAGACCATCACAATTGAAAACCTGGGAGCACTGGACGGCCGTTTCGTCCTATTGTGGGACTCCTCAGCAGTGCGCATCCACGACCCCGCGAGCGGGATTCGAACCCAGGGCCTTCGGTCTCGCGCGCGAACGCTTAACCAACTGGACCACTGAGCCGGCATCCAATGGTGATAGTTTCTAACATCAACTAATCCACGAAATTGCGCGACCGTCCAGTGCTTCCAGGTTTTCATTTGTGATGGTCTAACATCAATCGGTACATGATCTCAATCAAAAAGTAAGTAATAATTTGTAATACCTTGTAATGTCTATCATACTGTATACAACTACAACAGGAAAAGGTTTGTTTTACATTGTAGTTACTCAGCATGAAGAATAATGTTTACTGTATGTAAACTAGTACAATGCAACCTGATTAAGTCTACAACCAATAGGAAGCAGTGATAAAATTTCACATTACTTAATTTAAAGTAGTATACAATTTTGGTCAATTTAAATTTTAACAAAAATCAAAATATTTAAATGAGTTAACGAAACACTTAATTCAGCCAAACGAAATGAATGAATATATATTTCTTCCCATCAGAATCGACTAAACAAAGATGGGTGGTGACTAACAGTGGAATCCAGGATGTGCATTTCATCCTGTTCGGGACTCGTAAGTTGTATGTAACTTCAAGTGTTGGATTTTTTATGACGAATACCATTTTAATACTTACTGAATCAATCAATAAGATTACGACAGCTCATTATGCCTCTAATATTTTGCAAACTATTAAAAGATACAAGATTATTAAATTGAGATAACTTGATTGTCATCTCAACTGTTGGTTTCACGTTCTATATTCTTTCTTATTGGAATAGTTCCATATTTATATCTCGTACTATGATGATTTTCAACATGTGTTAATAATGCTAAGGAAGGATATGAATTTATTCAAGGCTCTATATATAATTGAGTTATCAATACAAAAACGAATAAGACTTGTGCATAAATATCTAGTTATCGCTCTTCTTTGACCAAGCACCAAGTAAAAACTATTACTTTTAATTGAATTATTGAAAAAAACGACTTACTTCGAATTGTGAATTGTTCCGTTTAACTCGATCAATTTGCTTATTAATTTCAAGTTTAGCATCATGAACAGCCTTTTCCAATGATAATACAACATGATTTTCATGTTCTTTACCTTTAGATGACATTGAGAAATGTCCGCTACATTCAGCGCATAAAAGTTTATTACATGGTTTACAGTAAAAACAAGCTGATGGTGATGGCCAATTACAACGGTGACCAATAATAGTTTTACCCTTATTACTATTAAAATCAACAGTAGTAGAATTAGTTCTGACTGTGTTATCTGATACTTTCTGATTATTACCTATAGTCTTCTCATTGGAATTAATTGTGTTAAGCTCAGAGAATTCATGATCGGTACATTGAGTAGGTGGAGCCTCTCTCATGCGTAGCAAATATCCGTTTACTAAAATATCCTATAAACAAGAAGGAAATTACTGAGTACTATTAAGAAAAAATAATAAAAGCATGTGCTATATCAAAAGTTCAGTAATCTTAATGCATCATTCACTCGAAAATTACATATACTTCATCAGTGTATTCAATTATATCAAATTATGAAATCTTGAAACAGATTCCTACAAAGGACCTGATAAATAATCCTCTGGAGGATTTAATACCAGTTCAGATTATTTGTATTAAGTGAATGAATTAGTATAAAAATTAACAGAAGGGGTCTTGTGGAAATCTTAGAAATTTTACTGATTGAAATCGTGAGTCAAATGAAGTTAGACCGCTATGGAAAACCTGAAAGCACTGGATGACCGTTTCGTCCTAGCATGGGACTCCTCAGCAGTGCGCATCTACGATCCCGCACCCCGCGAGATTCGAACCCAGGACCTATCAGTCTCGCGCCAGGTGATTAACCAACTAGACCAGTGAGCCAGCATCCAACGGTGCTAATGTCTAACTTCAACCAATCCACGAAGTTGCGCCACCGTACATCATTGTTTTCAGTGATTTGATGTCTCACAATAGACCTGGTTGAACTCCACTAGTAACGGCTTCTCATTAGAACTCCAGGAGTATCTCTTGAAGTCAGTCACTAGTGAGCAGATGATTATTATCTGAAGGGGTTTTGTGGAGATTTTAGAAATATCACTGATTGAAATTAATGTATTCACAGCTAAATTAGTCAATTTGTAGGCTTCATTGACTTTAATCTTTATACATGGTCGTTATGTATACATAAATGTAATGATATAACTGTTTTCAGATTAAATCAACTTTATAAAACTTACTAATATATATATATATATATATATATATATAATGATAAGTTGAAAACTGAATGAATTTATTTCAATACTGAAAAGTATGCTAGTCATTTTTATTCAACTATGAAAATTGTTTTACTGTTTGCTTAATTAGTAAACGATTCATTAACTTCTTATATAAATTAATGGTATTATTACTTTTTTTTAATTTAGCTTAAAATTATAATCAGTACTGTTTTCTAGGCAATCAAAGAATATGTAGTCAGTAGATTGAATAATATTATCATTTTTACACTAAGTTAACGAGCTTTATCATAAGTTTGGCGGCTGTTTTTTTTTCTCTTTACTTAAAAACAAACTTTCTAGAATTTTCTGGAATTCAATTTTATCTTTTAATAAAATAGATGGAAACTTCTGTAATCTAGTCAAATTAATCAAAATGCAAATATTTATTTATCTTAAATAATAAGATAATTAAACTTTTGATCAAGGTTTATTAGGCTTGGACATTGAATACCACCTGAATGTGACAGACTGATTCAGGTCATTTAGTTCATCTCTCCCAACAACAAAACAAATCCTTAATAGGAATGACGATAAGTAATTTATGAATGAAAGTCTAGTAGCTTTTTTAGTGTAATAATTAACTTATGAATCTCTTGAGCGTTCTCAGTCTTTTATTGAATGTTTTCGTGCGACACATCTCTAGATAAGATTATTATCATTATTACTTAATAATAAAGTCAATAGTTTAGTACTGTTAGTCAAGGAATTCAATCCATGAGCTAACTTTGATCGTGACCGATCATTATTCTCGATAAAGAAAAGTACTCACTAGCCGATTTTCTTCTCTGATACCCACAGAAAACCAAAAACAACTTTTAATTCATCCTGTATAATATGTCTAATCTAGATGAAGTACATACACACATCTTTGGATTCAAACCCATATCTTAAACATGTTAACCATGAAGAATAGAGTATTAGGTCTCTTCTAATTTCAGATGTATCTAAGTCACACAAAAAATCTTACTAGTGACTTCAACAGATTTCATCAAACTTATAATCAATCATTTAGTTCAATACATGAATAAATAAAATCGATTACTGTTTTTGTCTACTACTCGCTCACTACTGTTTTTTCTTAAAAAATAATGTTTGATCTAAAATACTGTTTATAATCTTTCTATAAAATGTGTAATTTATGCTAAGATTTTAGATACTACTACTGATTTTGTTTTGTGGCATCAACTATATGTTATCGAAATTGTTGAGAAATGTAACTAACATATAAATTGAATGATCAATCATTTTTTTTCAACAAAAGTATAAATAAATATCAAATTTCAATAGCTGAGATCATGAGTCAATTAAAACTAGACTACCATGAAAAACCTGGAAGCACTGAACGTCCGTTTCGTCCTAGTATGGGACTCCTCAACAATGTGTAACCACGATCCTGTCTTGTGAGATTCGAACCTAGGACCTATCGGTGCTTCCAGGTTTTCCATGGTGGTTTAGCTTCAATAAACTCATGATCTCAACTATTAAAATTATTATAATATCTACAAAAATCCCTTCTGATAAATATCAAATTGTTGACGATTTTGAATGGATATAATTCAATGAAATTCCATTGATATTTATCGTGTCTTAATATATTACTGACTAATAAATTAAATGGTTAATTTCATGGGTCGATCTAAGCTAGGTTAACCGTTTGCGTACAAGACCGAAGGTTCTAGCTTCGAGTTCCGCGTGTGGGATTGTGGATGCACAGAGCTGAGGAGTCCCATAATAGAACGAAACGGACATTCAGTGCTTCCAGGTTCTTCATGGTGATCTAACTTACATCGACTCATGAAGTCAACCATTAGATTACTACAATCTCCACAAATCCCCATTCTGATAATAATACTTTGTAAATGGTTAAATGCTAACCAGCATAACGAACTAGTAAATTTCAAACCTATTTCAACAGCAAATCCAATGTTAATTTTAGTCTAGTCTTTGGATAATGTTCCTGATTTTCACTTATTTAGTTAAAGGGATAAGCAACTAAAGTATTTAGATAAAAAGTAAGAAGACGTAACAGTAAAACTGATGTCTTAACAAGGGTAATACGGTTCAATTTAGTTCACTTTCTGATAAAGAAGACGTGAGGAACATAAAAAAAATTAGAAAGAACACTGAAGTAAATTAGACAGAATTAAGTTAAATGTAAAATGAACAGATCGTACGTAACCATTATTTTGAAAATGTGAATTTATCAACGCCATCCTGGTAGATTTTAAGATGTATGTCCAAGATTTATAATTCTCAATGGTAAACAAAGTTACTTTTCACGAAAGTTGATCCCTTCATAAATTTAAACAGACCATGAAAAACTAAGTTTTTAAAGTAAAATGAGTTTATTCGATTTCCTGGATTTGAATCAACTGCAAATGACCTAAACTTACAATAAAGAAAACAACTATAGACTAAGATTTAGCATAATTTAGTTAATAAAGTTAAGTTGAATGTTCGAAACGAAACCGAAAATCACAATATGAAGAAAAGAAGTACATATATTATGTTTTATGTTCATTTAATGATTTTGATTGCATTTCACTTATCCATCTCGACTTCCATAACTAAAGTGTGTTAAAGCTTGGTTTATAGTTAGATTACTGTTTGTAAATTTGGATTGATTGTAGTTGATGCGAAGTTATGAAACAGAATGAATTTATTTTGTTTTACAAACCTTATTGTAATTGTTCTGTTTAAACTCATTTTCAAACCCCATTGACGGTAAATTTTAGTATGAATGATTACTGTGTATTACTTCCAAATAACCTTAGTGTTTAATATTGATAATCTCTCAAAAGTCAGGCACATCGAAACTTTTTGGTGAAAGAAATCAAATGTAACCTTGTAGTCAAGAGAAACAGTCGAATTAGTTGATTATCAAAGATGTTTCTGCTCTAAAACTTAATGAAAGATGGAAGTCTTGTCAATGAAACCTTGTTTATACCCCAAATCTATTCAGGATTTTTGTTCTCATAATTCACTTAGGAGTCGATTGATTATGAACTGTAGGACTAATGATATTACTGTTAGTTAGGTTAATCTCTTTGTAGTGCCTATAAAATGATATTACGTTCCTTCTTATTATCTGAAATGTCCAAAATCAGCCTGGTACTCCTGCCTCTGAATGTAACTTTTTAATCTAATAATTCTTAAATTTTGTCTTTGAATGACTTATCAAGTAAACCATTATGTCATATTCGTTTATTTCACTTCAGGTTTCACACGGTTAGTATTAACTTTGGTAATGGTTGAATGATAAAAAATAATAATTTATTAAGACTCAAGTCACGTCGTGAGAAATTAAAAAGTAGCTGTAGACTACTTAATTTGTTTATTAATTTATTCTATTTGGTGTTTCTATCAGTTTCTAGGGAAATTCATTAACGACTTACCTTCTTTGGTTTTGATCTCATTAACTATGACATTTTCGTGTCAGCAACTTTAATGAAACTAAATAAATGGAAGTATGAATTAATTCCAACGCTATATATACTTCTCAAACGTTCTATAGACCTTTCTTCAACTTACATTTAAGCTCATTTTGCTCTTAATCATTTATCCATTGAAATATGCAGTGTAACTCATTGTTATTAATTCAAATAAATATGTACTAATAATGTTATTCTAACATAAATACAGTAGAATTTTGAGATTTAATAGTTGATCAATCGTTAGGTTTCCTACAATCTATGTGTATTGTTTGATAACAGTATTCTCAAGATAATCGGTATACACACAGATTGTGTAGGTTTCCAAGCAGTATACTTCTTTAGGTAATACTAATGCTCATGTAAATCATGTAACGGAGCTTTAACAAATTAAAAGAAATCCTTAATCATTTTTCTCAGAGAATAAAATGAGAGTTGAACCTCTGTTATGGAAAATAATCCCATTATACTCCACTTAGTAAATACAGTATAATATTTCAAAATGTATTTCTTGAATTTTTACTGCTAACCTTTATCTGATAAACTTAACCTATGACAAACATAAAACTGTCTTATGTGACCTAGTTAAATATATTCTTTTTAGAAACAAGCAGGTATAATATTTCCTGTTTATGAACTGAATCAACTGATTTCCGTTTCCCATTCAAGAAAAATTTACTATATCCCAGTTTTAAATTCTAACTAAATCCTTAATTCACAACATGTCATTGTAACGCCTATAATCATTAAAAAAATTTTATCTTTGACTTTTGAGTTAAGCTTTTATTTAATTCCCTTGTTTATTAGTGAACTTAACTCATCCATACACATAAAAAGGTCAATCAGATGGTGCTGATAACTAAATAAGCCTTCACTATGATTACATTCTATTCTCAGGATAGTTCCATACGACCTCAATGAGTTTACCGTCAGCCATAAAACACATAAACAATTAATTTAAATTGATCATTTCCTACCTTCTTCATTAGATTTACTCAAATACTATAATTGTTATTGGACAATTAATTGTTTTGCATATAGTGAAACACAAATAGTGTATTTTTTGATCAATTAGTTTAATAAAATTAAATGATTATTATCAAATTGGTTAAGAAGCGGTTAATCATTGCCTTTTGAAAATTAAACAAAAGTAACCAGAATTAACGTATTCACATAGCTTGAATAAATGCTTACGATAATATGAGTAGAAAACCAAGAAATCAAGACATTAAAAATGCACCTTACAATATATTTTTTTAAAAAGATGTACAATTGTGAATCGTAAGATGTAAGAGTGATCAAATAAAGCTAAGCAGTTATGCAGTATAAATACGAATGATCAACTGAAGTTAATTTTAACTTTAATGAAATATAAATGAAAAGAAGACAAGTTTCAATAAAGTTTCATGTGATTAAATTGTATGCACCTTTTAAAATTTTAACTAATGAACTAATATTCACCAGTATATCCTAACCAGTCATAATGATCCTCATTTATAAAGTCATATGAGAAATTATGATCAATTAAAATCCCAACAGCCAGTTACATTATTAAAAGATAATCTTCTGTACAATGTATAATGTAGACTGATTTTATTTGTTAAATAATAGTCTTCAAAATACTCAAATACACCAATATGGGATCTCAATATGACATACATTCTCTTTGAATAAAAATAATAGTCATGGAAAAAAGACAGTTATCGACGCTTTTTGATTTCGTGTAATTAAGGTTATGGGACTTAAATATAGGTTAACTCTTCAAAACTTTGTAAACACGATGTTTCAAATGCATTCAGGTATAGCATTTAAAAGACTTAGTGACATGCTGAATATTCAACGGTTTATAAATATCTGATATGTCAAAAACAATTCGAACAGGAAATGGTTTACTTGAGCCAAAATTCAGACAATGATATGTTGATATTTTTAATCATCTTGGCAACATATCGATTAGCCTGACGCGATCTCGTAACTGTTAAAATCTAAAAAGCTTGTTGAAATGAATATGATGTGATATTTCAACTAAGAAACAAGTTGAACACAGTATACTTAAATATGTTGATAAAATGTGTAGTCCTAAACACAACAGAAAGACGTGTAATTTGCTTGGTTGCCTTTTTTTAATCAAAAACCTTGGCCTAATCTTGAAATTGATCTGGCCGATTAGTATAGTTAGCTTATGTGACTATCAGTATATGATTTTGGTTAGTGATTTCTGCTGCTTTTTCAAAAGTAGATTTCAATCATTTTTGTTGAAATAATTTCATGGTAGAAGCGGGACAAATATACACGAAATTGACGAAAGTAAGAACGTTGAGTGATAATTTAAATGACCTTGAACTTTTTAGATCACATATAAGCTAACGAACATGCATATTAAATCAGAAAACTTTCACTATAAGAATTAATGAAAATTTATTTCATAAAGCTTTAGATGATTTGTAAATTTTCCAAGGTTTACAACTGGATTATCTATCTTAAAATCAGATGATTTCCAGATTCTGAAGCTCATCTTTGTGCAGATCAGTTTCTTTGGTGATCCTTTGCATAACTATAGTTAATTTTATAAGCTATTTCACTTAATCCTTACAATATTTGTGACACTCATGGTCATTATGAGGCAATGATCTAAAGAGCAGACAAATGTTGAAGCAACTATTCACAGTTTAACTGGCTGTGTGATTCGCTTTGAATAAACAGAAAAAGAACCAATAATTTTTATTTTAAATCTTGCATACAACTGGCCTCGGAACATCTACGTAATTTACATGTTTTGCATTTCCGTTACATCACTTCTATCCTAATAATAGAACAGACTATTTGTTGCCAAGCCGAAGAGTCACATGCACTATATAGATGTATTTTCTACAGTGCCACGAACAAGATTAATAATAAGTTTTTAGATAAACAGCATTTTTTTTAAACTATTTAAATGCGTACTACGATAAGATGATGCGAATTTTAGTTCATATGGCTTTCGGACATATTTAAATGACTTGACAACATGCCGAATATCCAGATCCCTGCAAAAAACGATAAGACAAAGTATTTTATATTATTCGTTTTTATTAAGTTAATGGTACCTGATAGAATCTTGATAAGATTGTTTCATGTGTCTTAATGATCATATTCAAAATTTATGCTACTATAAAAATCATATATTATTAGTGCGATTCTACAACTTGATGATAAATTGTACTGCAGATTGACTTTGGCTAAACAATCATTGGAAATCAGAGAATACTAATTTTTTGAAAAGCTCTAAACTTGGAGTATATTTAAGTTTTTATTCAGCTAACATCACCGATCTATAACTATAAGGGGATGAAGATTCAATCTCGTCTTGCCTTGAGACTCATCTAGACGCCTTATATATTAGATGCCAGATATTTCTTAGTAATAAGGATTAATCTATGGGACAGTGGTCACTAGCCAGTAGTTTGTTAATATAATTTATACAATCTTGTAGAGAATTAGTTCAAACTCTAATAACTTATTGGTAACGTTCATGGTTACCTTTCCCACTAGGATACACTGAAATTTATGACCATACATTGATTTCTCGGACGTTTCAGACACTTTTTCCTACAGAGTCCCATCAACTAAGTTATAAAAAGCTTCATACACATGAATACATACTTAAATAATAGGTGATATCACGTCTTTATAGGGTGTTATTCATGCATGTTGAGCCTTTCTTTAACTAAGATTCCCTGATATCCTTAGTTTGAACTCACAGTAAAACGAATTCATGACATTGGTCACAAGTAAATTCAACTAAAATATATATAAAAGATAAACATAACCACTTTTTTGACTGATCTTAAGCAATGAGTTGGAAGTTTACTAGAAAAATTTCCTTTCCCTAACTAGCTAGCTACGACTCTGACTTTGACACTGGACGATACGGATACGTATCATAAGAGGAACACCATTTCCATCAATAAATGTATATACTACTCTCTTTGTAAGTACCAACTAGCGTTAAACATAGGTCGAGTAAGTCTTCCTCTTAACTAACTCCAACCGTCTATTAATTAATGATAGCACTAAAATTATTAAAAGAATCATCATATATATTTAAAGTGTGATTTCCCTTCGCCTGCTTTTGATTTATTCATTCTTTTAAAGTTGTTCAGATGTTATGCATACAGTGATTTGGTTTTACCGATCGTTTCCAGATATTTTTACATGAATTAAACAGACAGTTTATATCTGTATATCGTTACTTGTCCCTGATCGTTCAGTACTGGAATTGCAATGAACGAAAACTCGGGTGAGGACAACTAATCTATCACTCAACGCGAAATTAAGGTTCTTTAGTAAGAAAACCATACACTAAATATTTTATTTGCAAATCTTTCATCAATTACCCTTTACATTCTTCATGATTCTTCCATTTCTCAATTCCTTTATGTTCCCCTTTCTGTTTTCTTCAGCGCAATTTCCCAATCTTTTGACACATATTCAAATTGTATTTGGTGTTACATGCTACTTATGTCGACGGACACCAAAAACTAATAACTATCTTTTGATTAGCTAGTTGATATTAATATAAAGTTTCCGGGGTATGTGATTTAGTTAAATGATCTTTCAGAACTCAATCACTTAAGAGCTATGCTCAATAACATGAACTATGCTGTTCAGTTACATAAATCGTTATAAGTTGAGTGAAACTCAGATGTGTAACCTACTGGTTGAATGTAGAGTACTTGTGTCACTGAGCTAAAACTCTACCTACAATGAATACCAAAATGATGTAAAACTACAAACGTACCTCATATGAAAGCAGAGTGTGAAGTCGTGTTATTCTAGTTCGTTTATGAGCTTGTGCACATGGTTCACATAGATTATCACCACATTCAATACATCTGAACAAAAAGAAATACAGAACCTTTAAATTAATTGTTTACAATAACACACAACATCGTAATGCATCAGAAATTCAGTGTTCTACTCTGTTGTGTTCGATTAAATTAATTTTCTGTGGAAAACTAAGGTGGTTTTTGCCTGAATATAGTTTGAAAGTACCACACTATCACTTATAAGTAACTCTCACGTTTTATATTCGGTAAGCACAAATTTAATTCAGAACAGAAAATTAATTTACGATTTGGTAAAGTTTTATAGGTAATTCTACTTTAAATGAATATCATGACAACGAGTAGATCAATCGGTTAGTGATTACAAGTCGCGGGTTTGAAACCCGTCCCCCCTACTTCAATTTTAGCATCCAGGTATTATGCCTTTCACTTATCAAATTATGCATTAAAACCCAGCGTATGAACCCGTATGTATTTTATTACTGAGGTGAATATAGCAGCAGGTACATTAAGATAGAAATCTGATACACAAAATCAGTGAATCTATGAAATCAATAAATTGATGGAGTAACTAATAAAATGATGAATAATATCTATTATCTAGCTTTCTAATTGTTTGATTACATGCCCGATGAACATCTGACTAGTCATGTGGCTAATTAATAATACATGAAACACCCGAAGTGATTGCTTTACTTTATGGAGAAACTGACTGAGTAATGTTTTGCTCCCACGATCATCTTTGAACAAAGAACCACAAAATGCACCCACTTATTAAGAGTAATCGGTTGAATAAACCGTCTGAATTCGTTTGAAATTGCATAGTTTAACAATAACGCGTCTGAATTCATATCCTTCTGTTGATTACTTTCAAAGATTTAACAAAAAATAGACATTAGATTTCTGAATCGTTTAGTTAGATAGGCACATAGCCATGTTGTGATTACTAGATCAATATGCAGTATTGAACTCATGTACACTACTTGGGTTATCAACAATATATAAGTACATAAATTTCGTTTGTTTATGAATAATTGTAGCTTTTTTAGGTTGAGTCAAACGGAATAGTACATCACTTTAATGTTATGTTCATTAACCTAAATAACTAGACAAGTATTGGCCCACACACATAGAATACATAGTAGCAAATATAGCAAATATATAACTGACGATCCTAATTGAGCATTTGTTTTATGGAGTTTGCTCACTGTCACCTGGTTCATAGTAATTCTTCAAATGATTCTAGTTATTTATTTATTAAAAGTAGTTTTCAACCCTTAAAAAAAACTTATTAACATTTATTTACTTATAAACATCTCTTGAATTCATTTCTAGTTGTAATCTAACATAATTAAATTAATTTGCTTTGAAATTTGACATAAGGATAACTTAATGTAAGTGAATAAGTTAACTATCTCAAATGCTTACTTTCTCTCCACATAGCCTATTTTATTATCGAAGCGTTTATTGGTCATATTGACTTTTTTCCAGCCTTTGAAGTGAATACTTATACAGACAGTAAAAAATAACCATAATAACGAAGTCTCAACATATACAAACATATCTGAAGTGGGATAGACACAATTTGTTTGCCATCTGCTCCGATGTTGTTCAACTGTTGAGAATTTAATTTCATCTCTAATCGATGAGTTTTTGTAGTTTGCTTTTTTCAAAAAACTGATTTCAGACAAACAGTTTAACAAACATTAATTCATCGTGATCATAAATAAATACACTAATATTTATTGGTTAAAAATATTTTCAGAATGGGGTTTTTTGGGGATTGTAGTAATTTTAATAGTTGAATTCATGAGTCGATGTAAGCTAGACCACCATAGAAAACCTGGAAGCACTGGACGGCCGTTTCATCCCTAGTATGGGATCGATGGAAGTTAGACATTAATACCATTGTATGCCCTCTCAGTCGTTGATAGGTTAAGCGTTTGCTCACAAGACAGAAGGTCCTGGGTTCAAATCCTGCGTGCGAGATCGTTAACGCGCACTGCTGAGGAGTCCTATTCTAGGACGAAAAGACCGTCTAGCGCTTCCAGGTTTTCAATGGTGATCTAGCTTACATCGACTCATGAATTCAATTATTAAAAATATTTTCATCAGGCATGTTCTTTATAAATTTGAAAATAATTTAACGTTGAACGAAATCACAGTTCATAAGATTCCGGTCAAAATATGACTGCTGCCTATCTAAGTCATACGACTGTACTGGGATGACCTTATCTTAATCCCAATTCAAGTGAATCTCAATGTCGTTTAGCTAAGTGATCAATGAAGATCATCTTTATCACTAAATGACTTTAATCAGATATCAATGTTGGAAATGGAACAGTTATTCGATGATTAAAATAGTTAGTGATCATCTAATATCGTAAATAATGTTAAATGACATTTTTAGAGTCCGATTCAGAGAGAATTGAGACAAACCAAAATTGAGTAATCTGTATTAGCATTTAAATGTGTACCTAGCTAGATTTCGTCTCTGATTACATTTCTTTTTTGTCTATGACTTCAACTGAAATCCCAGATTTTTGTTTCTTTAAACTTATGACTTGTCAACATTCTACTGAGACACCAAATTAAGAATAAGTATTTCAAATGCTAGAATGATACCCCGAAGATACTGAGTAACAATAGTTGTTATCATGTTGAACATAAATAGTGTGTTCTTAAAAATTATACTTTACCTTCTCTAATTCACAGGAATGGCCTTTGAAGATATTTTTGTTTTGATTATGAGTTAAAAAATCATTTGAACAACTACAAAAGAAATTTCAAGAAGTAATAAAAAGCTTTTTAGTCCTAGTCTGGGATCGTTCGCTAGCGTCATTATCTATGACTGTACTAGAGTTTGTACTTTGGACCATCAAATCTCAATGCAGTAAACATGATGACTATAAACTATTGCGTGAAACCTCAGATTACAGTCAGTTCGAGATACAGGACTCAGTCTCATCGAATCTCATAGGTTATTTACTATGTTTACTCGAATTTCTGATGGTATGCAATGACAAACTTTTAAACTACCTATTAATTAAACCATTTTCCATCTCATATATTTAACATCTTAATGGATGTATTCCGTTTATGTAAAAGATGCTCTAACAAAATCCCAATTATAATTATATTATAATCATAGATTTCTAGACTGTTTTATGTGCTAAACGTGAAAATCAAAACATTGTACGTATTTACTATTGGCCTGAGGTACAAAGGAATATTTGGGATAACGGTTTATAGTGAGAAAAATGTAATGTAAAATTAGTTATTAAGATTATAAGCCGTTTCAGTAGCTCATATAAATTGAACATTGTATTATTATTATTGTCAGTATAGGGTTATGGGGATTGCTGAGTTTCGACTGAGATTAATTACCGACCACGGAAAACTTGGAAGCACTAGACGACCGTTTCATCCCAGTATAGGGCTCCTCAGCAGTTCATATTCTCGATGCTTATGACGTCGTTCAGAAGAACTCTGAGAGCTTCACAACCAAACCATCCAACTAAGAGAATAATACTCCACCAAAATCATCCACCTGAGCTACAAATCTCCATGAACTCCTAATTAATACAAAATGCTTATTCGAAAGCTCTTGACTTGGATCCTATATTGTTAGTGCAGTCAATTTTCTATATATGGTTATAAATATAACTTGACTTGAGATATGCAATAAACATGAAGTAGCTAATTAAGTAAAGATGGATAGTGACTAGTAGTGGAATCCATGATACGCGTTTCGTCCTGTTTGTGACTCGTCAGCTGGATGTATCTGCGATCCAGATACATCCAGCTGAGTCACAAACAGGACAAAATGTGGTTTTTGTATTCCATTGCTAGACACTATCCATCTCTGTTTTGTTTTTGTTTTTGAAAATACAGTTAAACTAGTCAAAATTTATAATTCTATGAACGTATTGTAGTCTGATAAGTAATCTTAATCAAACATTCACTGAAGACAGATTTTCTCAGTATTATGTACAACTTTATTTGGTTCTGTGAAAAAAGGATGATGTTTTCATTAATAGCCAATCACATGAAAGGTCAAATGAATAAACAAAGTTTATTTCTCCGGTAGCTTAATCATATAAACAACCAATAAGAATTGAAATGACAGTTGAAATTTAACTGTTTTATTTATGAATCATCAATTTCAGACGAGTCACAATTACATAGGTCACATGAATAATCTACACAACTATGCTAGTAAAGACTTTTTTTTTCCGAATGCTGGCTGTTATGATAAAAGTGAAAAAATTGAAAAATTTTCTCTATTCATTTGTTAGTTGTTTTGTTTTTAGCAAAATCTGATCATATCGAGGCCTACCTAAGAAACCGATATTTTAGTATGGAAAATCATAAATGCACCAAGAAAAATGTTGTAAAATTACAACTTTATAAGGCACATTAATCAATATATTCACTAAATGTCAATCTAGTGTTCCACAGTATTTTTGTATTCAGTTTCAAACGATAACTGAGAATTCGATATTGTACCAAAATATAATCTTGAATAAAGCTATTAATAATAATAATAATGAAAGATTGAGCTATTTCACTTTATAAGGCGATAGGTACTGCACATTTGACACCCAAGCGAAATCATAGCAGTATAATAATGATTTATTTAGTGATTAGTATCCAATATTGTTTATAATTCTGAGTCACTTGATTTTTTCGGGTTACAATTTATCTTCAGCTATTTACGAGATTATAATGGAACTGACGTATTTAGAATTCTCAATACACACATTGAATTTTTTTTATTTTTTATGCTAATTATTTATTCTGTACTTCAGGCACTTCTATTCACTTTGTTGATAAAATAGTTACATATATTTTATAGATTATTCAGTATTTGATAACTGTTTCTATGTCATAATAGTGATTACTATTCTAATGAGTTTTATATATTATTCAAAGAAAGTGTTCATCTTTAGTCAGTTAGGTCATCGACACAGCTGTTCATTATGAGAAAATTATATTATTCGGCATTATCTCTAGTATATTTCAATGCTCAGTGTTTGGAAGAAATCAATAAAAAGCCATAGACCTAAGTTTTATTTTAGTTAGCTTGGGATATCTACAACTGAAATCATCAGTCAAATAATAATAAGATACTTGCTACTCAATAAATTCCACGAACATAAATTTTGAAGAAATTCTGATGAGAAAGCATGTTTTATGAATGAAAATTAAATGCTAATGGTCAGAAGATAAAATAAAAATTGCTGATTGTAGCTTATGCCCCCCCCACTTGTCTAACTCACTTGTAACATTTTCACTGAGTAACCGAATGGCTTTTGCTTCAATTAGATGAAAGTTCTAAATACGATTAAACCAATTTGTATTTACAATGAAATACATCTTTAAGTTTATTAAACGTCAACTGAGTTAGTTTTAGTTTATTTTACAAGCTTATCGTTAAACAGTCAAAAACTTTCCACTTGTTCCCTCCAAACTATTAACTATTTATCAGAATTTTTCAGGTACAGCAGAAACTATAGTAACTCTCAAAATTCATACATTAGTTTTCCCTACCAAAATTGATTTTAATAGAAATAAAATCTTAAGACAGAATCCCATTTGTCCTCTTGTAACGTATTCGGACAGAAGAGAAATAACGAAAATACCAAATAAACTTTGTCAGTTGTCTTTTTCTTCTAGAAGATTCTGTCGTACATGATAATTTTTGTTATCCATTCAAACGTAAACATACGTTAAGTACTAATTACATTTATTTCTATTGTTATTCAAAATATTTTTTTAAGATTAAACTTTTTCTGCGTTATCAATCTTAGCAGTAATAGGTTGATTTAGTGATTTTACATCTGGATCAAAGTATTTACACTATCAAATATGTTACTTAAAATTTGATCATGATCACGTGCTCATAACAGTTGTTTATTTGACATACAATCAGATTGGAACTGAAGTTTGGAATGATATACATTCTTCACGATTGGTGATTATATACATTTCATGTTCATTTAATGATCTTTCCAAGGTTAATAGGATTACAGTTATCTGATATGACGAAATCTTTCTTTACATTTGCTATTGATAGCAATCAACTTAACCCCCAAAACAACGGGTATAGTTTGGTTTTTTTTTTAAAAAAGATCTGATCATTAGAAACTGAATATGTAATTTCAATAGTTCAACTATTCATTAATGTCAAGAAGTTTAAATCTTATTGTACATTAAATTTAACCATTGATTTCATTTAGATCATCTTTCAAAAAGACAAAAACAAATCAATCGTTAACACGGATTTGAATACTGTCCAATTTGTTTTTATATCAATAAAGTGATAGATCATTTGTAATCTGTGTGAAATATTATTTTTATGAAGATTTAAGATTAAATATAAAATAACTTGGATAATTCGAAATATAATCAATTTATCTAGATGTCGAAGAAACCATATATGACAGCTTGAAATTAAATAGCCATATGTTAATTGAATAAGGACTGTGCGTTTGTTTTTTTAACAGTGATTAAAGTCATATTCTGTGGTAATGGCTAGTTTACATGGAACAACAACTAGTCAATGAAAATAATTTACAGACACCACAGTATCATATTAAAAAAACACACATTAGATACTTACTTAAGAAAAAGCAAAATGTCATAGTCATATACGCAAAAGAGTTATGATACTTAGAATAAACAAACCGCTTGTTTGAACTAAAAATAAGAACACTTCAGTATCATTCTCTTAACAAGACAAAACATGAACCTATTTAATTCTTGAAATATAGACCAATTTAACTTGTATATATATTCTGACCTCTTAAATGACTCAATCAACCATTCAGATAGAGAAATTTCATTTCATTTAGTTTTCCATCATGGCTCTACACTAATATATATATATTAGTGTAGAGCCATGATGGAAAACTAAATGAAATGAAATTTCTCTATCTGAGTGGTTGATTAACAATAATGAAATAATACTCATCGAGTGGATGCGTTACGTAATAATTACATAACGACATTTCGATCAAAAATTAACATTGAGTAATTGGAAGAAAGAGGATTAATAACAATCAAAGTAATTGTTCGAAAATCAAGAAGTTGCTACGTTGCATAATATATGGAAAAGAGAAGGAACAGAATATTTTGATAAATGGTCAGTAGAATAGTAGTTATGTAAGAATCAAGAGATAAATGTTGAGAATAAGTAAAATACAAAGTTCAAAAGACAAAAACAAAATGGAAGAAGTACGAAAATAGTTTATCAATGTTCTTCTACAAACGCCGCTATACCGATGGCCGAGGTAGCGAAAGTGGTTGTACAAACTTCTTTTGGATGCAAAGGTTAGGTTTGTGGACATGGATTGCGATAGCTTCAGCAATGTGCGAAAGACGCACTCGTAAACCATGTGGCAAATTTGATGGAATATGATAGATAACCTTAAAAGCTTTATTCATTTCAACTTGATGACCTGTGTCAACCAAGTGAGCGAGAATAGAGTTCCTAATCACTCTTACCTGTCCTTTGCTCAACAATGACAGATGGTGCTCTGTTATACGATGAAGAGCTTGACAAATTGTACGCCCTATATAACTGGCTCCACAGGAGCAGTTGAATCGATAAATACACATGGATATGGCAAATTCAGTCAATCTTTCTTTATTAGCAGTTCTTATTGTGGGGTGTTTGTAGAAGATAGCACATAGCCTGGCTGCATTAAATGTTTTTGTACAGCTTTTCTTAATCTCTGAGTCACAATTTCTTCAGTAGTGTCATTTAGGAATTGTAATTTTAAGAACAATACTTTCTTAGGAACGGTAGGTATCTTTGTCCTTCTTTTCATTTCCTTCATGTGTTTTCATTGGGTACCCATTCTTACTAAGTGAGTTATGAATATTAACCAATTCATCTACAATAGTGTCATTCGAACAAATCATCCTAGCACGATGAGTCAGGATCTTTACCAAGTTATTCAGGCGATTCAATGTTAAGGTAATTAAACAGATAGAAAATGAAAAATAAAAGATTGGTGGGTAACAGGTTTAACTAGCTCAGTAAACAGTAATAGATATCGTTAATACTTAGTAAGACTTTTAAGCCTGGTGACAGAAATAATGGCTGTTTGTCACGTCGAACTCAAAAAACAAGTTTTAACACAATTATCTAATCAGCTGATTTTCGTTGAACAGCAGATATTTTCAGCAAATCATCCAGAATATAAAAATTCTCCAAACGTTTTACAGCAAATTTTCGGAATGATGTTACGATGAACTGACTTGTGAACATATCTATCTATGATCATTTATATGCTATCCGATAAGTTATTCAATATCATCTTGACTAAATATTTCGTACATAAATGACAGCTTTAATTTCCTATTGTAATCACTCATTTATTTGTTGGTAATGTTCTACGGAATCTATTCACTTGAATTCTGTAAACATCATATAAATACTAGTAAAAATTTGTTATTTGGTTAGTAGCACTCTATAAAATGTATCAAACCTAGGCCCAGGGAGGGTTGACACTCATCAAAATATTATATTTGAGATACTGAAAGAACTGATTTCCCCCCTTAGATATTCGGGCTTACCTCGATCAGTACCAGAGTCAGGGAGGTTACTACTTGATTTTGAAAATGATAATAATAATAATAATAAATAATATAAGGTATTGCAGATTAAATCTCATACACAATTAAATAACTTAAAGTACCTGAATTGAGCTTCTGAATTTTGATTTTCAAACATACAATAATCACATTTACGTATTGTATCTTTTTGTAATAAATTTGCTAAATCTCGAAGTTTTTCAATAAATATTGCATTTGGAAATTGTAATTCATCCACTGTAATTGTTTCCTCCGTTTCTAATACACAGTTTGAGTCAGTAGTTGAGCTAATGCCAGGTTGAACTGTCGAATATTTCTCATCGTTATAGTTATTTTTTAGTGTTTCATTAATAAAACTATTATTATTATTATGAGGATCATATTGTTCTTGTAATTTCAAACCAGCCATATGACAAGCTTTACATTTTATTGGTGAATTATCCTTACTCTTTGAATGGTTACGTAACGAAATAGCACAACTTTGACAGACTGTATGTAAACACGGAAGAAGCTGTTAGTAGTAAAAAAAGAGGAAAACTAAATTATAAAGGGATAATTTATTATTCCTCAAAGTCATCTAGCTATCTTAAAAGTCATATTTGGGAAGTGAGAATATCTAATAATAACAATAATAATAATAATATCTAGTAATAATGATGATAATCAGAGCATAGAAATTTTATTATGGTTGCTCTCATCACCCAGAATGTTTAGATTAACTTTGCTCAATGAGTCGATTTATTCAAGCTACAGGAAAGTGATTCATTTTTTATTGATTGTTTGAATCTTCACATTGATGTTTAGGAATACTATTGATTAGTCTCTTATCAGCATACGAGTATCTAGTGATAACTAACATTATATTTCAATTAATTCACAAGTATTGCAAGCGGAGATGAATGATGGCTAACAGTGGGATGCAGGACGTGCGTTTCGTCCTATTTGGGACTCATAAGCCTGATGTACACTAAGCTACTCGAACCTATTATGAGAATCAAAAAACAACAGAAATAAGCGAACAATAGCGTTCTTAACTAAATCTTTAGGCTGTAATTTGTTTAACTTGTGGGAATAATTGTTTCAAAGAATTATCTACTGAAGATACTTATTGTCCGTTGGTCGGATGTTATTATCAACAACCTACTGTGGGAGAGAACAGACCAACTTCCAACTTAATATGAAATTAGGAAATGATGTTAGAAGTGGATAGGAAATACATCACGGAAATCATCAAACTGCATCACAAAGCAGGCTCCAACTTGGAATTCTGGGTGGAAACGGAAAAGTGGAAGATCAAGGAACACACTGTGAGGAGAATCGGAAGCACACATGATCAGCAAATGGAAGCAACTGGAAAGGAATGCCCAGGTAAGAGATGGATAAAGAATGCTGGTGTGCGGCCTATGCTCTTCCACAAGGGGTAACGGGTGTAAGTAAGTATTTATGTAAATAAATAAATAATATTTATTTGTACATGTGAAAATTATTAAAGTAATAAAGTCAGTTTAGGAGCCAGTTATAATAATGTAAAATGTACGACTGATAGTAAAATGACAAGTATATTAGTATATTAAATAGAATATTAAATAGTATGATAATGTGAACAAAAAAAAACAAATTCACAGCCAGAAATTTTAACCAATCATTTAGCAAGCATCATCCCTTGTAGTTTGGGAAGGGTCTGGCACAATCAATACAGAACCCTATTCCATTATGCTTGATCGATGATGACCAGGTAGTAAATAGGACCGAAACATCCAAAAGGGTTTTTCGTATGCCACCACTTTCTTCCAAGTGGGGTTCACTTTCGTCTCCTATATTTAGCAGAGGCTATAGGAACTCGAGTTGTCAATTTTCGTCTCTGTATTTTGAAAAAACATTGAAATACTACTTTTTTGTCTTTGATCTAATAAAACTTAGTAGACTACTTTACTAATTATTCAATATCTTAGCCACATAAACATTTAAAGTGATTATTTACACGTTATATGGTACGATTTTCATAATTAGTGCTGTTTTAATAAGTTCCTAATTCAAGTTCTAACCTAAGTCCCATGTTTAATTATTCATTCAAGATGTTTCTATTATTTTTATCACAACAAATACACTTATCATCTTACTAGTAATTTGTACTGTTTGCTTTTTATTGCTTAGATTTAATTATTCAGTCTTTTTATTTTTCATTACCATTAACTTAATAAACTACCTTGATTTATCTAATAATTCTCAAATATATACCCTTTTTTAAAAATATATTACTCTCTGACGAATATCTCATTAACAACAATATTGTTTCAGCAGTTTAAAAATCCCCATAGAATATTCAAAAATGAAGAATATTTGAGTGAACAATTGTTTTCAATAACTTCATCATCAGGCTCTTCAGTTATAAGTCCATAATCATAATATTTTACAAAGGCCACTGGATCACCGAATACCTAGAATAAATATTATAAACCTCTTACTCCCTCCCTTTATTTTATTTCTTTACCTTATTATCATTATTTTTGATTATTTCTATCTTAATATTCACGTTCATCATTCCTAATTCGTTGATCTTAAATACCTTGATAACACCCCCCCCCTTATTACACACAACAATCTTATTATTATTATTATCTCAATTGACAAAATTAAATTCTCCTACTATGCATTTTATTCACACAATTTTCTTGCATTTTCATACTATTTTCATACTTATGGTGACTGAACACTTTACTCCTTACCATCCTGACCTTTATTGAATGACCTTTCTAATTTGCAAATATTACAATTTTTTGAAGTATATACATATATATCGTAACAGATGCAAACATTCACCATTTTTAACACATAACATTGTCAAATTCATTAATACATGCCTTAATTTTGGCCTTTGTAAAATATTATAATTATGGACTTATAACTGTAGAGCCTGATGATGAAGTTATTGAAAACAATTATTCGCTCAAATATTCTTCACTTTTGAATATTGTTTCACTTAACATAGTTTACTTTCATTTTCTAAATTTTAATTTGATTGTTAAGAAGATATTTTTAAAGGTTTAAGATGTCTTCTAAATATTGTTAACATGTAATTTGTTATATACTTAATGATAATATATTCTTGTGAATACATTCTTAATTAAGAAATTAACATAGGACATTTTGGCTGGTTGTTTGAAAAAAATTATTGATTCAGTGTATTGTTATTTAGTTGATCGGCAGTTACAATTTATGCATGAAATACTTGCCAATTGATATGAAATTTGTTGTTTTATTCATGTGTTATATTTGTATATATAATACTGAACTTATTGTATTTTGTAATAGTCTAATGTTGAATATTATATCAGTGAATTCATGTATTTGCATAAATATAAGCTTATTCAAATTTTTATCTACGTCGTTAATAATCAGTTATTTTCATGATCTTCATTATTGAATAAAATGACCTTGAAATGGTTATAAGCTTTAGCGTACTTTAAATATATTTTTATTTCAACAATTAATTATAATCAGTCAGTCAGTTAGCTACAACGCAGGACCAGGCACATATATGCATCGGTCCAAGTTGCCATACCTCATTAACACAACAAGATGGACACCCGATTCATAAAAGTAGTTAATTCAGAGGTGGTAATATATAAAAGAAAGATTGCAATAAGGATATAGTACAGGAAGAAAGAATTAGTTCGTAGAAAGAAAGGTATAAGGTGATTTTAATCTCACGGTTTAAGGGAAGATAAAGAGTATATACATCTACTCCATTATGATCTATTCTGACCTATATCACCCAAAGTCTCCAACCATTGGTTACGATAGTCACATGGACCTCATCATAATCATTATAAACTGTCCAACAGAATATTTCTCTGTAAATATTTCTATCATATCAATGTGAGGATATATAAAAAGATTATTACCATTATTATATCGTTCGGTTTGATTTTCAAGGTTAATCCTTTTAAAAACTAAACCTAATATTTTTGATATTTTTATCCTGACAGAAAGTAGTTTAATTAAGAATCAATATTTTCACGCTAGATGTTGAGGAAATATTAGATATTTGCTAGTTTAAAAGAATACGTTTGATGAGGCTAAAACTAGGCTTTATGTTAATTCCTTTAAAAGTTAACTCAGATTTTGGAATCAGGAAATTATAATTTTTTCATATCTTTCCAATATGGTACAAAGGGAAAAAATTCCGTTCTGTCTATTATAAATATTAAAAAGCAACACTAAAGTTTTACCGATATTCTGGATAAAAAAGTGAATTCATCTTATAAGTAATTTTGCTACCATGCCAACAACAATATAATTAATGTCAACAGATTAATAGTTCATACTTTGAATTAAGCGGATTTTGCAACGTTTTACTACACAATATCTACATCTCTTCCCTTAGATCTACACCTAAATTGAGGAAAACTTGTTAGCATCCATTTACATCTTCGGACCTTGATAAGAATCACTACTTACTGTATAGTAATATATTTATTCCTAAGATTATAATTGGCTATTGTTGATAATTAGTAGTTAAACAAAAAATTATTAAATAGTGCATATTTACTAAATCTATTGAACTGACTTTAAACTATGAGACCTGAGTTTAGCTATTATTCAGTGATCTAGATAGATAGATAGATAGATAGATAGATAGATAGATAGATAGATAGATAGATAGATAGATAGATAGATAGATAGATAGATAGATAGATAGATAGATAGATAGATAGATAGATAGATAGATAGATAGATAGATAGATAGATAGATAGATAGATAGATAGATAGATAGATAGATAGATAGATAGATAGATAGATAGATAGATAGATAGATAGATAGATAGATAGATAGATAGATAGATAGATAGATAGATAGATAGATAGATAGATAGATAGATAGATAGATAGATAGATAGATAGATAGATAGATCGATAGATAGATAGATAGATAGATAGATAGATAGATAGATAGATAGATAGATAGATAGATAGATAGATAGATAGATAGATAGATAGATAGATAGATAGATAGATAGATAGATAGATAGATAGATAGATAGATAGATAGATAGATAGATAGATAGATAGATAGATAGATAGATAGATAGATAGATAGATAGATAGATAGATAGATAGATAGATAGATAGATAGATAGATAGATAGATAGATAGATAGATAGATAGATAGATAGATAGATAGATAGATAGATAGATAGATAGATAGATAGATAGATAGATAGATAGATAGATAGATAGATAGATAGATAGATAGATAGATAGATAGATAGATAGATAGATAGATAGATAGATAGATAGATAGATAGATAGATAGATAGATAGATAGATAGATAGATAGATAGATAGATAGATAGATAGATAGATAGATAGATAGATAGATAGATAGATAGATAGATAGATAGATAGATAGATAGATAGATAGATAGATAGATAGATAGATAGATAGATAGATAGATAGATAGATAGATAGATAGATAGATAGATAGACGGGTACACCTTATAACCTATCCATATCTTCTATGAAAAAGAATCAGAATTTTATTCCATTTCATTTATCTCATACAGTCTCATAACATGAATTAGTCTGTTCAGTAAATTTGATTTTTAATTTTAATTTCTGATTTATTAACTTAAAGGTATATTTCTTTGAGAAACATTTAGATTTGATCCCTTTTAGTGTCATAGTTTAAAACTTGTACATAACCTTAACTGATTCTTTTAAAACAAAGGTCAATTTATTTTTTGACATTTTTACATAAACAGTCAGATGATATGAGTAAGTAGTGAAAAAAACACACAGGAAAACTTATATTTGATAGGGAAACTGATGTTGTTATTTTGGTGATAAGATTATTAACTGTCCTCTATTGTGTCGAATGACTTTTACTTTATTGTCCTTGTCAATATCATATGAGTCAAATTTTTTCCTAGTATATTCAAGATAAGGCTGTTTTCTACTATTTTAGATGGTGTAACTAGATAATTACAAAACATAGTAAGATCTCATCCAAAAATATTCTTTTTAAGAAAGGTCACATGAATCATTAAACAATGATGTAGTTCAATGACAAATTATTTATGCACTTGCAAATTGCTGGTCTAGTGGGAGATGTGGGGGCTGTAAAACTTTCACGGTTTTTGTCACGAACTGTTCTTAACTAGACCAACTTTGAAAACCTGGAAATACTAGATATCCGTTTCTTCATAGCGTCCTTCAACGACTTCGCATCTGGTAATCAAACCCATTACCTTCGGTCTCTGTGAGAGAAACTGCTGTCCATTGCTTCCATGTTTTTAGTAGTGGTCTAACTAAGAATATTTCATGAATTTTAACTATGAACATTTACAAACCGACTATTTTTTATCCACGCAGTAGACATTAATGTCTTCGAATCAATTATAACAGGTTTCTGGAAGTCATAATTAACCAGATGACATGATTAAATTATGATTACTTATGTAGATGATTTATCAGCTACATGTTACAAACAGATAACATAAAATAACAAATGAAAAACGGTGTAATACATGGTTTTATTTCACTTACAATGGAGAAGGTTTCGAAATGAGATTATGGCTAATCCGTAGAAAACAGAGGATAATGCTTTGTCTTGGATTGGGACAAGTCAATAATGTTAATATTCAACTTTTATGCAGTATTCAATAACTAAACTCAACAATGATTACTCGGTGATCTCAACATACGCCATTGATGTTCCGAAGACGCCTCTGATGGTCTAGTAACCTAAGGATATCCTCCATTTTTTAAAGCACACGTTCCACACCCATAAATTATGACAGGATAAACCGTTGTACAGTATACTCGTCTTTAGTTGACAGACGATATCTCACTTATGCCACAAGTATGTTAGTTAAAAAAAAAGTTGTGTTGAGATTTCATCAGACAACGAACCATTAGGATTAATGAAACTTCCGAGAGAAGTGCAGTACTTAACATAATCAGCTGTTTCACCTTCTATCATTAGTATAGGTAATGACTCTATAGCACTTAATTTTTAATTTTGTCATGAATTAGATGTAATCAATGTTAGTGAGTTGAAAATCAGGGTAAATATAGTTGCTAAATGCTTTTCAAGATTTATGGAATTGTACAAATAATGTCGAAGAAGAAACTATCTACATTATCGTATTGTTGTACATGACTCATCATTGTTCTGCAACCATCTATTTAGTAATTCACTCTTAATCCCTTTGGTTATGTTAAATGAATAGTAGCTATTAAATTAGTCAACATGACTTTAGATAAATTCACTTGGCATTGTTTACTTGAATCTTCCCATTGTTGTTTAGGACTGCAATTGATCAATCGCTTATTGGTATATGTGCATCCTGTGCGGATTGCCTCGATATTGCCTTAATTCACGAGCATTATAAGCAAAGATGGATAGTGGCTAGCAGTGTAATCCAAGACGTACGTTTCGTCCCATTTGGGACTCGTCAGCCGGCCATCAGGATTCAGTAGCGAAGTGGATAACGCTATGGAGTTTGAGGCGAAGGTCACTGGGTTCGAGTCCCGGACTAGTCATCATTTTTGGGATGCTGGTTCATCCAGCTGGCGAAACGCGCATCCTGGATTCCATTGCTAGCCACTATCCAGCTTTGCTTATAATAACTTTAGATACTTTTTCACTTTTTTTATTACGACATTCCCAACTTTTAAGTAGCTTAGTGAAAATTCCAATATCGATATTCAACAAAATGGCAAATAAAGAGAGATTTCTTTTCAATTATTTCTCATATTGGCTTTATAAATTTTGTTATTCACTTCTAACTTTTATTTGTATTCTTTTAAATCTTGTATACGGAGGTGGTTATCATGTAGTCGGCAAAACTTGTTTTAGTTGTTAATAAGTTAATTCATCTAACTAATTGACCTCATCAATTATGTAAATTAAAAATATACACACCAAGTGTGCAAAAAGTAAATTTAGTATAAGTAAACATCAAGAGATACAACAGACATACTAATTGGGTAAATGTCGCAGATGAGAAAACCATGCCATATTACATATTAATTATATACTTTTATCTATATTGCTATTTGTCTGTTGGTTACAACACTTAGCATTCAGTGACCATATAGAGGGTTAAAACCTTGTTACCGTCATCATTTGGTTCAAGTGGTTGAAGAATATTGCTAAACTTCATACAAACAGCGTAATTACATCAATCTGCATTTTTAAAAAGCTCATTTCATTAAATTTAACTCCTTATCTGCAGTTATTATTGAGTAATATTCATAATATCCACAACCACATACCGGAAATTGTCATGTGCTCACTGGTGACTAACTTCAGTAGGCGATTTGCGGAGTTCTAGTGAGGAGCCGTGACCAGTGGAGCTAATCCGTACCGAGTGTGAACCAGTTATCTATTAAAGATAATGAAACAGTCATGCAGTGTGGTGGAATGATTGAGGTTAGACATTAACACTATTAGTACTCTAGAAGTTAAGCGTTCGTGCTCGAGACCTGAGGTCTTGGATCTGAGTCTCACATGCGGGATCGTGCATGGGCTCTGCTGAACAGTCCCATACTTACACAAACGGCAGTACAGTTCTTCCAGGTTTTTAATGGTGGTTTAACTGGAATCGATTCATCATTTCAGTAACTATTCATATGAATAGCAATAACAATCAGTGTGTTCATTTTTTTAGCTCCTACCATCTTCTTATAAGGGCAAATTTCCTCTAATAACCAACATATTTATTCTTATATGTGATCATAGTCTTCAGCAGTGCATTGAATTCTGAATGAATTCTGAACGAAATAAGAATCAAATATGTTCAATATTGATAAAAGATGTAAATTACTCACCTTTATTACATTATCATTTGCATGACAAAATGAGCAAGACAAAAAGTCGGAATTTAATAAATTCATCAACTGTTCTTGTTTATTACAAGAATTATCGATAATTTTTGTTGATATTAAAGCATGATCTATAGTATTCAATGTTGATATTGTCGATGACATGGATGCTATTTCAATAGATGGTGTTCGATTAGAATGTTCTGAATAAGAGCAATTTGTCTCTTGATCAGATCCAATATCATTTTCATCATTAATTATTACATTCTCCTCAAAATTCAACATTATTATAATAGTAATAATGCATAAAAACACTACAATTAAATTTAAAGTGTGAAATTCAAATATTACACTTATGTCTGATAAACACTATGGTGATTTATATTTACTGTTAAACTTAAAAGGCTTAATCTAATAATCATTCTTTATTGGTTTTTAAAGCACTTCAATGTTATCAAGTAACCAGTAATTAACTAAATACATATTAATTTGATTTTTGTTTGAATCAAACATTTATTTGAATGAAAATAAATTTATGCTGGTCATATCCCCCTACCGTCACCTCCATTGAAGAATGATATTTTGATTAGCTAAACAGAAATAAATATGTTACACACAATATAATTAATACAAAAATGCTCATAGATATACAACAATATGGATGTTTGAAGATTGAATGAAAAGTCTCATTATGACTAAAAAAATTGTAAGAAATAGAGATAGAAATAATGACAATAGCAACACTAGTAAATCGGTAAATGATTGTATCTAAGTTTACTTATCTTCTGTTTCCAATTATCTTGTCAATCAATAATTCTTAGATTTGAATGGTGAATTCGCGCCAAATTCTGGGATTTATTTGTTTGCCTATATATATATATATTAATGTTTCTTTTTCTTTCTTTTGGATCAACCAACATCTGTTATGTAAATAAATGAAAACGGAATGATTATCCATTGTAAATCAGATTTGTAATTTTTGAAAATAAAATATGAGAAACATCGATATTTAACTGAACAATTTTTTTCTCGAGAGATAAGGCATTTATTCATTTTAAATTCAGCTGTGTTTTAAATTTGCTTTGATATTTCTATATTTATTTCGGATTAGGATCTTCACTAGTGTTTTGCTAAAGAGTGTTAAAATTTGGTTTAAAAATTCTTCGCTAAAAATTAGAAAATATGATTGTTCAACACGTTATAAACTTTGATTTTAAGTATCTTAAAACATTTCCGATCACGGTCTGCCTTTAGCTGGTGAACCATTAATTAACCAAGAAGCACCGAGCAGCTACTTTCTCCGAAACCGGAACGCTTCAGTAGCACATACCTGTGGTCTACAGGGGAATCACTGAGTTAAAACTCGATGGTTAATAAACTCAGTAAATTCGCTCTGGTTTTAGGGTAATACACTTGCCATAAGCCTTTAAAGTCCTAGGTTAGACCAGTGTTATGGTCTTCGTACAATAGTGTTGATCTGTCCAAAACTATGATGAAACAGCTGTGTAGTACTCCTTAATCTCGATCTTAAGTTGTTAAAAGGTGTGTGAGTTCGTCATTATGAGTAAGTAATTCATTCAACTAGCTAAGGTCACAGTTCACATATCCCTGTCTTCGTCAGTCCTTTAAACCATGTACACACATGATTCGTTTACATTATCATACGGTTATCGCAATAAAACCTATAGGGTAGTACTTCTTTTTTTCTATAAGATGTGCTAACCAAGTGTTTATAAGTGTGCATCAATAACTGAAGTTAATGTCAATCTCAAGATTAGGCTGATTTCCACAATATATATTAAATAAAATTTCAAGCACTTTGCAGACAGATTTTTCTACCTGACATCAACTTAGAAAATGTTTTACATAGCGAATTCAATCTATTATTTAGGTCTCCATAAGTAAGGATCTCAGTCACTAACTGAATAAAACATACATTCATAAATAATATAGAAGCCAGTTCACAAGTAACCTGATTCTAGCTGCAACATATCTGTAATCAACAAATGGAAGAACTGACAAGATTCATATGATGCTGCCAATAACGAAGAAAAATTAAAACTAAATTAATTAAATAAATGGAAACATATAAGGTGATGTTTTCAACTTAGACTATTATAACTAAACGTCAATAACCATTAAATTCAGTTTCCGTTTGGATCTAAATCAGTAAAACTTAGTCTTTCTACAGAGTTAACACTAACAGTAAAAGTCCTAAAGGATTGGTGATGTTATAATTTGATTAATTTGTATCTGTTTTTTACATATATTAGCTCTTGAGGGATATTATATACTAATGGGAAGGAATGACTAATTTTAGAAAGTTTCCAATATACTAGACAGATCAACCAATTCAACCTCTTAACCATGGTATTAAGTCTTAACAGAAATAATATAACCAGAATCTGAGAATGCTGAAAATATACCTTGAAACTGAGATTTTTATTGAAAGTAAGTAGTGTAGAAAATAATGATTGACATTTCCTTTTTCAGTACGGGGTTGTAGAAATTGTTGAGATTTTTATTGAGATCATGAACCGATGACTGCTAAATCACCATCGAAAACCTGGAAGTCGTGACCAGTGTAGCTAATCCGTGTCGAGTAGAGACAGGTATCTACCTCATACAACGAAAGATGGTCGCGCGATTTCGTGGATTGGTTGAACAGTGCTTTCTGGTTTTCAATGGTGGTCTAACATTGATCCCAATAAAAAAACTTCCTTTTTTATTTTTATACTTGCGATTCGAAACAAGTAAGATCTGAGAACACACTTTTTTTTCTATTCTATGCTTTAACTGGATGAACAAGGAGTACATAGAAAGGTTACAGATAATATTTCTAGAGTAATTATCACGTTATAAATGTTTTAACAAGATAACACTACAGAAGTGTTAGTTTGTAGCAAAATAATATTAATGATGACATTAACTTCATTCAAGTATTTATAAGATCTACAGTATGGTTAATATTCTGTTTGTTTACTAAGATTAAGTTCGAAATGGCTTTCTGAAAGTTATCATGAAAACAGTGAAGGCAATCAAGCGTGAAATAATACATAAACTCGCTAATGAAATCAAATGAAAATCATAGACAACCTACTGCCTCTATCTACAATACGATTGCCTTTAAAGCTTATCTTTGAAAAAATCCTCTCTCTTTCATTTCTGAGTAAAGTTGTAAATATATCCTTTGCTATTTAAACATTGCTCAGTTACCTGATTCGCTGATAACTGCTTTGTACTTCTTGACTTCTTATTGTTCCCAATCAACTTGTCAAGATACTAAAACTTAAACAAATTTTAAATATTTTATTATTAGGAAACATTGAAAAAATTTCATAGTATGTAAGTTTTATATTTCCGAATCACGAGGTTGCAGCTACGATGTCTAAGTAGACGTCGAAACATTCACTCATCAAAACCAAACTTAACCGAATTATAATATAACGTTACGTAATCATCTTTGCTAAATAGAGCATATGAAGTAAAAAAAGAAGGAATAAAAACAAAATATGGTCCAAAAAGCTATTAGTATAACAAAAAGTACTATAAACTTACAGATTGGTTTGATAAAAACTTACCACTAGGTATCAATTTACTATAATTCATAATAATAATAAGTGAATAATCTTTGACATCCTCGAAGAAATACTATAAAATACAAGAATTTATATTGACTAGCTACAGTTTAATAATTTCAAACAGTTTTTATTCGAATCCAATACGAATTTGTGTAAAAACCTTTAAGTGTGACAATAAGAATGACAGTTTAAAGTCTTATATTAAAAAAGCAGTATATTATGTTTGTTACACTGGCTTGACTGAAATCAAATGAGTTCTATAAGCAAACTGATGGAGTAGAAATGGAGTCACCACTTGGCTGACTGTTTTATTGTTGATCTCGAAAACACTATACTTAAACGAACAATTGACATCTGTCTATACACGAGATATTTGAATGACATCTACATTATTTATGAAAAAAATATCAATGACAGTCAGAATACGTTTATTAATTGACATCAATCAATTAAGTTCACAACTGAATCAGAGTTAGACTCGGAATTTTACTTCTTAGATGTTTTAGTAAAAAAAGACCTAACGGTTCTCTATAAAGATCGATATGTAGAAAGCCAACATGGAATGGTCAATACACGACTGTTCAAAGTCGAGTCACACTGAAGTAAAAGAGAAACATGACCCATCCTTTATGTACGAGGGTTAAATAAATATGTACTGAGGGTACAATCAATATTGAAATTGATGAACTGCGGCAGATATTGATCGACAATGAATATCCACCTAGATTCATTGAGAAAAACCTGAAGCCGAAACAACCATATGAAAGTGTCTATAACATCGAAGACTCTTTTCATAAATATCCAGTTTAGAGGAGATACTACGGCAGAAATTCTGAAAAATAGACTTTCGAGATATCTAAACAAAGTTATATTCAGCTGAACTTCGTACTATGTTTTCTAATCGACCTACAATTCGAAGTTGTATGAAGAATAAGCTCCCGATTTGGGTCAAACCAGTTTTCATGTAACACTTTACTTGCTCATATGGGGCAGGTTATATTGGCCGCACAAAACGAGCTCTTTAGGAACGTATCTCTAAACATTACCCTGCCTGGTTTTCCAAAGGTTTACAGGAGTCAGTCAAAAGCTCAATCTTGGAGTACCTAGTCAATTTTAGTCACTCCACTTCACCACTAGCTTGCTTCAAAATCATAGATGCAGTCAGTAGAGTTGGCCAAATAGTAATGCAAATGAAAAACGTATGTATAGCAGAGGCTATTGCTATCCACCACTTCAAGCCTAATCTTTACAAATAAAAGCAGTATGTTCAATCCCCCATTCTTCCATAGTTTTAACCTCCCTTTCTATCTTTCATTTTTTAATTCTTATTTTTTATTATCTCTACTCTCTAATTATTTTCAAAACTATTAACTAGCAAGTATTACAACTTTTAATTATTCTGTTTTAATAGTTCTCAAGTGGACAATTACTTTTACGTTACCACTTTTCAATCACCGATTATTACACAACTACTCTTCAATATCTGATTTTCATACACAATTCATGACACGATGCAACCAGAATGAACATCAACTTTGAGATGCAGGTACATCCAGCTGACGAGTCCCAGCTATGACGAAACGCACGTCCTACATTCCACTGATAGCCACTATCCATCTTTGTTTAATAAGTTTGTGACTTAAGGCTATATCGAGGCAATCCGCACAGGATGCACATATACCAATAGGAGACTGGTCAATTGCAGTCCCAAATATCAAAGGGAAGATTCAAGTAAACAACACCAAGTGAATTTATGCCACTTTAAGTTTTAAAAATATTCTATGCGGCTATAGACTACTATTTTAACAAATTAACAAAAAATATGATTGTACAGCTAAAAGTAAATGAAGTCCATAATGTTTAACAACAATTTTAAAAGTACTGCTAGCCTTGCTCTTACTTAAAATAATGTTTTCATGTATATTATAACCATTTATTGATTTTTTTCCCAACTTATCATATGATCTGTCAGTGTGGGCAGAATATGCTGACGTAGGCACTCGTGGAGAAAATAAGGTTATTCTCGAGTGGAAGTCTGCCTTTTGGCAAAATTCTCCGATTTTTGAACAACGAGAAGCATACTGCGCTCATATGATTATGAGATAGTGTTGGAGGTTTCAGTATCTATAAGTGTGATTAGATTGCAACTGTTAGAAAGTAATAAATTTCACTCAATTAGTGGATAAGATATATAGTGCTTTATGTTTTTGACCTATAGCATGAAATTCAAACTCGTAACGTTAAGTAATACGTGTAACTATACTGGTATTGCTGAAGCGAACTACTGATATTAATACCTTTTTCGTGTCTAATCGACTTACAGATAATTTAAGTCAACAATGTATTACTCAAAAAGTAATCAGATTAAAATAAGTACAACTTTTTTAATGCTGTTTATGAATTTTCAAATATATAATGACTTTTTTTACATTAGAAAAGGTAAAAAGTGATCTATAAGGAAACTCTTTTTCTTTTCATTTAAAAAGCTTCTCAATATAATTATTCCCTTATATTTTTGTTTGCACTTGTTAATCACTCAACGAAATGGGGTTATGGGATAATTATCTGCAAATTGTATCCGAATGTAAGTATATGCAGACCACGAGAGTGTCAACTATCTTTTGTGTCTAATAAAATGGTTCGAATGAGAGTTAACTATAAATAAACGAAAAAGAAACTAGTCTTCACAAATTTAATATGACAATACGGTTAACACAATAATCAGTAGGCACCTCGAGTAACTTTACATTTGCATGTCGTTTTTACTCGTCGACTGGCCAGTAGGTTTCTACTCACAGCATATCAGATACTCTATAAATGTAGCTTCATTAAGATCACTTTCTACGCGTCTAATAACTGGTTTTACTGTTAAAATTCTACTCTGATACCTAAAATTTTCTCTCTGTGAAATCTAATTAATTTAGCAGTATACCTATGGAAATATTCAGCTGACCCTTTTGGGACAGTAGAGTAAACAAATACAATCATGGAAACATTTTAAGTAATCTTAAAATACAACAATTCTAAAAGTGAATAGTTGTTAATGTAAACACACATTGGCATAAATAGGCGTACAATATATAGTTGAAAAACGTATGCACTAAAATGCGAGGTAATTATAAATAAAATTTTTATTAGATTTCTTTTTAGTATTATATAAACAAGGAAGTCCGTCAATGAAGAAAATCCTAGTTTGAACAACCGATTCTAGTTACATTCTATCAAAGAACATGATTTTAAACGAACATTGGACATTCACCAATTAAATAGTACGATTTTACTACGAACTATTAAAGTGTATTATTGTATAAAGACTTTGCACATAACTTTTTTAAATAACAGAAATTGAATTCTTTAGTCGAAAAATTTATTGTACACAATAACACTAACCTAAAGTTCATGGTCATTTGAATTGTCTAAGTGTTAGTTATTATTTAAGCCCAGGTCAAAAAATGTTTAATGCTATGTATCGTCAGCAAGAAAATAAGATAAATACATCTGTCTAAACCCCTTGTATAGTTAAGATTATCATAATACTGTCGCTTATTGAAATGATTTTATTTACTGATTTATGTTATTCTATGGCTTACCATAATGATTATATTGCAAAATTCATCACACGAAAATCGATTAGATTAGACAAGATGTTAAATGCTTCTCTCCATTAAACGTTTCAGATAATGCCTGAGTACCTCATTGATTTTGTTAGTAATTGTATGCACATCTACCATTCCAATGAACCCTGAAAATCAGTCTACTATATATGATTCCATCTAAGTTTTATAACGTCCATTGCCAAAATAGTGTATGATTTGATGATTCAGTTTTTGTGAATAGGATAAACTTAATTTATTGGCTTTCACTTGAAACAAATTGGTAAAACATTCGCTTATATTATGCCCTGCAACATTGTTTATTTAAAGAAAGTTTTCATATAAGGGAAATTGTGAGCTAGCCTAAGGTGTACCTCTTTGCACAAACTATTTTCAATGAATGATTTGAAAATTTTTTCTATCTTTCATGATTTAAAAATACAAAAACATCAACTGTCTGAAACAACATACTTATTGAGTCCTATTTATATCTGAAGGATTGATTTGAGTGAGATCAAATCGTACTACACAATCAAACAAGTTAATCAAGTAAATTTCAGTTTATTCATGCAATATGTACAGTGATTTATTTACCAAATTTGATTAGATGGTGGTTGGAGGTAGTCAACAGGAAACCCTGGACCCGGGTTTCGTGCTACTTGGCACTCGTCAGCAAGGTGTACCTGTAATCTTGAGGGAACTGGTGCTCCCTGGCGGATTCGATCTCGTGTCACCCAGCTTCACAGTCAGAGACGTTACCACTGAGCTATCCGAGCCGTGACTAACCTCCTGTAGGACTGAGATGTAATCACAATTGATTGATCACTGGGTGGTGATCAATCTCATGCTTGTCTAGTCCTTATTAGTGCAGATCGAATGCTATCGATCATGTTGCAATGTGGCCACCAGTCTAGGTGACTCGACACTGCGGGCACTATGTATTGAGATTAGATGGTGGTTGGATTTGAATTAACACACAAATGATGTGAAGCTTCATAAATATATTTGTCTTACTTCTTATGCTATTAAAAACTTGTGGATAAGGCTATTTTTACTAAGCTTTATAGTAACTGGAAGTACTTTTATTGTATTTTCAATCATTGGATATGCTTTTACAAATTAGGAAATATCAGATGGGTTTTTGTGGAGATTGTAGTAATTTCAATGGTTAAGATCATGAGTCAGTTGAAGCTAGACCACCATGGAAAACGAAACGGCCGTCCAGTGCTTCCAGGTTTTCCATGGTGGTCTAGCTTCAACTGACTCATGATCTTAACCATTGAGATTAGGAAATAAACAAAAAAACACATACAAAAGCCATTGTTTAGATCGATTTAGCTGTGGAAGTATAAAATATAGAATATGGTTAGAATAATGATGAGTATTTCAACTGAAAGTTGGTTACCACCACAAAGATTAGATGGCATCAGTATACCCCAACCATCTGGTTGGCTGAGTATAGAGAAAATTTGAAAATAATTCATTGAATTATTAGTGTTTGTTTTTCGTAGAATGGTTTTATGTTGAGCAAATGAAAAGAATATTTTCTTACATAATAATACAGTTTTACTCCCTCAAGTAAAATCAACTTAGAACAAAACGTAATTTACGAAAAAAATCAATCGAGTTCAACTAATTACAAGAAAAGGGAAATCTTCCAATACCTTATACCATTGAGTTATGTTTACATATTTGATTTGATTGAATAGATTCAGAAAAATAGGTAACGCTTTTAAAGCATCAGTTTTGGAAATAACAATTATTATAAAATTTCACTCAAAATATGATGCTGGCATTTAAACTAGACTAATGATTGGAAGGTTCATAATGTGAAACGAGTAAGAAACAGGCCAAATACAGCTAATTACATTTCATATTTTTCTTGTACACTGTAACAATCAATCAAGGCAACATATCACTGTATATCTGATGTAATTTAATCGGTTAACTGAACTAAATGCTAGATCACTTTCAACAGACAGAGCTTTATGACAACTAAGGACCATTACATTAGTTTAAGCCAAGAAGCTTGTATCTAGGCTAAATTAAAACCACCTACTCTTAGATTACCTGTTTGTGATGAAAAATCTTAAGGGCAGAAATTTGTATATCTTGTAGAACTTTGAACCGATTGGAAATTTAGGTATCAATGGTTCGAATTCATCTTTGATATAAAACATCAGTCACTGTCAGTCAATATCGATTTGCAACGTCAACAGTATTCTTATAAAACAACTAACTTGCACTACGAACAATTAAGATTAATTGTAACTATAAATATATATTTCTTATTTAGACATAGGTTATACAGAAACTATTGAAAAAGCATACATCAATAGTATACAAAAAAAAGCATTAATAATCATTTAATCTTTAAAGAACAAAATAACAACAAAAAGTTAAAAGACAGTATTTAACAATTTGCATAAAAACGGAAAAAACAAATGGATGTAAAAAATAAACAAAAGTTTGTATTTTGGTTGAAAAAAAAGCGAAATTTGTTAAGTGAACTAAGGTGATATATATAAGTAATTTTTCGTATTAAACTTAATAGTCCATGTAAAAGTCGTAGTAGTAATGTATAAAACAACAATCACTATAGCATACATCAGTGTTGGTATGTGCACATACACAAAACGTGTATGTACATAACATATGAGATCGAACAGATGTCAGATTATATATATATATATATATGATGGTTAAATAATGACAATGAAAAAAATGTAGACTGACACAACAAATGGTCAATATTAAAACACTTTTTAAACCAAATAACGTATATATAGAAAAGAAGCATCCATCTAATACAATACAGTAATGCACAAAAGTCGAGATACAGTTGATAAGTAATAATAAAGACAAACGATTAAATACAACTAATACTGACAAACAATTATAAAAACAGTACACATATAGGCATGAATAGTTAATGCAATAATTGAACATTACAATGATTAATATGAATAATAAGTCCTGCAGAATAGAAAAATCATTTAAATAAAAGCATTTTTAACAGCAGTCAAATGATATAGGTATAATTGAGGAGGAAAAAAAACAAAACAAAAAATACAAATTGTCCTTTTTCGTTGTGTTTATCATAAAACAGCAGCTGTGTAAATTAGTAAGAATAATGCATATGTTTTTTTAACAAGAAAACGAAAGAATCCTAGGACTAGCTGATGCGTTATTTTGGAATATACTGATGATGTAAGCTTTTGCTCTTTTTAATCTTTTTAAAAAAAACAAAATATGCGATAAAAGAAAGCAGGTCCAAAAAAAGGAGATGACAATGAGATTCAGCAGGAGTAACGAAGAAGGAGAAAGTAAACAAAAGGGAATTATTTTTTGTAAAAAGAAAATGTAAGATTAAAGAACGTTCTCCGTTTTCAAACTAGATGGGAAACATTAAACAATAAAAAAGAGTAAGTACACATAATGAAACAAACTAAGTTAATCCAATGAGATAGATCTCTTAAATTGTGAATTTTAAAGGGAATGAGGAATGAATTGAATATTGTGATTCGCAGGCGAGAGAAAAAGTTAAGAAATAATCTGCTTGTTTACCACTTGGTTAATTTCAAGAATTGATTTCCCCAATTTGATCCGGTAAAAATCAACTTAACAAATAAAAATGGGACGGGAAAATTGGCAAGAATTGTGTTACTTTATTTAAACTGTTGGATTGTAGTTTCGATCAAGAGTTGGTAAACGATTTGATGGGCCCTTGTGTCTCTCTGTTGCATATTCCCCAATGAAAGAGCCTTCTTCATTGAATTTACCTATTACATTTTTTTACAAAAAGAAAACGAAAAACGTTTTGATCATGAAGAAAGTATGTACAATATTAAGTATTAGATCACTATGCACAACTTAATTTTTTCTAAGCTGAAATGCTAAGACCGACGGTAATTTGGTTAACTGACAAAACGCGTGAGAGTCGTGTTTTTATTCATTATTACTAATAATAAATGTTTGAAATTCATGCCAAAACGACTAAACTGAATAGCAGCTTTGTCTTTAGAGTAGTAAATTTATCAAAACCACTTAAGGAACAGTACTCTCGTCCAATTAACTGATTAAAACAACCAATCGAATAATATAATGAAAGTAGAGAACAGAAGTCTGTAACAACTTACCAGGATCAAGATTATAATCGTCTAGTTCACCATCTCCATCACTGCCAATTTCAGCACTGTCATCATTTAATGAACAACGACTGCCTCGAAGTGGCGGTTCTTCTCTAAAACAAAATAACCGATTTAGTTAGAAAATTTTTATCTAACCACATGCCCACATAGCAACTGCTTAAAATGGATTTTTATCGACTGCTTACAAACCTTTGAAAGTACACAATAAAAAATATACTTCAAAAGTGCACTAAGGATAATAATTTATTCGAATAAAAAATAAAACACGGTGCCATTATTTAACGCATTTCCCAAAGAGTTTTAAAATAATAAATAGATTGATTAACTGCGTAGAATTATGTAAGCGATCAGCAACGTTTGTTAGGAGGATCAATACCATCTAGGTCCTCAAACTAAAACAAATAGGGTGGGATTTAGGTCGACTCAAATACAAACAACAGTACTTATTTCAATAGTCCATAACCTAATTGTCTGATACAATGTGCTAACTTAGTTGCTTCTAATATTCCTACAAATATAATATTGAATAAAGCCATTAATAATAATAAATAAATAAATAATAATAATAATATAATCCTTTACTAATCAACGTCAGCGTAAGATGTAAGTGGGACTTGGGCTGCATTTGTCATAACCACCTTAATGGCTACTTTCACATCATTGATCGTTTTGGCATTTCTACCAAGAACCCGAAGTCTAATTTCAGCATAAATCACAATGAGACTCCAGTAAATGTGAGTAATGCTTCGAAGATATCTGTAGTCAAAAGCGTGATACCTGTGCATGTCAAATAACTTCAAAGACCATATTTCACAACAGCCATAAAGTAGATCACGGCGGTTTTAATTACAAAATGCTCATCACTTGAGAAGCAGAATGACATCTGCAGTGTACCACAAAGGATGCAATTTAGTGAAAACCAAAAAAACTCTTTGTATCTATTCCGATGTTTTGTCAAACACCGACGCATCGAATTGATTTAAACACTAATCAATGGAAAGAAATGACATTTTTCAGGGTAGTTTTCTTAAAAAACCACGCATACACGTGGAAATACGTTGCAGTCTGCAAAAACTAAAATTTCCACTAAATTTATTAGTACTACTGAAACTGAACAGAAAAATCATTCGGAGAAACCAAAAGGAAACTTACGCTCTCTCATAGGTTTGAAATGCTTCTTTTTCTCGTAGTTCTTTTTCTGGATCATTTCCAAGAGCACGTTCTTCACGATCCACTGAAGAGGTAAGCAAATCACAATGCAGATGAAAGTCATATTTATAAATGAAATAAGTACAATAAACTAATGTACTATAGGTAACAGTAATACTGGATATTAGAAATATAGAATATAAAGAAAACTACAAGGTTCTGTTTACTGAGTTTTAAAAATTGTAATTTAAACTTCTGCATCAAATGACTTACCAAACCATAAATCAGGGAGTATTTATAAGGATATTTTGCACAGTCAATTATGACAGACACAAGGTAACTCAAAAAAACAGTAGGTACCAAAATAAAGCTGGTCATATCTATTCAATACGTGACAACTTCTAAAGAAATGATAATTGTTAACGTGAACTGTAGCGTGCGTACACGTATATTGATATACATACACCCTATTTTCAATTTAAACTAACTGATTGTAACCCTTCCAAAGTCACTGCCGGTAACAAATCCGGATGAAAATTTCAGTAAGTGTGAGAAATACAGAGGCATCACACTATCAGTGCTATTTAAAACAAACGACGATCTGATCCAGATGTAAAGGCAAAGATTGGCAAAATGCAGCATTCCTACAGTCTCAAAACAACTGTCAACCAACATAGAAGTCACAATCTTCAATACAAACATCAAGACACTTCGATTGTAGAATTGAAAACTGAAATACCACTACAAACATCATCAAAACAGTACAGGTATTTAGTAAAAATTGTCTACACAAGATACTCAATTTCCGTTAGCCGGATAACATCAGCAACAACCTACTGTGGGAAAGAAACCAACTTCCAAATGAAGAGGAAGTTAAGAAAAGACGATGGACGTGGATAGGACATACATCACGGAAATCACTAAACTGCATCAAGAAGCAAGTGCTAACTTGAAATCCTGAAGGGAAACGGAAAAGTAGTAGACTAAAGAACAAAATGAGTCGGGATTCGGAGACAGACATCAAAAGAATAAATAACACTTGGGAACAACTGGAAATGATTGCTCAGGACCAACCGTAGCTGCTACCTTGACACAGTGGTCAGGCTTGCCTATCGTGATGACCCAGCCGAGCTATATTGGCTGGAACATATGTTCCTGTAGGTTCTACCATGCCAGGCAGGTCGATTGGAGAACGGTAAGACTAAAAGCAGCAACTCAAGGTCCGAAGGCGAAGTCGTACTGCTGACTGTAGAGGGGTGTGACAACAGTAAGATGTTTTCCCCGAAAAGCCAGCATCTGCAGCGATGCTGCCTTTCCACAAGGAGTGGGGTTAGAAAAGGTCGACCCTAAAAATGTCACACCTCACCTTACCTCACGGATTTCCGTCTCCGGCGGTAAGGCCCTCTGTAGAACGGAGATAACACAATAAAAACCTCCCACGAAAAGACCGTGCGTGACCGGCCTCAAGCAGTTGTCCCTTGGGCTCTGCGGTCACGCTCCCAGGTCGTTAAGGCCAACATTAATCCAACTTCCTTTTCAGGTTCCTCAAGAAATACCCTTCCACGTTGTGTTCAGCCAGGAAGTGATATAAGCCCACATACCCGTAACAGCACACGAGACCGAGTTGGTCACATTCAGATCCTTTCTACACCGCCTAATACCTCTCCTATCTCTACGACTAACCCTTCTTACATCCCTTTATCACCTCGCACCGCTAGGACAAACGATTCGAGTACGCGGAACGTCATTCCAGGTTTCCTGAAATCCCGCTCTAAACTACACGTAGGAGCTTTCAATGTCCAAACACTGCCACATAGGACAACAGTCTTCCTTAGCTAGGACTTTAGAATCTCGCACCATCGATGTGTGCTGCGTCTCCGAGACGCGCACACAGGATCCGAGTAGCGTCATTCATTTTATTTCACCATGTCAAAATAAGGAACCAGCTCGATTCACACTTCGTGTATCTGGAAGCCCTGATGCTGCTTCTTGTAGCCTCGCCGGCGTAAGTATAGCACTGAGTCCTAGGGCACAACTAGCTCTCTTAGACTGGATCCCAGTAGACAGTCGTTTGTGCGCTGTCCGACTAAACGGAACAATAAATACTTGAAAGATAGGGACACTCGTCGTTGCCTCTTCGTCATCTCTGCCTATTCTCCCACTGACTGCACCTCAGATGATGTAAAAGATGAGTTTTACAGAAAGCTTTCCGACCTTCTCCGAAAAGCTAAGCGCTCGGATGTAGTAATAGTAACCGGTGACTTTAATGCTCAAGTAGGTAAACTAAGCGATAGGGAAAGACACCTAGGTGGATCTTATGGTGTCGTGGCTCAAAGAACAGATAATGGCGACCGTCTGTTGCAGCTATGCTCAAATAACCGCCTGTTCCTTGCAAATACTAACTTTAAGCATGAGCAAAAACATCTTTTAACATGGCGACCCCCTAATTCGTCCCAACGTTGGACCCAAATAGACCACATCGCTATCAACCATCGATGAAGGGGCTCGATAAAAGACTGTCACTCATTCTGGAGCACATGCTTAGATTCAGATCATGCACTAGTACGAGTGCGTATTTGCCTGGGTCTTACTAGTATTTTATTATTTTATTTGAACACATATATATTGGTACAGGAGTGCGCCGAATATATATGCGCCACACAAAACAATGAGAATCTAAGAAGAAAAAAAAAAGTGGGGAACGTAAAAACATAATAATAATAAACAATAACGAAGAGATTGGTGTAAGGTAGTGTAATAATAATAATAATAATAATAATAATAATAATAATAATAAGGGAACAGAAGGGTATAATCAGAAGAAATCTTTCAGTTAAGGAAGATACAACCACTGTTTTTTATATGAAGAAAGTAAAAGAAGGTTACAGCAGGATCGCCATTGGCTTCTATTCTGAGCCATATCTGATAACGTCTCTAGCCACTGTGTAGCACCATCTCTCGGACCCCAGTCAGGAGCCAAGGAGTCGTGAAGGACCAACAGAAGCCAGCCCTTTGAAGCTTTCTTTCATACCACGACACCATGTCATACACTGACCACCTCTCCGCTTTTTCCAACCAGTCCCAGAGTCGGCAAATAATGCACGACGTGGAATTCTCTGGGACGACACTCGTAGAACATGTCCAAGCCTTCAGCCACACTTCGGTTTCCCACGATCTCCAGTCAACTGGAATGGCAAGTTAATGTAGGTCCTCCGTCTCTTTACGAAGTGGAAAAAGCCATAGCAAATCTGAAACGAGGGAGAGCAGCAGGCCCTGACAGGTTTACTCCTGAGATTTTTAAGGATGGTGGTTCAGTATTAGCAATGAGATTAACTGAGGTCTTGGGTAGAATTTGGGAACTGGACGTAATCCTATCTGACTGGTCTCAATCACTGATTGTGCCAGTCTATAAGAAAGGACAAAAGTCCTCTTGTGACAATCACAGAGGAATCAGTTTGACTAATATAGTGTCTAAAATATTAGCTTCAATAAAACTTCGACGCCTAACCAAAGCTCGTGAAGAACAGACTAGAGAAAATCAGGCTGGTTTCCGACCTGAACGTGGTTGTATAAACCAGATATTCACACTAGGTCAGGTTCTAGAACACAGACACACGTTCAGACACCCCACAGTCGCAGTATTTCTCGACCTTAAGGCAGCATTCGAATGTTGATCGTGAGGTTCTATTGCAGTGTTTGTCAGTGAAAGGAGTATCAAAGAAGTACATTAACCTTGTAAAAACTCTTTACTCGAACACAACTGGTAAAGTGAGAGCTTATGGCGTACTGTCATCAGAATTGATTACCTCAAGTGGTGTTCGTCAGAGCTCTCCACTTTCTCCATTCTTGTTTAACTTTGTCGTCGACGTGCTTTTAGAGATGACACTTTCCTCGTCTAGATTTCCAGGGGTTGAACTTCTACCGGGAGATTCACCTGTTGACTTGGAATATGCCGATGACATAGTTCTATTTGGTGAAGACGCTGACAAAATGCTGTTGTCTGACCACTCTAAGTAACAATGCAAGCATGTTCGGGATGCGATTCTCCCCCTCGAAATGCAAAATGTTGCTTCAGGACGGGGTTACATTGACACCCGAACTAATGATAGGGAGTGAAATAATTGAGCGTGTCGATCGCTTCACTTATCTTGAAAGTCTCATCAGCCCTTGTGGTCTGGTGTGTGACGAAATCTCAGCACGGATACAGAAGGCTCGACTAGCTTTTGCCAACTTGCGTCATTTATGGCATAGGCGAGATATCCGTCTATCAACCGAAGGACGTGTTTACTGCGCAGCAGTTCGTTCCGTCCTAATTTATGGCAGTGAAACATGGCCGGTAAGAGTAGAGGATATTCGTAGGTTACTAGTATTTGATCACTGGTGTCTTCGAAACATTGCTCGTATACCCTGGGACCATCGAGTAAGTAATGCAGTTGTTAGGAAACGGGTACTAGGTAAGGATGGCAAATCAATTGATGAAGTAGTGAAACTTCATTAGTTGAGATGGCTGTGACACGTGTTACGTATGCCCAACGACCGACTGCCTCGACGTGCGATGTTCAGTGATATAGGAGTAGGTTGGAAGAAAGCTAGGGGCGGCCAGACCAAAACATTGCACAAGTCCATGAAGTCACTGACAAGTGAACTGTGCCATGTTGGTAGGTATAGACTTGTAGTGTCAGTTATTATGGCAAGCCCATATACCTTATTCTAACTTCCGGACATCCTATTTTATTCATTTTACTTGAGCCATATTTTGACCTTGTCAATTATTCGCTTATTAGCCTTGACTGTTTTCACATGAGCGTATATGTGTGTACACTTCATGTCCCATGATTCATCACATGTCTGTAGTTTATTTTGTCTGCCTATAAATAATGAGTAACGCTTAATTAAAATGGAGTTGGCTTCCCAGCCATCCTCCCTGTGCATCATTTTGCTTGGCTCTGTTTCATTCACTTCATATACAAAATATATGTATTCAAATGCCATTCTCGTTAATTGACTTATTTAATTCCGTTATGGACTAACGCGATCTAAGTCGACGATGATAAACGAGAATAGGTGATAACAATCATTCGTACAATCTGAATAGGACCCAGATCAGCGGGCCACAACATTGGTAAGCCCGCCGACGACGAACGCAACGCAGCAAGCTACGTCGATGAAGGCACTTCTGCACTCTATACGTTCGAAGAACATATTCAGCGAAGCCAGCGCAATCTCCAATCCCACGCAATCAGCACAGCCTGTGCAACATGACATGGACATGCTCAAGTCGTATTATCTTATCGATACTTTGTACTCATGTCAATTATCCTCATTGATCCATTCGTCGGTTTGTTCAATTACGATTCAAATGATCATTATATGCTTATTATTACATTATTATCAATATCATGATCGAATGTGGAATTATTAATCTTGTTCGCGCTGTCATTAACTTATGACATTTTCGCAATCATATTACTCACCGAACAAATTATCATTTTATGAGAATTCCACTTAACTTTGTGAGAACTCATTGGGATATTTTTACTATTCGAAAACGTGAAATTTTCCTGCTTTAAGTGAGTTCGTTCCAATTTTTCATGTCATTTTGAACTAATATTGCATTCATTCACTTAGTCGAGGTCAGCAATTTATGTTACCACAACATACATTTATCATTTCGAAGTCGCCTCCTATTATGTCTGTGGATGCTTCTGACTAGCTGATTAGTAACCATTACGCTCATTTTATCTATTCTCCCACGTGCATAACTACATTCTGCATCACTTATCACTCGAAAACGCTATTCGAGTACTGCAACTACTATTCTATTCTATACCCATCGCTCGGTATATCAGAACATAGAGTTTAGAGCTAGCCTCTCAAAGATACACTCTTGTTCGTCACATCCAAGTCAGTCTCATAAGTCGCCATCGCCATTGGTACGGTTTTGTAACAAACGAGATCGAGTGCATCTCCCTCAAACCACTCTAGGTTTCATGACCAAAAAGGAATACGACTCTATGTACCTCGTCTACTCAGTCACTATTCTGTTCCTCTGGTCATTCTACTAATACATATTTAATGATAACTCAATGCATCTGTCATAACTCAGACGACAACGTCCACTGACTTCAGATTTTATGATTATTATCAATTGCAGTACAGCAACGAATATCACCCGTCGATGTAGTTATCATTTCACGACTTAACTATTATCATCCTACGAACGGGAACTACGCATTTGAATTCGAATTCACTCATCACTAGTCGATGCTATTTATTCTACTGCGGCTCAACAGAACATATATTTCGCATATTTCACTATTTTGTCAGCATCACAGACCAATTTCTGTCATATTCTACTCTAGCCATTTTGACGATTTATTTCCCTGTCATACCCACAAACAATTTATTACTATTTTCACGATATTTTGAATCATTCATACAGACGTGTTATTTTATCGTTCAGACAATCACAGCATTGGTACATGTTAATTTTTTGTACGCTCATTAATTTGCTCATATTCACATGCTAAAATTTTCATTTTTGTCCGCGTCTTTGCGATATTCATGTATTTTTTGCATAAGCATGACATTTTCATATAATACACTCACCCCTCATGTGACACTACTTTATCGAGTGTTGTACAATTTTTTTTGGCTACTTATTGTTAACGTTAGCTTCATATCACTTCAGTGTTATTTTCGAAAACAGACATTTTTTAAATGTGCTATTTTCTACAAGGGGGCTATGTAGTGTCAGTTATTATGGCAAGCCCATATACCTTATTCTAACTTCCGGACATCCTATTTTATTCATTTTACTTGAGCCATATTTTGACCTTGTCAATTATTCGCTTATTAGCCTTGACTGTTTTCACATGAGCGTATATGTGTGTACACTTCATGTCCCATGATTCATCACATGTCTGTAGTTTATTTTGTCTGCCTATAAATAATGAGTAACGCTTAATTAAAATGGAGTTGGCTTCCCAGCCATCCTCCCTGTGCATCATTTTGCTTGGCTCTGTTTCATTCACTTCATATACAAAATATATGTATTCAAATGCCATTCTCGTTAATTGACTTATTTAATTCCGTTATGGACTAACGCGATCTAAGTCGACGATGATAAACGAGAATAGGTGATAACAATCATTCGTACACACTAAATGGAGTCAGATCTACGGGTCACAACAGACTACCTGGTTGGGGATTGCGAGGTGATAGCAACCGATGGATAGAGACCCTAAATGAAATGGCTCAAAATCGTTTGCAATGACGCAGGTGCATCTACTCTTTGTGTTTTCGCGAATTCTAATCTAACGTGGTGTGGCAACTCGAACTGATGTACGTTTTTACGGAGTTCTACGTTGTTAATGACTGATTGCTCAGGACAGAGTTTGATGGAGAATCCCGCTCAGCGGCCTATGTTCCACCAGGGGCAACAGGCGTACTAAGATTTGCATTCTCTTAAATTACCAAGAAATTTATGATTACAGATTTCAGGTGATCCAGTCGATAGCAATATCAAAATTGTATTCGTCTTCACTTGAAATTAAAATACTGAATTGTTTCAATTGAGTATAGTGATTGAGAACTGAATGAAGGCTTTTTAAATTCATAATCATCAGATTCATCTGCTTAACAAAGTTAAATTTTAAGCATTTTTAAGAGTTTGAGGAACTCCGCACACGATTACTGATAAACCTAACTAGATGCTCTTCTGAATACGTAGTTAATTATTTCCATTTATTCAAACTTTGGAAGGAAAAATAAATATATATTTGCTATATCCCAATGAGTAGAAAAATAGTATCTCTGACGTTTTGTGACTTAATGTAAGGCGCTTCTTCAGAGTAAATAAATAGCTGACATAAATTAACACAAGTTATGGGCATCAAGAAACACTTCATCGTATATAACACAAAGATCTACGACATGGAATTAAAGTCAGGTAATCAGTAACAGTTATTAGAATAATGTGAAGGTGGAGAATATAAAAGATGGGAAAAAACGATGAATCCTTGAATCTATGTAATAACATATGGGCGGTAAGGAATAAATAAATGGTGAAATTTCAAGATCATCCTTTAAAAAATAAGAAGGCTTTAAAACACACCTGTATCTTATGTACATTAAGGGTAAAATTGTAAAAACTTAAAATTATTTAGCTATCTGAAACTAGTAAGATATACTACTTATACCAACGTGAAGTTGGATGTTAGTAGTGCCTAGCAGGGTGACGATATCGAAAAACAGAATACATATTCCTCCTGTTTAGACCAGATCTTATCGGTGAGGTACGTGAACACATTCAGTCTATAGATAAGAATAGTCCAATCCAATCTGTTCCAACAGTGATCTACAGTTTGCCAACTAGGGTGGGTAGTCCAGTGAACAGATTTGGCGATTACCCAGGGAAAAAAACGTTCAGTTATACACGTGAGGAATAAGAAGCTTACAATGACTTGATAAGTATACATGAAGAAACTGTTCTCAAAACTTCAGACTTGGTAAACGTTTCATAGACTCTGAACTCCCAATCGAAGAATTAAAGTCATAGAAAGTGTTAGCAGTATTCATAGTCTCCGATGAATAACGTATTAGAATATTATACACATTATATACTCTCATTGAGTATAAACTTACGCATATAAGTTTCTCCACGGAATCTCATGACCAAACAAGCAGTTAGAACTCCGATCGCAATTATAACAAGTATACCGATAATCACAGCTGTTATCCAAGATATGTTAGCTGATGCTATGCAGGAAAATGATAGAGAAGAAAGAAAATAAATGTGTAAGAAATCATGTAAAGGAAACGAGAATATCCAATAATAATAATAATAATAATAATAATAATAATAATAATAATAATAATAATAATAATAATAATTTTAGAAGGAATAGAAGAATAAGAGGAAGTTCCAACTAACCCGGAGTTGGGTCATGATCCACTTGTAGATCCAACGCTGCTGTCATAAGTGGACGGATTTTTGCATCCTCATGAGAATCATACACCTTCATATTCGGTTCCAAAAGTCTTGTATCCAGATCTGCAATACGAGAAGTCACATGCGGATAAAAGATACGCCAACGGCACGTCACATTCACTTTTCGGAACAATACAGTTAAGGACGGATCATCAACGGGTGTGATTATCAACTAGATAAAAGAACATATATGTACACATTTTCATCTACATAAACCATACATTGATGAAATATTTTTTATTGTAGGTTTTACCCAGAAATGAATACATTATTCAAGTCAAAATCTAATTTTCTCTTGAAAAATATAAGTATGCATAACACGATATTGTTCTTCTGTTTTAACACAAAAAAATATATCGCAACAATCGAAGCCGATGAATACTTGTTAATGTAGGTTGAACGCTGTACAGGAAGGCAAGGTATTTGAAAATCCAGACAGTCACAGTAAAAGCTGAATGGCAAGCTAACTGTCAAAGCTGTTGCGATATTGAAAGAAAATAATCTGCAATTGTTTAATAAAAGCATATATTTGAACTAGAAAAATAACGACCGTCATAAATTCAGTTGAAATTCTTTTACATTTACTAATATTAATAAAACCTAAAATGTCTAGTTCTAAGGGTCAATTTCTCAGAAAAGAAAGCTGACTTTTCATTTTAGTGTATATATAGGAAACGAATTTAAGTGTGTGATTAGCAACAATTACCTCTGATATCTACACAAAATATAATTTATATACGATATATAGGAAGAATAAAATATATTTCTCTTTTTTCACGATACAGTATTAGAATACGAAATTATGACCGGTAACCGAGATTTCGCCACCACTAAACTGGATACTCGATTGATGCGCTCTACACAGATATAATCACGCTATATCGAATACCCCATTTACGACCAGTAATGGAGAACTAGAGTACATGATAGCCAATACTTTAATCAACGCCATTCATTTCAAGCAGGAATACTTCGTAAGTCTAGAGTAGATATCAATGATAGGAAGGAAATCACAAAGTAAATAGTAAGCTGTATCTGTAAATCTACGTTCAGTGGTCAATTACTTTTTACTTCCACTAGTTAGATGGGTATTTTACTAAACTTACAGTTGGTTTTTGTGAACTTTGCTTAAAGCTTATAACCATGAAATTATAATGGTTATTACATGATAAACAGATTCATACAATGAATAAACATTTATTTCTCTATCAAAACAATTATGAATATCATTGAATTAATTCACCTACCTTTGTGCCTTCTGTTTTAATAAATTTTGACTGTTGATAATCTTTTGTCATTTTCGACACAGGAATGCCATTTAATTCCCATGTTTGTACAAAGTAAGTAGACTGATAAGGATCCGTATCGATAACGCAATCGAATGCATGTGAAATAGTGTTTAAGCAATCGGTAGTACATGAGTAATCTTTTGGAGCCTTCAAGATGTTTATTCGGGCTAAAATGGAGAATAAATAAAACTCAATGAATAAAATAGATTGGCTACCGTAAGATCCGACTGTATAAGAATAAAGTTTGAGCTAAGTTGAGATAAAAATCTGAGTCATTAATCTTTAATCACTTTCCACATTAAATCATTGTAATTGATTATTAGATCTTATCGGATTATAGTCTGGAGAAATACAAGTTACCGAATTTAATAGACATGCAGAGCAATGTGGTAACAACTTAATCATCCGACTCAAAACTAGTGGGTTTTAGCTTTACTCTGCTGATTTCAGTTTCAGTCTTAAAACAATAATGTCAATCTAAGTACATAATTAGTCAGTTAGTTTTATTCAGGGATACGTAGAACAAACTTGTATTATACGGTTTGTTTACACGTCATTCCAATGAACAAATGATGAATTAACAATTTTTTAAGTTGGAGAAGACATTCCTAAAACAAACACTGTGTTAGGTGGTATAGAAGCTTTAGCTAACTTATTGGTACCGCTCATCTGAGTATATAGAAAATTATTGATGCGCTGAAAAATTAACAGACTAAATGGATTGGAAATGAAACCGTCTGTTGCATGAATCCAGTAACAACACTTACAAAGAAAGTGCGAGGTAGAAGTATGTATCAAAACTGATCGTAGATTATGAAAAAAGATCGACACTAGACTATCTCCGTACAGTAGTACATAATTTGAATATTCACGTCTAAACATGTTGAACGGTGTTACGAAAATTTTATCATGTATGTAACATTTGCATCTAAGTTAAATTGATGTTATCCCCTTCTAATTTACCATATTCTGTCAGTTAATGTTGCCACGATTATTGTAGTAGTAAAAAGCTCTTAGGCTGATTGAAGAGTTATCAACGTATCAGGAAGTCGGGGTTAGAATTTTGATTGTCTGTTGCTTACTTACTTCCTTACGCTCATTACCCCTCTTAGTCTGTCAAAAATATAAATAGTACACAATTTCAAGGGATGAAATAAAGTTGCATAACGATCGAAAAGTAAAAAAATAATAAGATAAAAACCAAGCATGTGGAAGACAATTATCCACTTGAGGAGTATGAGAAAGATGAATAAATTAAAAAAACATGGTTTTAACAACAAATGACTAAAAGTCAAAATCATTAAGGTGAAGTATAAATAATCAATTAACTGAGCGTGAAAAATTAGGTATTAGAGTCATGATATGACGATAGTTTGACGCGACGTTTTTGTACACATCGTTCAAGTTTGAAATGATAAACTTGTACCGCCTTTGCAGAGAAATCATCTATAATTTATTATTTTATTTGAACACATAAATATTGGTACAAGAGAGCGCCAATATATATGCGCCACACAAAACAATGGGAATTCGAAGAGAAGTAAAAAGAAAAAAAACTAAGGAACGCAAGAGAAAAAGAGAGTAATGACGAAGAGGTACAATCAGAAGAAATCTTTCAGGTAAAGGAGACACAACCACTTTTTATGAAGAAAGTAAAAGAAGGTTACAGCAGGATCGCCATTGGCTTCTATTCTGAGCCATATCTGATAACGTCTCTAGCCACTGTGTAGCACCATCTCTCGGACCCCAGTCAGGGAGTCGTGAAGGACCAACCGAAGCCAGTCCTTTGCAGCTTTCTTTCATGCCACGACACCATGTCATGCACTGACCACCTCTCCGCTTCTTCCAACCAGTCCCAGTGTCGGCAAATAATGCACGACGTGGAATTCTCTGGGACGACATTCGGAGAACATGTCCAAGCCACCGAAGTCGGTGTTTCAAGATGGTGACACCAATTCCATTATCATCTCTGTGCCCGAACACACGATGCCGAACCTCTGCATTACTGACATGGTGTTGCCACTGAATGTCAGCAATCCTTCGGAGACAGCGATGATCGAACACAGAGAGTCGTCTAACGTCCTCAACTCGGCGAGGCCAGGTTTCACAAGCATAGAGGAAACCTGCTCTCACCGACGCGTTGTAGATCCGGCCTTTTACAGCCAGACTAACATCACGAAGGCGCCAAAGGTGGCCCAGATTGGCATAAGCCGCTCTGGCTTTCACTATACGTGCATTGATCTCATCACTCACACCACCACCAGCACTTATGCAGCTACCCAGATACACGAACTTCTCAACTACGTCTATCTGCTCACCGTCCAGGGTGAGTACAGGATTAGAATCCTGCCAGTCTTGTAGAAGTACTTTGCACTTCGAAGGTGCAAAGCACATACCATACCTACGGACACTGATTGCCAACTGATTAATTGCGGATTGCATGCCTTGGGCATTATCGCACAGTAAGACAATATCGTCCGCATACTCAAGGTCGAGAAGTCTTTCTCCAGGCAACTGATCCACACCACCATTACTTACATTCATCAGAGCTGTTTCCAGAATGTCATCGATGGCAAAGTTGAAGAGGAATGGTGAGATTGGGCAACCCTGCCTAACCCCACTGCTCGAATGGAACAATGGAGAGAGGTGGTTGTATGCCCTCACTCTGCCTGAGGTGTTTTTATACAGGGCTTTTAGGATGTTAATAAACTTCTCAGGCACACCCTTCTTCAATAGACAATCCCAGAGAACAGTCCTATCCAACGAATCGAAGGCAGCTCTGATGTCAAGAAACACTACGATTGTTGGCCTTTGAAAAGTATGGCGGTGTTCTAACATTTGGCGGAGGGTGAAGATATGATCAATACATCCTCGACCAGAACGAAACCCAGCCTGCTCCTCGCGAGTCAATCTTTCTCGGGTTTTGAACAACCTACGAAGAATGACGGAAGCCAATAGCTTGGACGCAATCGGAAGTAGACTTATCCTCCGATAGTTGTTACAGGAACGACGTGAACCCTTTTTAAAGATAGGGACAACTATCGACTCATTCCATGACGTTGGTACACTCTCTAGTTCCCAAACCTTTGTAAACAACGTCGTCAATTCCTTAGTCAAAAAGTCACCACCATCTTTAAAAAGAGCCAGAGGTAAGTCATCTGGGCCAGGTGATTTGTAACGCTTCAAGAGTTGGAGTTCCTTGCGGACTTCCTCCTCATTTGGTGGATCAGTCGTCACCGGCCATGGAGGGCAGGACAGTCTGACCGATGTTGCCGGAGCAGCAGGCCAGTTGAACTGCCCTTCGAAAAATTCTGCCCATCGTCCAAGACGTCGATGGATGTTAGTGATTGGCATCCCGTCATCCTCGCAGATTGTTTCACTCACACCAGACTTCTTGCTGCCAGTGGCTCGGATGAGTTGGAAGAGCTTCCGGTAATTACCGGATGCAGCTGCTGCTTCCAGCTCATTAGCACGCATCGACCACCAGGCTTCTCGGTCCTTACGCAAGCTTTGCCAAATTTCCTTAAGTAACATTTTTCGTTTATGGTCAAACTCACGGTTACCCGGAGTAGACCGACGGGCTTCAATGAGTTGTAAGGAACCAGAAGAAACCCAGTGCTTAAAAGCGGGACGTTTCGCAAACCCACAACTGACTGTTCCCGCCATTTTCATGGCGTCACGCAATTGCAACCAATGCTCATCTATACTTTTCGGTGGAGTGGTAGCTAGCCTAGAAACTAGCTCGGTTCGATACTTACTTGCAACAGAAGTTGCAACCAGCTTGCTAACATCAATCCGTTGATGGCGTTCACTTCGTTGTCCACTGAAAAGTAAGGCAAGATTGGCGCAGACCAAGGCATGGTCAGAGTCCAGATAGGTACTCCAAAAGGAGCGGCAGTCTTGTACACAACCACGCCAGCGGTAGCTGATCGCGATGTGATCAATCTGAGTCCAGGCTTGAGATGCAGAGGGAGGACGCCAGGTGTCACATCGGCGATGACTGTGCCGAAAGTTAGTGCTAGCCAGAAACAGGTTGTGGTCTGTGCAAAGTTGCAGTAGACGGTCCCGGTTATCTGACCTGCGACCAACGAGTCCCCATCGGCCACCTAAACGACTCTCTTCTGTGCCTAGACGCCCGACCTGAGCATTCAAGTCTCCGGCTAGTACTACAATATCTGTCGAACGCACTTTCTGGAGAAGAACTGATAACTGGTGGTAAAACTCATCCTTGATTGCATCCGGGCTGCAATCTGTCGGGGCATAGGCGGAGATGACGAAAAGACATCGTTTCTCACGCCGATTTCTTCTCACTTTGATGGAACTTTCTAATCTAACAGCACATAACCGACTGTTAATGGGGATCCAATCGACTAGTGCTGCCTCAGCTCTAGCGCTTAGTGCGACACCAACGCCAGCAAGACCAGACGAAGATGCCACAGGGTCCCCGGATAAGCGCACGTAAAACAAGCTTTTCGAAGCGACAGATGGAGATCGAATTTGTAGTACTTCGCCAGAGTCTTGAATACGGGTCTCGGATAGACAACACACGTCGATATTAAGACTTTCCAAAGACATAGCCAGCCCTATCTGTTGTCCGACCTGCATAAATGTGCGAACGTTGAAGGCAGCCAGTTTGAATGGTGCACGTGGTTTCAGAAAATCTGCTTCAGTCCTCGTATTCGGTGGTAACATACAATTTTCAACCGGACAGTGACTCGAGAACGTTTAGATACAGTCGGAATTCCACCAAAGACGAGCCGCTGTATAAGTATAAAAGAAGGTGAATAATGTGGAAAATAATAATAATAATGATAATAATAACAATAATGACAATAATAGTAGTAATAATAATATTAGTATTAATAATGACAATAATTGTAGTGATCATAATTTGAATCAATTGATTGTTTTTCAAAGCGACAAAAGTAATTTCCATAGACATAAAGAGTTCATCATTTGTGTGTGGGCTGTGATACTGCCCGGGTGCCCAAACCGAAGGTGGTTATCTTAGGGGGCCACTCCCCGAGCCTTTGACCTAAAGGTCTAACCCACAAGGCAGTGGAGCATCGTAAGGAGATGCAGTCCCATGGTAGCCGGTGATCAACGATTGGTTCATACGCCATTCGTTCCCGCAGGATACTGGAGCCCATGTGCACCATTGATTTGGAATCCGGTTAAAGCGCCGGACATTCGATTTTCGTCCTCTCATTTTCGTAAACAACACCCCCGCCACGAGAAGGCAATGAGTAGGACTTCCCTGGCAGAGGCTGTATACGCGTGGCCGTGTGAGAGTATTTCGAGAGGGAGAGCGGACTCTCCCCATCTATAAGATATTGTTGCAATGTACTTGAATGTCATTTAAACTAATTAATTTGACAAAAAAATGTTTGGACGTGTCTGCCTGAGTATGTAACCTGAATACATGATAACCTGCCTAATATACACGCGTAATAATCGTATGTTAATAATGTTAATTTCATGAGGTCCATCTAATATGTTTCGCCTGTTTATCTAAATAATATTAAATAAAACCTAGTCATTCGACTCTTATTACTGCAGAAGTCGACAATCGACAATGTTTTCGGGAAAACATGTAATGACGAATGCCGAGTGTGACCTCGTAATTTTAAAAGAAAGACATTTTTTAGCATTTAGAACTCATTCAATTTGAAATTCATCGAACATTTTCAAGAGTTTTCGAAGCATTTCTCTAAATAGTTTATCCCCTAGCTGTTCGAAATAGACGTACGAAATAACATGAATAACAGTTTGTTACTAAACTCGAAGAATTGATTGATTAATGGTAAGGCAGAGAGCGAATTGAACATAATTTACACCACTAAAAATGCTCACCTCGATTAACATGTGCCTTTTTGATAGTGGCCCTTATTAATCTGAGCCCATTTTCACTCGCCCTTATAATAATCCTGGATAAGAAAGGACGATTGCTGTCAACCAAATCAAAAAACAATTTTTTTCCGAAACTATGATACTCTATAAATATTTGTCTTGTCTAAGTGAATAGAAGAAGCATGCATACACATGTATCATCAAAACAATAATGAAAACACATCAACAATATTTGTATCTTACGTAGTACTCTGACAAGAGTGGATACTCGAGCCAAGCCATATTCATTTTTCCCAACCAAGCTGACAGTATGAGTCGGTCCAACTTTACTACCAGGTGTAAACAGCAAATTATAGGCTGAATACGTTAAAATATGACCATTTTTTTGCAATGGTTGTATTAAAGCATCTTTTAAGTACGGATATTGATCTCTTAGTTCAGTACGAAAATTGGTAGGATTCGGTTGGTAAGGTAGGCCATTGATTTCTAAAGACTAGAAAATGACAAAACAATCATCATAAAAATAAATCCAGTAGTCGAGAGTGATGTAAACACAGAAATCTTATATGCAATAATCAGTTTTCTAGGTATGTATCAAATACTTATACAACGAAAAAGAAAATCATATTAGGTGGTAAAAACAATTCCCAATAAAGGTTGACAATTGCTGGGAGCTGAGAATGAAAATCATGATTGGTAAGTTTTTTATTTTGACTATAAGGTACAGTTATCCAAAAATTAAAACCAATATAACTGGACTACAAGAAAATTCCAATTTTAACTGTTCAATACGTAAGAGCTGAGGGTGAGGAGAGTTCGCTCTCCTTCTCGAAATGCTTTCACGTGGCTTCGCGTAGACCGCCACTACCAGGGAAGTCTAACTTCCTTCTCGCAGCGGGGTTGTTGTTTACGAGATTGAGAGGAAGAAAAACGAATGTCTGGCGCTTTAACCGGCTTGGTAGGTAAGGAGGGTTCATCTGGCGGAGTTGGAAAACCCTGATTACAAACCGATTACGCACATGCGCTTCAGGATCCTGAGGGAACAAATGGCGTATGAACCGATTGTTGGTCACTGGCTATCATGTGACCGCATCTCCTGGCGTTATTCCACTGCCTAATGGATCAGACCCTTAAGTCAAAGGCTCTGGGTGTGGCCCCTAAGAAAACCACACGCTTCAGTCTGGGAACCCGGGCAGTATTATAGCCCAAACACAAATCAAGTGGCTTGTGTCGCGCATATGTATTCGGTGCCCCTTCGTACTAATATTTATGCGTTCAAACAACAATAAACAAACTCTAAATATTCCTTTACTTAAGCTAATCTTACCTTAAGTTTTAATGGCCAATAAATTTATCGTCCTAAACGATTCGATGCCAGTAAATTGGTTGCAGCTTCTCTTGCGACTAAATATCAAAACGAGCTAGGTTCAACGCTAGCTCCCAGCCCACCGAACAGCATAAACGAGCATTGGCTGTTGTTGCATGACGTGATGAAAATGGCAAGTGAAGTCGCCTGCAGCTTTGCGAAATGTCCAGCTTATAAGCACTAGGTTTCTATAGGTTCCTTACAACTCACCATCCCTCTACAAATTTGCCATCGATCACAATCTCCAAACAGCTCTGATGACTGTAGATAATGTAGGTGTGGATCTGTTTCCTGGAGAAACCTTTCGACCTTGAATATGAGGATGATATTGTCTTACTGTGTTATAATACCCAAGCCGTGCAATCCACACTTAGTCAGCAGGCAATCAGTGTCCGTAGGTATAGTATGTGCTTTGAGCCTTACAAGTGCAAAGTAGTTCTACAGGACTGGCGAAACCCTGAACCTGCACTCACATTGAGTAGTGGGCAGGTAGTAGTCAAGAGGTTTGAGTATTTGGGTAGCTGCATAAGTGCTGGTGGTGGCGCGAGTGATGAGATCGATTCACGTATAGTGAAAGCCAGAGCGGTTCATGCCAATCTGGGTCATCTTTGGCACCTTCGTGGTGTTAGTCTGGCTGTAAAAGGTCGGATCTACAACGCGTCGGTGAGAGCAGGTTTCCTCTATGCTTGTGAAACCTGGCCTCGCCGAGTTGAGGATGTTAAACGATTCTCTGTGTTTGGCCATCGTTGTCTCTGAGGGATTGCTGACATCCAGTGGCAACACCATGTTAGTAATGCAGAGGTTCGGAATCGTGTGTTCAGGCACAGCGACAATAATCCAATTGCTTTCACCATTCTGAAACACCGACGTCGGTGGCCTGGACATGCCTTACGAATGTCATCCCAGTAAATCTCACGTCGTGCATTATTTGCCGACACTGGGACTGGTTGGAAATAGAGGAGAGGTGGTCAGAGTATGACATGATGTCATGGTATGGAAGAAAACTGTACAGAACTAGCTTCTGTTGGTCCTTCACTACTCCCTAGTTGGGGCCCAAGAGATGGTGCAACACGGTGGCTAGAGATGTTATCAGATATGACTCAAAATAGAAACCAGTGGCGATCCTGCTGTGGTTTCTACTTTTTTCATAAAAGTGAACGTAACTTCTTTCATTGAAATCTTTTCTGGTTGTATCTTTCCTAGCTGAACTGCTCCTCCCATTACTATTATTATTTTACTCTCATACACTAATTTCTGCTCGTTTCTTGTTCTCTTTATTGTACGCACTTTACATTATCTATCTCTTCACAACTTCATTGCTATTGTGTGAAGTATCTGGTGCCCCATTGTACCAATGTTTATATGTTCAAATAAATAAAAAGATGAGTCAAATGACTGTACTACTAGTTCCCAACAGCTGCACGACAGAAAACTGATTTTAAATAAGATTATTACTACATGTTAACAATTAACCAATAACTAAATAAAGATTTCACCCCGTGTTCAAAAAAGTTGTTCTACTCCGTAAGATTAGCATAAAATATGATGGATACATAAATGCTAGTGCAATAAAAACAATTCTAGTTAAAACCTAAAGTATGATAATTCTACATAAAAGAACATGTTTCGTAAGTAAATTACCTCCGTTATAAACGAATCCAACTGACAGCTAAATGTAACATTTTCTCCCTCCATCACTAAAAGTAAAGGTGGAGGAGCACGTATCACTTCAGGTGGACCGACTACACTCACTATGAACTGAAAATTAACTTGATCATTCCCATTTTCCACAAGTAAATTGTAAGTGCCTTAAGAGAACAAGCAAAAACATAACAAATAATACAAAGACTATTTTATATGTTTCCACAAAAATACATGGCAATGTTGAATTTTAATTCAAAGGAAAATCAATTTTGCATGACTTTGAATAATACTTACCAGATCGATGAAAGGAAACAGACTGAGGAAACCAGTGGCAATCAAGTAAACAAATCTAACTTTATACATGAACGGTAAGTGTTTGATTGTCTTTTGCTTGAGTATAAATTTTGTGGATGAAGTATAAAAACAGATACATACATACATACAGGAGTGAATGAGATTAGAACGAAACAGTGAGTAGATAGAAAAGATTAAGCAACTGTTCAAACAAAAGCTGTTAGCAAATTAATAAGAATCTGGTTACTGGACAGGCTAACATCATAAGTATTAGTGTATTTAGACAACCTCAAAAACAAAACAAAAACAGAAACTATGATATGGTAAATGACGAATAAAATTTAAATAACAATAAGCTTGTTCTAAAATCTTTTTCAAACTTAGTCACTAAAGATGCTGACCAACGAAACTAAATTAAGTCATTGTGTATGAAAACATAGGTAGAATGAAGGACTTCTGAATGTAATGTCTTAAGTTATGGTGATGGTTGGAGATATGATCGATACTGTCAATTACGCTTCACAGGTTTAAGTCCCTCGGATGTCTTTCCAAACTTTTATTCAAGAATCAAATGTTTTTGTTCATAGGGAGTTTTCAACATCTACTGTTAAAAGATTGGCTGTATAACAACACACAACTTAATGTGATTCCATATTACTTCTCATAAGATCGCCTTTTCCTGACTTTTTCACGTTTTCCTGTTCGACCGCTGATGTATCAGAAAAACTGCTTCCAATCGATCCCTAGGCTATCAAAATAATATCAATGTAATATGGTCAATTAAAAGCCAAAAACATCCCTATGACAGTAGTATTATGTTCAGCAAGTATAAAAACTGTTGAAAACTATCCAAGTACATTAACATCAACTAGGAAACGAAACATAAAGGCAGATACAGAAGCTTGAATCATCCCTGTAAGTAAAACAACTTCGTAATAACCCGAAAGAACAGAACTAATGAGAGGGAAAGCTATATGAAAAAAATTAGAAAACTAATTAATAAAACTACTTGATTAAGTAATCCTTCCCAAAACATTGGCCTTGTTCTATTCCAATAGATTCACTAGCTTTGAACTATTGGAACATAAACAAACAAACAAACTGAAATATAATAAACAACTAGCAACCATTCATCACAAAAAGCCATGAAACATACCAGAGTGCTCTCGGCGAATGAGATCAGGAAACTTCAAGAGATAATCACTGTGTCCTGGAAAATCAGGTGGAATTCTTCTACCGTCTTTGGTCCATTTAACAGTCGTGTACTCTGGAGTAGATCGATACTTAGTGACTAACTTGAGACCAGTTCGCTAAAATTTTAAGAAATGTAATGGTTTGGAATGGGGACTTTATCAAGCTAATAGCGACACATAAACTTAAGGATTTTCGGTAACGTAAAAGAAAATATCGATATAAATGTGTCAGAGACCTCTATATCATAACAAAGTCCTGATCGCCTGTAAAGACGATTGATATGGAGGTCAGATATTAGGTCAATCAGCCAAAACGTAAGTCCTTTAGTTGACTAGTGACTTGCAAAGGTCTGTGCACAACAATTAATTGCAAATAAAAATGACTTATGAGTATGCATACTTCCCGTATAAACTGATTTTCTCCCATCACTTATAACATTTTATCGTCATTTTTTGTGCTAATATTTCGTATATAAGCCTAACACCACGCCATCAATGGAGGACTTACGTCAATATTTAGTTCGCCTGGGCCACCATCAATCCACGACGCTTCCTATAATTGCGTACTGTCAGTCGATTGGCATTCTACTCACTTATCTTAATAATCAAAAATTGGTCTCACCAAATAATTAAACTTCTACTCCATAAAAGAATCAGATTATGAAATATGGTTCATTACCATTTTCAGAGCATTTTATGCTGGTATTGTACGTAACGATTTGTATCAAGCTATACCAGTTTTGGGTAACTTTATAACTTGGTTTTTAATTCAAATAAATAATACTTAATTAAATAAATGATAGTGTAAATATTTTATCCAAATCCTAGAATGAAATCTACTCTAACTACTTATTTATGGATAGTTAGCAATATGGTCTCTCCTCACAGGAAACGTGACTGCCTGCTACACGGACTAGTATGTGGTAGGTTATTGAGTTAAAACACTATTCTTCATCTCATATTTTCGTAAGGAATGATACACGACTGGATCTGTTCTGTATGCAACTAATATTAAACGAATTGATACTTTTCTATTTCTTGCGTTGATTTGTTGTCTTTATTTTGGCCTTGTTTATTTACTAATGTGTTGATTACAATCACCTACATTTACTTTCCTTTTTGAATTTCAGTCACCCTGCCTATATGTGATGAGACGTGGTAACTTGAACCAACAAACTAATAAACCTGAATTGTGTTTGTTTTCGTGTCTAGTTCTATTAAAAGTACACAAAACTAGTAATGATTTCTCACTTTGATGAAATGTTATATAAGTTTGTCTTATGGTGAAGCAAAGAAAACTTTCTTAATCACTGATCATTGTTACGTCATTTAAAGTATGACTGAGTTGCGTAGCATAAAGTATAAGAGAAGTTAATTCGAAGTATATATTACAGCTACTGTAGTCGATGCAATTGCAGTGACCATAGTAATTTCTCAGTGGAAAATAGTACAAACAACCTCAGTCACATAAATATGAAGCCCTAGACATAGGCTGTCAGAATATAAACTAGTACATAAAAGAATGCATGCTCTATACTCACTGGCCCAATTCGAACAGTAATCTTTTGTGTGAGGGGTGATAATACAGTAATTCCACTACCAACGAATGGTATATTGGAGTCATAAGTCAACAACTTAGGCCGCTCACTTGAACCACCAAAATAGGTAGAATAAACAGCTGAGGAGTCCAAGTGGCTCCAGCACACCAAACCCATATCTTTCCATGCTGACGTTGTGCGCTTGTATAACACCAAAGTACCTGATGAAGGAAGGAATACAATCAATCTTAAATCGCTGATATAAAAGTAAAAGCTAATTAATTAATTTATACATAAGAAAGCAAATCAAAGAGATTATATTTTTTCAAATACTACAAAGATAAATATGGGTAAAGCAAAATTTTTTTGCCAGATAAATGCTATTTACCCAGTAAAATATGGTTTAATTAATAGTCTGTCAGTGTACTCTTTAGCAACTAAATCAACCTCGATTCGTAGACAGGCAGAAAATTATTTAATTGACTATTTTCTTTTTGTAACTTTTGATTTATTGTGTTTATTTTAGCGTCGTAAATTCACAAATAAATTAACCTTAATGAACGTCCATTACAGTCTACAAATTTCTAGTCAATAAGGAAAATAAGTATTTTTTATAATAGTCCACAACTTAAATAGAAAGGGATGAAACTTACCGTTCGGAGAGACATAACTTTCAAAATAATTTGTAACATGAGTAGATGTTTGACGAACTCTACGCATACACCCAGCAGACTGTATACCATCAGGGCTGTCTACATCACAAAATGACCACATAAACGGACTGGGGAACGCTGCATCAGCCCAACTTGGCAACTCTTCAGATACTTGAGTTTGTCCGCATTCCAGACTCAAGGGAAGATCATTGATAGATAAAGGAGGTAAATATTCAGTTTGCTTTACAGGTCGTCTAACCATACCTATGAATATGGCCGGAAAATATAAGACAAAAAGTTGTCAAAAGCACTTTTAGGTATGAAAATAAGATGATGAAACATGATGTATGACAAACGAAAGCCGTACAGCGATTTGCACTGGCCACATTGTTTACGTAGATGTCATTCTGCAATCTCCCACATCGTTTCATTTGCTTAGTCTGACAGTGGATCGCTGGTGTTCAATCTTTGAGTCCTTCCCTTTAAAGTTTAGTATTTTAACTTCGATATTTTCATTAGTTTAAAGAACTGTCAAAAGTTACTTATCCCTACTGCATCTCATTTCTTCCTGTCAGTGTTTACCACCAATGTGTAAATCTGTCGTCAACTTATTTTCGGATTACTCATATCTGGTGGTCTTTCGGGACAGGTTTCTGGACCAACAAAATCCCATAAACTGTTCCGACTCTTTGACAAAGGTTGTTACTTTTTACAGCTAACCAGAGATTATGACAGGCCTCCTTCGGGTGAAAATGTAATTTTACTGAGTAGCATACATACATTCATGACATTCCATTTTCAAACTTAGCTTAAAGTATGCTCAATAGTCAAACGACTTTTGTGGGTACCAGTCGTATAAAGATTACTGATCATACCTGACTACCTGAATCCTTTCTTTGTGAAGAAATGGCTTCGTGGTAAAAGGGCTTGGTTTTCAACCAGCTGGCAGATTCCAATCTCGCTCCATTTTGTAGGTTCAGGAAACTTAGTTAACATTACCGAGTCCCCCATTGTGTTTCAAAGTCAAGTGCACAAACATATACTTATCGATTAAGTCATAGGTGGGGCAATTAAGTAATCGCATCTATGTGGATAAAAGTCCGTGTATTTTAAGATAAGACCATATTGGAAAAAATACTAATTATTGGTTGGAAACCTTGAGTGAAACAACTTTAAATTATCAGCAATAGTGCAAATGTATGTGACTCGCCTTTCTCTGAAACTTATTCTGGTATTATTCCATATTTTATATTCCATTTTACTCTGATTCGAACTACATTTGTTACTTCCAATTTTCCGGTAACGCGACTGAAAATTAGTCGCAGTGAAGGAGATATATCCATTCTTTGTCCTCAATATACTGTTTTGTACTTTTTTTCTTCAGACTGACCCGTTTTCTGTACCGCATTCTTATGGATCCTACCGTCATCTTGACTTTTTCTCGATTCGTTTTGTTAATTTCGTCTCGCGATACTGATGTGGCGCAGTAACTTGTGCCGATGCACATTTGTGTTAGGGTCTATGTTGATTATAACTAAATGGTTGATGTGTAATTTTTCACTATCACAAAACATTGTTATTCCCTTGCTAATTCCCTCAACCTGTGGTATGAATTGTGATAATCCGGACTAATATTTAGCGCATTTTGTATACTATGAATAACTACTTGATATTTGACTTACCATAAACAATAAAATACTACTCGAACTTAATTGGCACAACGAGACTTACGTTTGTGATAGTAATACGCATCCTGTATTTCAATGAAATTTGAAATTAGCTCTCCATTCCGGTTATGATACTTGCAGAAGTAAAAGCCGTCAAGTAGTTCATCTTTCACAGGTAGCCTAGAAGAAAACGTGTAGCCTGTAACAAATAGTTAACACCCAATAAACAAATACCTGAAGATCTATTGCCATTAGCGCTAAACTCAACCCGACCGAAAATAACATTTCTTGTTTTAGGATCAATGCATTCATCCGAATCGTGCGTAGACTTCTGGAATAATCAAGAAAATAAGTGGTTCATGAACAAAATAGCACGGAAATTAAAGCTAGATAAACAAATGCGTACAGGTTAGGATACTTCCAAATATAAAATAACAACGACCAAGTAAGAGCAACATTTCAAAACCATATTTACAAAATTAACAAGACGAGGAGGAAGCTATGCAGCACGCTTGATTTTTCTAAGTATGACCAAGTAAATTACCTGCCACAAATGGTTAGTATTCCTCTCAGTATCATGAGTTGGTCGGTGGTAAATCAAAAATTATCGATTAGACTTTTAAAATACATGAAGTGGTCAACTCTAAAAAGATTGGTTTGTCAATTAAACTATGTACCGAGACTATCTCAAAACAGCAGACTCGTAGACCAGATAATTTGATGGAGTCCATTGGGCTTTTGCTTACTCGAATATTTAGGCTACATTTACGAAGACTGTCGTTGTGTTGGTTTATTCAATATAGGCTGGATATAACGTATACTGCCGGCATTGACCTGTTTTAACTCATCAGAAAGATAGCAAAGATAAGTGAATAAGTTATAATCCCCGGACTAAGAAATAGGATATGGATTATAAAAAGCTTACATTATTGCTGGTATCGGTTCGCAATGAAAACCTTGATCCCAACTCCTGACCTCCACGATCTTGAAGCTGATTTTCCCATCTTGATGTTAATCCTAACATATTTGTCGATGTTAGTAGGCTTGTGATGTTATTAGAAATAAATTCAACTCAACTATTATGTACAGGGAACTAGAAACTGTAAGGACCCACAGTACTCGGAACCATTTTTAGAACTGACAGGAGTTAACTCCAACTACTTGCAACATATTCAAAATTCATGTAACAGAACCATTCAAGTTTTATTCAATTCTGACTAATTTTACTACGTACATCTTCAGCTCAAAAAACTTGGCGGCAAAATGTAAACAAACGCGTAGTTAGCCCGAGTAATGTACAACGTATGTCTGCGTGAACAGTTCTAGAGATTCTGCAGAGCATGTCAGATAGAGCATGCGAAACGAACGGATGTAAGCAGAGTAGACAGAAGACTGTAACGAGAACAAAGGGTAGTAAAGGTAGCCCATGGTCTTTTCACAGATTTAAACTTACCTAGAATACATGGAAAGCTGATTATTAGCATATTTCATGATTAATTTGTGCTTCATAGTGTGGCATCCCTAGCATACAACATACGGTTAACAACTAGTACATAAACCAGGATAGAAATCACAGCTTATATACATACGAATCAGCCAGAAACAAACAAACAAGATAAAAAAGTTAGTAAACTCCACATTACACAAATTTGATAATTCAAAATGGTAAATTACCCTGCGACATAAGTAAGCAGAGACGAGTTCATGAGTCGAATCGAGGGGAGCAACAACACAATGAATTCTTAACACAGGAAGCTCGTTCAGATGTTCTACAATCCTGATGCGAACTTGCTGTTTAATAGTGGCATCTATTTCAATGGGATTTCGCAGACCAGGATGTTCATAGAAAAAGATGTCATGTCTAACTCCACTAACAGGGATGAATTGCAAGTACTGTTCTATTGAGGACGCACCTTAAATTTTTTTAGGGTGATAGTTTTCCAATTACCATATGGTGTTTCAATGACAAATACAACCAACCAAAGCACGAGCAACATCGCAAGACGGAAAGGCCTTCTTAGTAGCTCTGAAAAGCCGCCACAAGTGAAGGTTGAATTTCAGCAATAATAATCTACTGACTAAATATTTTGACCGTTCCCAACACAACAATGACAATAAAAGTTAATGACTTTCTGTTGATTCTTTACGATTTTTAGTGATATTAATAAGTTGTATTCCTGAGAACGCCTATCCATTTGTAGACCACCATAGTAGACTGTCTGTATAAAATGATTGGGGACCTAATCGAGTGAGACCGACCAGCTAACATCGAAGTCCAACCTTACGGCTAATGGTCAAGGTGGATCGCCCTTTCGCACTATAGCTGCTTTGAAGACCGCACAACACGCGCGCTTTTCGAACGGGAAGTTTAGTCCCAACGTGATTTGCATTTATCAAACTTTTGCTGTGTTCTTGGGCAACAAAAGTACCATTTCAGTTCTAAAAAATCTATCCTGAGCTATACCTTCGCAGATTACTTTTTTTGAGTTTTACCACATTTAATAGTTAACTGTGGTTTTGCCTCATCTTACTATTCGGTTTTTTTTTTCACGTATAGACTAGTTCAGTTTATCTCATTCGTTTTTATCCATTTCTTTCCGTTTTCAGTGTGCTTTTTAGTGTAATGTTACCGCCTTAGGCTTTTCCAAACATCTAAAACAGTTTGCTTCAACATGAAAAACTCATGCAAACGTCCGAGATGCCGTTTTGCTGTTATAACTGGCATGCTGTGCGACAACTGCAAAGGTTGGTTCCACGAGGCGTGCACAGATCTGACGGCAACTGCTTACAATAGACTAAGCACTAATGATGACGTGTTGAAGCTCAGCACCATCATTACGTCGATGGTATTAGACTCCCTAAGTAAACTCGGGTCTCCCAGATCAAGGTACCTGAACCCAACAGTGGTGCTCAAAAGCCCTGCAGGTGATTCGACTCACGTTAATAGAGCTAAGAAGAACCAGGCGTCACCGGCTTAGCTGAGCATCCCAAGTGTTGCTGTATGGAAAACAACTGGTGACTTGGTCTAACCCCAAGAATGTCCGTCCGGTCATCAAAGAGCCTGGGATTCAGAAACGTACTTCGACCCACAAACAACAAGGTGCTTAACCTGAATACACCGGAAAACCTGGGAAAACAATAACGGTTCGTGATGACTCTCTCATAATCATGAACCTCATAGACAACCCTGACCTTCCTCTCAGTTTGCAGGACAAAAATGACAGGATGCTCTGATAATTAGGGAATGGAAATTTATCAAGCAGTCCTTGAGGCTCAAACACATACTAAGTCAGCATGTGACGAGACTATACAAGAAGGATGGTGACCCTAGACCCAGTCTAATGAAGATAACTTTCCCATCTTCTCACATGGCATTTCGTGCCAACAGACGTCAACTGCCACCTGGAATCCACATGCACCCGGATAGGCCATACGAAGCTAGGACCAAACACAAAGGCAAGTTGGAGCTGACCATTCCACTTGTGGGCTGTCTAGACGATAAAAAACGTGTAAAGGACATAGCCTACCACCTCGGAAGACCTCGTATAGGTGGGCTACCTGTCCATTCACATAAGGCTCATACAGACAAACAGGACGAAGCTCACACGTTCCAAATTGAAAGCATAAACTGCTTATATATGAACGCCGCGAGTCTGCCGAACAAATTGGGTGAATTACATGAACTTAGGAACGCTAATAAGGCCCATCTGATAGGAATGTCTGAAATCTGGAAATCTTCTCAGTTCTCGGACCAATAGTTTGCATTACCTGGGATGTCTTTGTTCTACAACGACAGAAAAACAGGAATCGGGGGTGGAGTAGCCGTATACATACGATCTTGTTTGGAGGTACACCAAGTTCACAACCATGAGTTTAACAATCTTGATGAGTCTGTATGGTGTTCTGTAAGATTGTCTACTACTTCGAGGTGCCTAGTTGGAGTCATATATAGTAAGCCCACTTCTGACATCGAGTATGACAGTTGTATGCTGGAAGGACTATCCCGCTCTACTCGTCTACTCACATCTACTCATATCTTGATTCTGGGTAACCTCAATCTCCCTTGAGTCAAATTTGCGGAACATACGTATATTGGAGGTGAAAACTCAACCGAAGCTCGGTTCTTCAACCTCATTGAGAATTTGGGATTATACGAAAATGTGAAGTCGGCAACTCGTTGGAGAAAGTCAGACACCATCGCGCTTAGATTGTGTATTCACAAACTAAAAAATCCTAGTTGACAAGCTCTCAATCCTGGCTCCCCTGTGGGGAAGCGATCATGCCGTCATAGCCTTCAGTTTTGTCAGCAAAACTAAGCTAAGATACCCCACCAATAAGTTGCGTGGGAATTTTAAACGGATGAATGTGCCAGCTCTACACCACTATCTACAACAGGTGGTTGTTCACCCGCAACTCAATGTAGACGGTCATTGGGACTTCTAACTGCACACGCTCTTACGTGCTACAAACCATTCAGTTCCTCAAACGGTTCCCGAAAGCTGAAAGCCACCTTCAATAATCAAGAACCGTACCCTTCGCCTGCTAAGCCGCGAAGGGCACTGTTGGGCGGAATACAAACGAGCTGACAACGACGGAGCGTACAGGCAATATAAACATATAAGGGACATATGCACGAAGGCTATAAGAGGAGACAGGCTTCAGTACTAAACAAAGCTTATGGACAAATTTTCCTCTAATCCTAAAAGCTTATTCCGTTATGCAGCCTCTCTTCGTCAAGACAAAAATGGAGTTTCCCAACTGCTGGGTCTTAACGGCCCCACCAACAACGATGACGACGCCTCTATCTTCTGGCTGAACATTACTTCCAGACATTTCAACTCGCTCACCTGAGGCAAACTACCGGAAAATTGGAAGTTGGCTCACATCACACCAATTTTCAAAGATGATCGACGCAATGAACCTTCAAGTTATCGGCCGGTGGTTCTTCTGTCATTACCTTCAAAACTCATGGAGTCCCTGATATGCGACGGTTTAAACGACTATCTACTGTCCTTAAATTTCTTCTCACCCCAACAGCATGGTTTCAGGAAGGGTTAATCTTGTATAACAAACCTGCTGACTGCGGTGGACAGATGGACAAGTATCCTCGATCGCAAGGGGAAGGTTGTTATCATTTACCTTGATTTCTCAAAAGCTTTTGATAAGGTTAACCACTTGTGTCTTATCAATAAGCTCAAACGATTGGGTATCAGACCACTTCTAATTGATTGGCTCACATCTGAAAATCGACATTTTAAGGTCAGGGTTAACTTCACTTTATCTCAGGCTGTGGAATGTCCTAGCGAGTTCCCCCCGGGCTCAGTACTAGAACCTCTTATTTTCTTGATCTACATAAATGATTTTCCTCAACAGGTAACGTCTGAATTATTACTCTTTGCCGATGATGTTAAACTTTTGAGAGAGATACGTAATCAAGACCATATACAAGCACTTCAGGAGGATCTGACTCGACTTCAAAATTGGGCAGATAATAATGGACACTTCAAAGTGTAAAGTAGTCCATCTGCGACATGTCGCAGACTACAGTTATAACTTAGGTAACTCCTCTCTAGTAGCATCCCAAGTCGAAAAAGATTTAGGAGTCCTGGTGCCCCATGATTTGAAGTCTTACGCTAACTGTGACAAAAATGCCTTCCGAGCAAACCTTGCACTGGTAACGTTGAAGCGCATTTTTGGACAGTTTGACGGAAGAACTTTCCATATAATCTTCAATAGTTTTATCCGTCCCCATTCAGAGTACGGAAACATAGTATTTACCCCCTCACTCCAAAAGGATAAAGACACTCTGGAGCGTATCCAACGGCGAGCCACGAAATCAGTCCGAGGACTCACATTTAAACCTTACAAAGAGCGTCTCCATTCAATTGACCTTTACCCATTAGAGTATAGACGTCTTAGAGGTGATTTATTAATGGCTTATAGTATTCTTAACACTTCTAGACATCCTCTTAAACACCTACTTAAGCTTATTTCCAATAATAACCTAAGGGGTAACGCCCAAAAACTGGAGACACAACATAGCAGAACGGACTGTAGACACAACTTCTACTCCTTAAGAGTTGTCAAATGCTGGAATTCGCTGTCGGCCGAGCTAGTCCAAGCCACTTGCCAGGAGTCCTTTAAGAGGCAACTTGATCTATTCTTAAGGATTAAGGATAGTATCGCACTATGATTTATTAATTTCTTTTCCTGTTTTATTGTTAACATACCTAGGTTCCTGCCTGGAGGATTTGGTGATCCCCTGCTACTAGACACGGAAGCCTGTTAAGCGAAAGCTTCTTCTATTCCGTCCACAACCATTTGAACCATTTGAACACAAACGATTACCACAGGAATGCATTATTAATTGTAGGTACATGAAACAGAGCGAGACCCTCACCGCATGGACCAGTTCATGGCATGCAATTAACCAATGTTCGCCGGTTGCCCCTGATTTTGACGAGAATCGGGGAACAATTCGATATTTAGCGACCCGACTGCCGTGTGATTTGGCTAGGGTTCAGCGGTATTCCACTGGCCCTACATGTTTAAAGGCAGTGACTTCCGCGAGCGGACTGTACTGACGTCTAACAACAAGTCAGGAAGCCTGCAACAATAAAGTTTTACATCGATAAGTTGACAGGATACCTTATAGTTCTCCAAATTCTGTAAAACGTCAGTTACTAATCATTATCCTGAAGACTTACTGGAGAGGATGGTACTTGTAGTTTCCTATTGATATACTTGAGTTGAAAATGTTCGTTAGTTTCAACGTGACATCTCTCGTCCAGCTATTATTTATCCGAGTGCATTAGAGGATTTTTATTTTATTTTTCTAAATTGTTGGTTTTATTCTGAGGTTTATAATAATAATAATAATAATAATAATAATAATAATAATAATAATAATATATTTCTGCATGTGCAGGTACACACCGTTTTTATAGGCATGATCTATAAATTACAACATTTGTTGGTTCGCAAAATGCTTCCCAACTTATTAAGTTTATATTCATTACGCAATTATTATTCTTATCATGGATGAAACTTTTCACTAGGTGTTCACTTCTTTTCTCTCTTCTTTCCCTCTAAATAAATATTATTCTTAAGATTACGAAGTTTGTAATTAAGACAATAACTTGTGTTACACTTAAATTAACTTCTCAGACCCGTTTTATCTTCACTATGCATATATGACTCATACATATTGATATTTCATTATCCTTTTCACTCAATTGAGACTCTCATCGCATCACTCCAAACTATGACTGCACAAACATTTATTCTAGCGTCATATCTTACTACAATAATAAGTT